ACCTTCACCACTAGAATCAACACGATCGTGACAAGCATCATTGTACCATCCTCAACATCATTACCATCACTTACCATGGATAAATGTCTCGTGGAGAAACTCCCACTCACAAGTGGAAGAGCGAATATCTAGGTGGCGCTGTAGCTCGAACCGCGTGCCTTCTTATGAAGTTAATCGCCAGGTTAGTGACGTCAGTGGTGACGTCACTGCACGCGGGTTACTGCCCAGAGTAGTAGACCACGTGGGCCCTAGGAAGGTTGTCACGTCACACAATGCCTGGTGCATTCCCCTGCGGACTCGTGGGTCCCCTGTGTTTAAGTAGAACATAACCCACCCACTAGATATTACACAGCTTGAATATGTACATAATTCCATGATGGTACATAATGTAAAAATATGGATATGCACGTATGGAAATAGAGATACAGGTGCATACATGTGTCAACTTTTATTAATATGCGTACACATGCAACACAACCCCTCTTCCCATCCTCCCATATGGATAATTACATTACAGTACGTATGCTTGTAATCATTTTACGTATAGTATGGGATAACATTTAATAAATGCAATATGCTCACAAGTGGCAGAGCCAGTATCTGGCTCTGTCACTTGTGAGCGTAGACCCACAAACACGCAGAGAAATCCACACACGCAGAGAAACCCACACACGCGCAGAAACCCACAGATGCACGTAGACCGACAGGAACCTACAGGGACCCACAAATGTGCACAGAGACTCGCAGACACACACAGAGACCCACAATCACCCAGAGGCCTAAAGACACGCAAAGAGGCTCACAGACAATACAGAGACCCAGAGAAACGCATGGAGACCCACAGGTACACACGGAGACCTACAGACATGCATAGAGACCCAAAGAGACTCAGAGAGACTCATAGACATGCACAGAGAAGCACAGACAAACAGAGACCAAAAGACATACATAGAGACCCAAAGACACCCAGAGAGATCCACAAACACGCACAGAGACTCACAGACACATACAGGGATCCACAGACACGCATACAGATCTACAGAAACCGATACCCACAGACACGCACATAGAGGCACAAACACCCAGATAGACTCATAGAAACACACAGACACACAGAGAGACTCAAAAACACACACAGAGACCCATACACACCCATAGAGACCCAAAGTTACGCAGAGACCAACGGACGCATACAGAGACCTCACTGAAGATCATAGAGATTCTCAGAGGAGCAGAGAGCCACACACAGACATATGCATCCACACACATCCACAGAGACCCACAGCCACGCATAGAGATCCAGAGACACGAACAGACACCTACAGACATGCACAGAGACCCACAGACACCCAGAGATACCCAGGGATACACACGGGGACTCACAGACACCCAGAGAGACCCACAAAAGCGCAGAGAGATCCACAAACGACCTCTTCATCACTTACATAAAGAGCAGTTTCCACACCAATATCAGGACCTTCACCACTAGAATCAACACGCTCGTGACAAACATCATTGTACCATCCTCAACATCATTACCATCACTTACCATGGATAAATGTCTCGTGGAGAAACTCCCACTCACAAGTGGAAGAGCGAATATCTAGGTGGTGCTGTAGCTCGAACCGCGTGCCTTCTTATGAAGTTAATCGCCAGGTTAGTGACGTCAGTGGTGACGTCACTGCACGCGGGTTACTGCTCAGAGTGATAGATCACGTGGGCCCTAGGAGGATTGTTACGTCACACAATGCCTGGTGCATTCCCCTGCGGACTCGTGGGTCCCCTGTGTTTAAGTAGAACATAACCCACCCACTAGATATTACACAGCAATACGTACATGCACCTGCAATAGTTTTACGAGTGCTCAAGAAATGTAATGTGTATTATATACACGATGTGTTGTGTGTATACAATGCGTGCTTGAATATGTATGTAATTCCATGAGGGTACATAATATAAAATATGGATATGCACGTATGGAAATAGACATACAGGTGCATACATGTGTCAACTTTTATTAATATGCGTACACATGCAACACAACCCCTCCCCCCATCCTCCCATATGGACAATTACATTACAGTACGTGTGCTTGTAATCATTTTACGTATAGTATGGGATAACATTTAATACATTCAATATGCTCACAAGTGACAGAGCCAGATACTGGCTCTGCTACTTGTGAGCATAGACTCACAGACACGCAGAGAAACCCACACACGCAGAGAAACCCACACACGCGCAGAAACCCACAGATGCACGTAGACCGACAGGAACCTACAGGGACCCACAAATGTGCACAGAGACTCGCAGACACACACAGAGACCCACAATCACCTAGAGAGGCCTAAAGACACGCTAAGAGGCTCACAGACAATACAGAGACCCAGAGAAACGCATGGAGACCCACAGGTACACACGGAGACCTACAGACATGCATAGAGACCCAAAGAGACTCATAGACATGCACAGAGAAGCACAGACAAACAGAGACGGAAAGACATACATAGAGACCCAAAGACACCCAGAGAAATCCACAAACACGCACAGAGACTCACAGACACATACAGGGATCCACAGACACGCATACAGACCTACAGAAACCCAGATACCCACAGACACGCACATAGAGGCACAAACACCCAGATAGACTCATAGACACACACAGACACACAGAGAGACTCAAAAACACACACAGAGACCCATACACACCCATAGAGACCCAAAGTTACGCAGAGACCAACGGGCGCATACAGAGACCTCACTGAAGATCATAGAGATTCTCAGAGGAGCAGAAAGCCACACACATACATATGCATCCACATACATCCACAGAGACCCACAACCACGCATAGAGATCCAGAGACACGAACAGACACCTACAGACATGCACAGAGACCCACAGACACCCAGAGATACGCAGGGATACACACGGAGACTCACAGACACCCAGAGAGACCCACAAAAGCACATAGAGATCCACAAACGACCTCTTCATCACTTACAATACGAATAAAGAGCAGTTTCCACACCAATATCAGCACCTTCACCACTAGAATCACCACGATCGTGACAAACATCATTGTACCATCCTCAACATCATAACAATCACTTACCTTGTATAAATGTCTCGTAGAGAAACTCCCATTCACAAGTGGAAGAGCGAATATCTAGGTGGCGCTGTAACTCGAACCGCGTGCCTTCTTACGAAGTTAAGCGCCAGGTTAGTGACGTCAGTGGTGACGTCACTGCACGCGGGTTACTGCTCAGAGTGGTAGACCACGTGGGCCCTAGGAAGATTGTTACGTCACGCAATGCCTGGTGCATTCCCCTGCGGACTGTGTTTAAGTAGAACATAACCCACCCACTAGATATTACACAGCAATACTGTACATGCACCTGCAATAGTTTTACGAGTGCTCAAGAAATGTAACGTGTATTATATACACGATGTGTTGTGTGTATACAATGCGTGCTTGAATATGTACGTAATTCGATGAGGGTACATAATATTAAAATATGGATATGCACGTATGGAAATAGTCATACATGTGCATACATGTGTCAACTTTATTAATATGCGTACACATGCAACCCCCCCCATCCTCCCATATGGATAATTACATTACAGTACGTGCGCTTGTAATAATTTTACGTACAGTATTTAGTATAATGAATATGCACGTGTTTTGCCTTTAATGTAGTGTGTATATATTGCCACTATGATCATTGTCATGACGATCATCACCGTTGCCACCAGTAACACCATCGCTGATATCATTTCCTTTAGCAGTATCGTCACTGCCGTTAACTCATCCATCATCATTTCCAGCACAATTAACTACATTACAACCATCACTATCGCCACAATTATCATCACCGACGACGTGGATGTAAGTTGAACTTCTTTCGCATCGTACACAGCCAACCATGCTAATCGGGCATGTGGGTAACATCTTCCAACCACAATTTGCATGACTAAAGCCATTACGAATAGTATCACTATCATTTCTGGGTGTCCGTCACCTCTACAGCCAACATCCCACTCGTATTTACCATCTTCAAATTACCATCACTTGCAACACGCAACACGAGCTAAGAGCAGCTTCTCGACCACTATCAGCACCATTACCACTATCAACACAATCATGACCAACATAATTGTCCATTATGAAGGACGCTACTGGGCAGTTGGAGGCAGTCGCCCTCCAACAACAACGGAGGGCGGAGGAGCGACGCTCACAACAACGAGCGGAGCGCCGGGTGGCTAAAGCACAGCAAGTTGGCACAGTAGGGGGCACAGGTGGTGCATCAGCCAGTCATCTCGGTCGTCTCGGTCAGTCGACCCGTGGCACCTGCTGGGTCTGCCCCGTGACCTCCTGCCAGCGGGCGTTCGACACTTCACGTGGCCTCAAGGTGCACATGGCCTGGCACAAGCGTCGTGGTGACGTCACTACCACTTAGTGGCGAATGGCGATTGTTGTTGGCGTGTGGGGTGTGTGGGGGGTGGAGCCTGTGCGGGGTGGGGGTGTGGAGGGGGTGGGGGTGTGGAGGGGGTGGGGCGTTTGGGGGGGTGGGGCGTGTGGGGGGTGTGGGGGGGGGCGTGTGGGGGGGTGGGGCGTGTGGGGGGGGTGGGGGGCGTGTGGGTGGTGGGGGGGGCGTGTGGGGGGTGGAGCCTGTGCGGGGTGGGGGTGTGGGGGGGGGCGTTTGGGGGGGTGGGGCGTGTGGGGGGGGGGTGGGGGGGCGTGTGGGTGGCGTGTGGGGCGTGTGGGGGGTGGAGCCTGTGCGGGGTGGGGGTGTGGGGTGGGTGGGGCGTGTGGGTGGTGTGTGGGGCGTGTGGGGGGCGTGTGACGGGGTGGGGCGTGTGACGGGGTGGGGGGCGTGTGGGTGGGGCGTGTGACGGGGTGGGGGTGTGGGCGAGGTGGGGGGGCGTGTGGGCGGGGCGAGGTGGGGGGGCGTGTGGGGGGGGGGTGGGAGGTAGGGGGCCCCGCCTCATTCATTTCCCGGTTCCCGCCTCTGGGCAGGCTGCGTTCGCGCTCCGGGCTGCGGCCTTCTTCACTCGCGCGGAATCAGGAAGAAAAAAAACCAAGGGGCCTCGCCCGTCTTCTCGTCCTTCTCCCCGGCGGCTGAGCGACGTGAGTGGCGGAGACACCGAGCCAGGGCCCGCCGATGCCCTCCGTGAGATGCGACCGCTGGCACGTCAGTCAATGCGGTCTGCGAGATACAAACCGCCCGAGGTCTATCGGGTCTATGAAATGCAAACGCGGTGATACTGTACGTTTTTTTTTTTACCCCGTATTCATGTACAGGGGACATCGAGTACAGTATTCAGGTTCATAACGGGCGAATAAAGTCTATATGTGTTTCTCCCTTTGTAATGGGACGTTGTAGGATGAATGTTCAGATTCCTAAGGGCGCGGGGTGACCAATAATGTCTCAATTTGTCCGTAATAAGAGAGGGCACTTATAAGGAGATTGACAGGAATGGTCAAATGCAGACTTGATTCTTTGCAAAAAGGTTTCTATTTGGTGATTGAAACGAAGTTATATCATGTTTGGAAACGCTCATTCGGCCATATCACTGCACTGCTGGATGAGGGGGCCTCTTTCGTTGCGTTCTCTGTTTTCAAGTCGGATTAGGCGCGGTTGGCCACGTACGGCACCAAAGATGTTCAACATAGGTACACACATACTAGGGAGTTCCAGATCATGGGGACAGCAGAGGAAAGTGGGCACATCCTTCCACTCGGCAATGATTGACTGGGAACTTGGACAAAAATCATTGGTTATTGGAGTTGAGAGTGTGTGTGTGGAGGGGAGTATGGTGAGTTGAGTGGTTAAGAGTGCATGGAGAGAACAGAGTGAGATGAGAGGGAAGTAAAGGGAGATTAAATGGGAGAGATAGGCAGGGGCGAGTCCATCAAATGGCTTGAATATAGTGAGCGGGTTCTGGAAGTTATCTGGGATTGAACTGGGGGAGGTCGTGATGGGATTGGAGTACAGGTAGGTTTTGTATTCATTTGGAGTATTTGGAGGTCATATGAGGTGTGGTTTTGTTCCGCTTCTACTGCGGAATGTAAACCAATGAAATTAAATATCCACATCTTCTCCCCACAGACGAATCGTACAGAATGGCATGTGCAGTGGCCACCCCGTTGCTGGAGCCGAGCGGGGACTTCCCGGCGTGGCTTGAGGCGCAGGGCGTGAACGAGGAGGTGGCTCGGGCCATGGACTCGGAGCTGGGCATCCGGGACTACGGGGTCCTGCGCGCCTGCGTCGAGGACACCCTCGTGCGGGCCGAGCTGCTGGCCACGGCACGCGACCGCCTGCCCTTCGGCTTCTACGCCGTGCTGCGGCAGGTGGTGAAGGCCCTTCGGGAAGCTGAGCCCCACGACGCTGGGACGCCGCGCTGGGACGACGATGCCACCGGCTCCTCCTCCCCTGGCGACGTGACGCTGGGAGGCCTGGTGGACGTGCTGCTCGCCCTGTTCAAAGGCTTGAGCCGGGAGCTGCTGCTGTCCGTGCAGAGGCTGAGTGATTGGGATGGAGTTCAATATCCTAAAGCTTCGTTAGACACAGATGTGTTCAGTAAAGAAGAATTGACAACTGAAATGGAAGATGATCTAATACATGGTATTTATACATTACCCTGTCAGTAATAATATCATACTACATAAGAAACACTTTTCTGTCTGGTTTCCTGCCGGGATTCCTGGCTGGCGCTCAGCCAAGTGATCGGGCGCGGTGGTGACGTCACCCGCAACCTACAGCTTTTGAGCCGGATGTGTGTGCTGATGTCACCCTGGACGTGTATCCTGTGCAAATGCATGCACGGGATACATTGTCATACAATCATGCTATATTGGAAAAAAAAATATTCTTGCTGGCTGGAGGGATGGACGTTCATCTCTAAAAGGACATGCTGGCTACTAATATTACAGATAAAATTGATAAAGGTGCAAACTGCAATGACTTGTTCATGCCACTGCTGGCAGGAGCTCCATTAGAGGGAGCTCTAGAGAACCCCTCATCAAGAACATGTCCTAATCTTGCACACTGGCCAGAGATCTTGCAAGAGGTTAGATTAAGTACATTTTATCCCACCGCACGCAGCTTGCCAATGGACTGTGGTGTACCCATTCTGCTGGCTGGACAGAGGCGTCGTGATTTAACAAACTCTCGCAATCACCTCAGCTGTCGCACTCTCGCAGAACCGGCAAAAATCTGGATTGCAAGTCCTGTGTGTCAAGCATTACACCATGGCAGCATCCATTATAAAGTAATGTTCTTGTGATTTGTCAATTTTTAAATTAAGTGACAATGTCAGGAGAGAACAAGCACAAAACTCGTCATTCCAGTGACGGCTCAAAATTGCTTCGAGTGATGTCTATACCGAGGTGACGTATGGTTAAACAGCCCCATTGAAAAATTTGACGTAGAGCACCATCCAGCACTGGAGTGGCAAAGGGCCGTAAATTGTTATGATTTTATCATTTAAATCTTGACCACAGACAAAACTATATTTTTTGCTAAAATTAATATTTTGCAGCCTCAAATGCGATGTGGGGTTGTACCGCGTGATGTTTGGAATTTTGCTCCCAAGTGCTGGGAGATTTTTCAGCCATTCTAGAATTTTACTCCATTCTAAGAAAAAATCACTCCCTCAATCAATTACTCACGACCGTACTATCTATATAAAACATGTCGATGTGTCATTTGGGTGTGTTGCAGATGAGCCAGAAGAGATAGAAGATGCAGTCGGTGATGACTCAAAAAATAACTTGACAGTGAACCTTTTTAAAATGGAGCCCTTTCAAGGTACAGCCCTTACTTGATTAATCAAATATGCAACACATTCACCATATGTAGCAACTTTTGTGAACCTAGTTCCAAGACCTTCCTCTTCTCTGCCTATGACTCCCTGACTTCCATACATGAAGTATCTGAAATGTACATGTACTTTTTTTCCCATCCACAACTGGATGAGGGCCCCTCCCCACTCTGCGAATCATGGTAATTATTTGACCACCCTTCACGCTGCACAGTGCAGGTTGATGACGGGCGGAAAATAGACGTGGCAGTACAGTGCAGTACAACAATGGATTTGGCTGCACTGCCGTCTTCTGCCCATCACGTAGCCCCGTAGTATATATAGTAGCCCCCTTAGTATATTATATTAAAAAAAACTGTTATGGTGGTTAACCACAACCAACCACTGTCCAGATTCAAAGAGCCTGCTTAGCTTCTGAGATCTAATGGGATCAGGTGCATTCTAGGCGATTTGGTTAGACATAAATGACAGCCTGCAAATTGCCTGAAACATTTTTGTGGCATGTATTGTCTGACTGTCATTCGGTCTTGTCCGACGCGTTTTCCAGATGCCGTCACTGATTTCACAAATCCCGTGCTGATACCTCAACCGTCGCAGTGCAACTCTGAAGCGTATACTACAAACGAGCCACTCGGTAAGAGATCGAGTTAGGTTGCAGACGTGCAACACCGATGCAGTTTAAAGGGTGACTTTAAGTACATGAGACTCGATGCAGATCAGCACCAGCATCATCGCGAGATTGTGTTCGCACCGCATTGCCTCCTCTCCCAGAAAATGTTTTCTCATTGAGAGTAGGTTTGAGGCCAGATCGATGGTTAGCACAACGCTTTAATTAACCCTACGACCTGAGTTTGATTCCCACCTAGTGTGGTGAAGTACAGTTACATGACCCCAGTGAATGACACTTGGGAAGAACACTTTGTTAATCCAGCAGTGGATTAACAAAGGGATGTGAACTACGATTACATATTTATAAAAACAAGCCGACCCGTGGAAAAGCTACTATATACCCTCCAATCTCTAATCAATCTTTACAATAGGAGTAGTTTTAACATAGGATCTTAAATGTTGGGCTTGCATCTGCTCACGTTTCCCACTCATAACAAGCTCATTACATGTATGTGTATATTATAGAGGATTTTTATAAGTATATGGACAATATATATGCGCACTTGCCGATTGTCACTCACCAATGGTCGGTGACCTCATCACTTATTGTATCATTCCTACTATGTTCCCATGAACTTCACTCATTTATTCCTCCACCAATATTGAGGACTGTGTCTACCACACTGTTTTTTGCCATCATACTGCTTGTGGAAACGCTACTCTTTCTGCTTCTTTCCTTGCACTGCTTGTCTTTGGAATACCACTGCTATCGTCGCATTTCCCAAGTTCTTATAACCTTGCTCAATAACTAATGATCTTTTACAGCTTAAATTATGCTATTTATTGCTGACTACCTGGTGTCTTTGGGACCCCGGAGTCTGTACTCGGCGTTCGTTATGAAAATACATAAATGCATTGTAGTTTTTTTTTTACTGCTGCAAAATCTAATTGGTGGCATCGGCTTTGGCCATGACATCTTGATTGACTTTCTGGTAAAGGTGAACATCATTTGGCTGACCAGCCCGGAATCTTGATCCAGAACGTGACTTCACTGCCAGCATCGGGCACAACCGCTGCGTTCACTCAACCTTATCTGTGGCCTCAGCAGGAGGCGGCTGAAACATATGGTGAAGAAACTGCCGCCAAAAAAAAATCCCATCCACCGAAGCATCAACGCTCATTTGCATCGAGCAACAGGAAAACGAACCCGGGAATCCGGGCCGCCTCCGTCGGCAAGAATGGACCGTACGTGTTAAAACGCCCGAAGGCGGCTGAGTTGGAGGACACCAAAGAGAAGCCGTACCAGTGCGAGCTGTGCGGCTGGAGCTACTCCCACACCTCCAACCTGAAGCGCCACCTACGCACGCACACGGGCGAGCGGCCGTACCGCTGCAACATGTGCGGAAAGACATTCTCGCAGAGCTGCCACATGAGGTCGCACAAGCGCACGCACACGGGAGAGCGGCCGTACCACTGTGGCGTGTGCGGCAAGACGTTCACGCGCTCCACCATGCTGCGATTCCACCAGTGCGGACGTGGAACACTGCCCGTGAGCGAGTGAAATGTCGGGGCTACACGAACGAGCCGGGTCTGCGACTTCAGTTGATTAGTCTGTAATATTAATAACGCTATTTCTGCGTTGAACAGGGCCATGGTTTTGGTGGAGTGTTCTTGCCTGTATGTATGTTGAACGTCTTTTGCACCATATGTAGCCAAATGTGTTCATGTTGAGGGGGAAGGACAGCAAACTAAACACAAAGCAGTTGTAAATAAATAAGTGCAAAGCTCCAGTGGCCTCCTTGCATATAATAATCGTAATTTACACTTAGAAAGTGCGTTTCACCCAGAGGTCGCAAGGTTGTACAAAGCTAAAAGCAAGTAAGTAAATAATTCATGATTTAACCACGGATACAAATACCCCCCCCACCACACTCCCAAAACACACAACCAAATTAACAAATAAAAGGCCTCTAAAAAAGAAAAATCTTAATGCGGGAACCGAGAGAGTGAATTCCACAGTTTAGGGGCCACAGTAAAAGGCCACCATGGTCACCCATTGAACAGAGGTACGACTTCGGCGCACACACAATAACTCGCACAGACGACCCAAGAACTCGCGTTGGGACATGGGTGGAGGTCACGGATGTAAGAGGGGGAGGGCACTGTTGAGGTTACAGTATTTAACAAGCCTGATTGCTGATGAGACCCAGAAGGTTTAAATTAGTCCAGATTTTGCTTGCTTCAACATATGTCGATGCATCGTTTTTGTCGGGAAAACAAATAGACCTCTGATTAAAAGTTGTTTTTAATTTAAATGTGGAGACACCAAACGGAGTTCTGCTTATATACAATTTTCATTGAGGGTGGCTCAGGTCAAGAGCGCGGAGCTGGAACTGCTGAAATTTTCTAAGTTCAATTATCTGCGTCTATCCGCGCTTCGTTGTAGCGCCGGAGATGGGCCACACTTACCTGCAGTGGTCAACAGGGCCCACCAAGGGCGGTACCTCGTACCGGCAGGGGAGTTGCTGCATTGCCCAGCCCAAAGGCAGGAGGGGCTGCGGGGTGTTCTGGGATCCCCCGCTGCCCCTCCCAACAGGAGGGGGCTGCGGGGTGTTCCAGGATCCCACGCAGCCCCGCCCCTCGGTGGGGAAGGTGAATATAAGCGAACCTCTCCAAAGGTTCGGGGTAGAGGCCGACCGAAAGTATGCCGAAAGTGGCCAATTGCCAACTTTTGGCATACTTTCGGTTTTGGCCGAAAGTAAATTTTTTACTTTTGGTTTCGGCCAAAAGTCAATTTTTCACTTTCGATTTTGGCCGAAACTGATATATATCCCACTCACGGCCGGTGACGATTATTTGAACCGGTCCTGGGCCTCCCCTAGGTCGACTCAGCCTCAAACGAGTAAGTGGTGTGGTGTCAACATCGCCACTGGAGAGACAAAGGCGGACGGCCATGGTGAATCCAAGTCCCGGGTGAAGCCGGGTAGTAAAGCTAGTACAGTATTTCATAAATCTTGTGTTCGGTAACTTCGGTTAGATATTTTTCTGTTTCGGTCTCGGCCGAAAGTGAAGTTAAACTTTCGGTTTCAGCCAAAAGTCCATTTTTTTTTCGGTCTGGTTTCGGTTTCGACCGAAACCAGAAATTCTGTTTCGGTCGGCCTCTAGTTTGGGGTCCAGTCGACAGAAGGCCAGCCAGCTTAGGACCCTGGACCCCCTAACCCCGCAGTCCTTGTAAAAGCCGGGGCTCTGTGCGGGCCAGTGGTGGGACCATGGGACTCCCAGCCTGACATCCTTGTAAGGGCCAGGTCCGAGGAAGCCAGTGGTCTAGACCCACACCTTGGCTGGGTTGGGTTAGCCTCCCCGAGGTAATTCGAAGCCAGAGGACCTGAGAGCGTAGCCGGTGTCAGGCACGCTAGACGTAGGCTGAGTCCCTAGTCTGTATACGAAGGTCTGTTACTGTTGTGCGTTATAATAAACGCGTCGCCTCTACAAGTGTCTCCGGAACTCACTACACCTGTACGAACTGAAGCTCTGTGTGGATAGCAGGATCTACCGATAGCTTCCCCCGACATTCTGTATTCGAGGATCTTCACTGAACGGTGTGATGGATATGCCTTTAAATGTTGTTCAAAATTATATTTCTAATTAATATTGAGCAGTGTTTTCCATGGAAAGTGTGAAGCAGTTTTTATTATATATATTTGCACTATGCACAAATTACTATTTTCTGCGTAGTGTCAAAAGTAAATCTAGGTGATACCTTTTCACGGAAGTTATAAACATCGACAGAAGAAATAATTTTCTATTGACTGTATTCGTGAAAAAGGCATAAATATTCATGGAGAAACATAAGCATCTCATATTTGCTGATGACAGAAAATATGACCGTTGTCAGATGGAGATGACCTGCAGGGAAAAGTTATGATTTAATAAAAAAAGTCTGAAAGCTTGTGTTTGGGTTAAATGAGGAAAAACAAGGTCGTTAGACAAAGTTAACCAAACACTTCATATATTGGAAGGACAACTGGAAAACACATCAAAATGTATACCTAGGACAGCTATTAAAACTGATGACATCCAGATGTTATGATGCCATGTGACATTACATCCGAGCACTAATCTGTACCTTATGTTCGTCGGTCTCATTTATCTTTCAACTTACAAATCCTTGTGTTTTTATCTGTAGCAATGTCATCTGTTATCTAATTTAAATCACTTTCAGTTCACTAATCTACATTTTAAATTTTGACTTTAAACTTTCGTGACTGCAGAAATTCATATTCTTGGTTCTTTCGGTAAAGTCCCGTAGATAGAAAATTAAGTTTAAAATAAAACCCAAAAAATCACGACGTTACGATCACAACACTCTTGTGTTGTGATCGTAACGTCGTGATTTTTTTGGTTTTATTTTGAATTAAAATATTTCTAATTTTAATTTCTATCTACATGACTTTACCGAAAGAACCAAGAATATAATCTACATTTTGTCTCCGTGACCATATCTCTGGCCACTCAATAGCTTGGTGGGTCACTTCCAAGAACCATCATGGGCCTCATCTGACCCTCGATGTTACCAGTAACAAACCCCAGGATTACAGAATGACCAGAATGGACAACTCATTTAGACAATTTATATGAAGAGTACATACTGCATCAGGTACTTTTACATTTTGAAGCGTAACTGAAAGTTAATCAATACAACACCTGTTAAAAGTCTTAAGTATCCCTATATTTACACATGCTTTTTTATAATTCGTGCTGGCCTTTCGCCAGTGGTGGAATTCCCACCTTCCTTCAGTGAGGTCCAATCAACAGCTTTCGATTTCTGCAGCGAAGGTTGGAAATTCCACATTTTTCTCCCAGGAACAATCCTTAATGAAAACACAACCCCCACCCTATTGATTTTGCTGCACCAAGTGGTGCACATTTTACCCTTCCCAGAAGGAAGATGACGACGATGTTAGTTAAATAATCCTTAGAAATCTCAGTCTTCTCAATGTTTAAAGGGTCCAGTCAGATGCACAGCACAGTTTTGTAAATCTCCATTGTCGTGTCTTATCCACCACACCGATTACAGGGGTTGGAGTATATCGTGCGGTGGACATACGCACGTGTTATACCGCTGCCCCTCGCAGGCAGTCCGTCAAACAGACGTAACGAGCGTACAGCACTTAGAAGTGCTTGTTCATAACAAACTCGCACTCGAGAGTTTATACCACCTTGACCTGGAATCAAACCAGGTGCCTCCGGATGACGGTACCAATATGCAACCTGTAATGATGCATTATGTATGCAAATCATTAAGTTTGCATGTACATGACACGGGAATAAAACAGCAAACAATGCAAAATACACAAATATACCATAAAACCATCAGTATACGTGAGAGTTTGGAATGTCTCCCGTGAGAGATTTTCTTAACTTGGCTATGCATAAAGTACACCGCAACAAGTGTTGGATAATAACGATACACGTCGTAAATATATTACATCCATTCCAGATATACAACCAAATCAACAGTAAGAGAGTTCCTGGTAACAGAGTAATGTAAAAGATAAGGTAAAGGTGGAGCCCTGCAATTGCTTGCTCACATCACTGCTGGCAGGACCTCCATTAGAGGGAGCTCTAGAGCCCTTCTAGAGCAGTTGTTCACAACCTTTTTTTTGGCTGTTACCCCCCTTGTTGAATTTTGTTTCAACCGAGTAACCCCCTTTCCTGGCCCAACATGGTTGAGAAATGTATGAATAATGAACATATTTTCACCAATTGTCCATTTTGTGAGGTATCCCAACTTGCTATTAACTGCAAGCGAATACAAAAAAAATCACCGGACCCTTTGCATGGATGACGCCATTTGTTCACGCTCGCAGGTTACCCTTTGAAACCCCACATTACTTACGATCAATGAGTTTAGCAAGGTCTTTTATATCATTCCAGGTTATATGGATTTATTTGTCATTTTATCTTGGCAGATTCATAAATTATTATTCACCAATGACTCGCATGTATGATATAATTTCACACGGTTAGAAACACCTCACCTGTGACATTGCCACGTACACCCCCAGGGGTCCGCGTACACCCGGTTGAGAACCACTGCTCTAGAGGGCATTTGGTCCACATTCACCCTGGCCAGATTCCTTGGAAGAGGTCGGAGTAGCCGCACCTTTTGGAGATTTAAAAAACTTGCTCACTGTTTTACCTGCCACGCTGGGAGATCACAACAAACCCAACCCACAACCTCTAGATTACAAGTTCAATTTGCAAACCATTCCATCACGGCAGCATCATGTATTCTTGCGTCATAAAATGTGGCAGAGGCGCAAAGGATCTACCACCAGGAGTCCATTCGCGACCGAGCTCGCCGAATGTCGCTTCACCGTCTCCGCTCTACGTCTGTGGAGTAAGCTTCCTGCGGTAATACGCAATGAGCGATCGTCTACAGTCTTCAAGAGACGGCTGAAGATATATCTGTATGAAAGAGCATTTGGGCGACACTTGGGCTTTGTGCCGTGTGCTCTAGACTTTTGTGAGTGACTCGCTGCACGAGTTCTACACCGCGCTCTATTAATCGGACATTATTATAGAAGATAGGGTTGTTATAGGTTCACCTTCCATGTTTCATGTGCACATTGATACCATTACACATACATAGCGTTCGTATGAAGTTCCATCCGTTCCTCGACACTGATACAAAAGCAATGAAATTCTGTCCACATCTGACGACTCGGAGGACTTGTGTGTGTGTGTATATAGTGACCACCACTGGAAGTCCATACATTACTAGATGCTAATTTGGGGGAATACTGCATGTAGTATGTTACTGGGGATCCATACATTCCCGAACATTGATAGAGAATACTGATGTTTGTAGTGGACACTACTGAAAGTCTATACAATTCTGGAGAGCACATAGCACTGCTGTGTGTTGTATACATCACTGGAAGTCCATACGCTCCTGAACATTGATGTAGGACGCTGTTGTGTGGAGTGGATGCGATTGTAGGTCCACATATTCTGGGACACTGCCACAGGGGACTGCTGTGTGTAGTGTACATCACTGGAGGTTCACACATTCCTGGACACTGATACAGGAAACATTGCGGAGTGGGCATCACTGGAGGTCCAAACATTACTCGACATTGATACAGGATATTTTAGTGTGTTGCGGACATCACTGGAGGCTGATACATTCCTGGACATTGATATAGACGACTGATGTGTGTAGCGGGCACTACTGGAGGGCCATGCCATTCCTAGACACCGATACAGGGCACTGCTGTGTTTGTATCAACCACCATCGGAGGGTTCATTCCTGCACAACGATGCAAAGGATTCCTTTGGACACGGGCCACCGCTGTACGTTTGTTCGCACTTTGCCGAATGCTCCGCCTCAGGCTCACATGAGCTGCAGCTTTCCGACGAGCTCCAGCACCTTGCTCCTCCTGCAGAGTGCTCGCGGTGCCGGCATGCCATACACGTGCTCGAGGAAGCCATAGACGGGTGCCACCTGAGCCGGGTACTGCACCCCGCACACCCAGAGCAACTTGAAGAGCTGGTCCAGTGCTCCAACCAGTGTCGACTGCCGCAGCGGCAGCGCTACGCCGGCGCCGCGTGCCACAATCGCGTAGCTCGGACGCCCCGATCCCACCGCCGCCGCCGGCGCCACCGCTCCGACTCCAAGGCCGACGAGGAAGGGCTGAGTCCGCGGAGGGAAGACAGCAGCGTCGTCGAGCAGCGCACTGGCGCTCGTGCCCACCTGTCGATTCGTACGTGGGTATTTTGCAGATTTAAATATTTTAACCCGGATTTATCCCTTCATATGGAACATCTCTCGATTTAAAGCTTTCGTGACTGCAGGGATTCATCTTCTTGGTTCTTTCGGTAAAGTCACGTAGAAGGGAAGTAATAAAATAATAAAAATAAAACATAATAAAACAATTCTCACGACGTTTCGGCCACAACGCAAGCAGCCGTCCTCAGGTGAAAACCAGGTCCGTCGAGGCGACAGAGTCTGAATGAGACTCTGTCGCCTCGACGGACCTGGTTTTCACCTGAGGACGGCTGCTTGCGTTGTGGCCGAAACGTCGTGAGAATTGTTTTATTATGTTTTATTTTTATTATTTTATTACTTCCCTTCTACGTGACTTTACCGAAAGAACCAAGAAGATGGAACATCTCCTTTACAAGGCAGGTTTCAAGTGGCACAAACATGGCAAAGACTTATAGAAACATGTTAAAATATGTGTGCAGTATACGTTTATACAATGTCAAATACATTTATACAGCACAGAACAGGTATGTACATTTGTAGTGTAGAATTGAAATAAAGTTTAGTCGGTTGGTTTTCGCAGGCACTCGTAATCTAAGTGTGGTCTTCCAGATCAGGCCATGTGCTGGGGGTTTTTTCTGTCAAGCTTCTGCCACACACTCCTGCAGGCATCTACATCAACTCCAGAAGATGCCCATATCAGTTCTTCAGGAACTAAGGTAAATCCCCGCAGTATTGTGTGGCGAAAAACCTTGACAGAAGATACGCACAACACGTGGCCCAGCTCGGAAGAGCGCACTTGGGCGGAAGGAACTATTACAAGCAAACACAGCAGCCAATCCTACATTGGAAGGTGATTCTTTGATTAGAACAATTATTAGTAGAGCTGCAGTGCATGATTGACCCGATACCTCGGTAGGCTTTGCCCCTATACCACCTGGGTCATAGCTACTTTCCAGCTTGTCTGGTTCCTCAGCGTGGCGAGATGCAATTTGCATGAACGACGCTATCATAAATTAAACATTGTCATGAGATGAATTAATAAAAAAGTCTCACAGAGCAGCGCAGCACCCCCCGCATGTCAGAGAATGGCCCATGGAAAGAGATATTACAGAACCACTCCTGAAATATTTTCATAGTGACCTCTTATCCACAAATTAGTGTGCAGCTTTCTTCCAGGCATCCCCGCTACAGAGAGGAATGTGTGCCGCATGACAACCAAACCAGTATTTAACACTCTCAAGAGATGGATTTTTTGCCAAATTTAACACGATTTTTATCGTTGTGGCCATTGGTGACCGAGCCGAGACCATCAACCTGCTGCTCCTCCGATGAGCACGGTTGGCTACATATGGTGCGAAAGAAGTTCAACGTACATACGTCTATACCCGAGAACCCGGTTTAATCACAGGTGGTTTCGCCAAAACCCCGATTCTATTCCTGGCGTATAACTCACCGGAGCAAAGTCGACGAGGTAAGGAAGCGCACATTTGATGCTGCACTTGGAGCCCTTGGCTGGGCCGGCCATCGTCGGGGGGAGCAGGTGTGTCAAGATTTTGAGCATCGTGAAGCAGACTTCATCTGAATGAGAAAGAATCGTACATGGAGGCAACGATAGCAAAAAGAAAACGGAGTCAGGTGACGTGCACATGTTTACGGGCCCTTGAATGCGGGAAAGGGAGGTGGGGTCGGTGAATCAGGCGTAGATTGTCGTCACATGCTGTGAAACTCTTGACCTATTGGGCTGGTGAGACTGCCGAGTAAAAATCGTTACAGAAAGCGGGTGGGTACCCGTTTGTGGAAGATGTTGAGTGCTATCCCAACCATATGCGGGTTTGCTTCTCCACACACATGAAACACTCATTGCAAAATAATTGCCCAAACATCTCAATATAGTAAAAATGTACAGCCCTGTATCAGTCCATCGCTGGATGAGGGCCTCTGCATATTATGTGGGTTTGTGGGGGTGACCATACTTCACCACACTGGTCAGTGTGATGTTGGTGATGGCAGAGAGTATAGAGGTGGGAATATAGAAGCAATTGAAATCCTCGCTTAACGTGTGTTCATAAAATGTGCTTTTGCTATAACGAGGTTCTTCCATGGGGGTTACACTTTTCACACAAAGCGGAACGCGCCCCCCGTTATGACGCAGTTTCTGAGCAGTCGACAATGAACTACTTTCTTGAGCTGCGCGGCTAAGCTGTATGATGTTGTACGCAGAATGATACAGTATGCGGAATGATACATTATGCGGCATACCCTCATCTCGGTTATTTGCCCTGCCATGGGATAACTGCAAGGATCATTTAAAAGTGCAAATGTGATTCAAATTTGCAATTTTTATTTATTCATTCCCCGTAGTGTGTATATATATAGTCAGTAATTCTGCACTTAATGCAGCACTTTGCAGGAATGCATCTTCTGTGTTAATAAATTACTGTTTCGTACTACAATAGATTTTTTGCGCTGCTCACTGCTGCCCACCACGCAACCCCAAGCTCAAGCCTGCTTAGCTTCTGAGATCTTGACGAGATCGGGTGCGTTCCAGATAATTTAGTTTTCGAGAATTAAATACTCTCGCGGACGCACGTACATTGGAAAGAATGTATGTATGCTGAACTTCTTTTGCACCGTATGTAGCCAATCGTGCTGATTGGAGGTGCAAAGTGTGTCCACCCCTGCACTGTAATAAAGCGTCATGTAAATCCACGCATTTTTTTGCTCCGCACCTCCGATTAGCACGGTTGGCTATGTATGGTGTGAAATAAATTCAAAATACACACGTTCTTACTCGTTTCTGTTTGCGCCTTCCCTTCGAGGGGGCTGCCTTGCAGCCGCGTCTCTCTGTGGCTGAAAGAGCGGGGGTGTGTGTGGACCGTGCTCACCGGGGGTAGCTGCCACCTCCACATCCCGGAGGAGGATCTTTACGTCCTCGGACTCGTGAACGGCGAGCCGGCGCAGCTTAGGCACGTACGTGTGCTCCCACCGCTCCACAAAGTTGCGTCCCTTCCCGTATGAGATTTTGTCGAACTCCGCATCGAGCTGGGCGAGGGGGACAATTTTGAGATTTTTAACCGCGATGTTCGTCAGCGGGGTCAAAGGTGCCCCCCCATTACTGTCGTTGTCGTCATCAATCAAATAATAATTAGGGTCATTATTATTATCTCTAGAATATTGCAATTGTCACTAAACATTGATGGCATTGCCAATACACTCATCCATAGTCACCCAACCACTTACACGTGCATCCTACCTACATATTTATCCAAACATCCACCCACCTACCCTCACTCAAATACACACCCATACTTGCCTAATCACTCCATGACCAAATTCATCACATTCTCACGCATAAACACACCCACTCATATACACATTCATTCACACACCACCCTCACCCACCCATTCATACTCACTCATCGCCTCTTTCACTCATACTCACATACAAACCCACGTAATCGTCCAACACTCAATAACCCACAATATCACAATTTCATCTAACATACTTACCCATTCATTCACCTTACTCACTAAATCACCCACTCAATCAAAAACTCATCCAACCACTCTATCCACACCACCCAGCCACCCACCCACCCACCAACACAACCACCACCCGCAATCTGACTCAACTCACCAGACCGGGAATAGCCACCAGGCGCTGGAAATCTCGCGGGATTTGCTCTGGGTCGCTCGTGGCGTCGCTCGGGTCCAGCAGCAGTGTCCGGCTCCGCTTGACGGCCATCGCCGCCGCCATGCCGCACCCGCCCTCCTCCAGTTTCCGCTTGTGCCTTTTCGAGAATTTTTTCTGGTCGGCGTTCAGCTTGCGCCGCAGATTCCGCAGACGGACTTCTACAAATCCCGTGTGGCCCTGAGGGTCGTAAAAATGTTCCTGTGGCAGACACAGGCGCAAGATTGTTCGATGCGGATCGTGCGTATTTGTTATGCTGTAACGGGGGTGGCCAAACTTCCTCGCCGTACGTGCCACATGCAAAAAATCTTCATATGGCTGAGAGCAGCAAGATTTGCGGGGCCGGTGTGCATTTGTGAAAGCTCCCCAGGAGTAATCATGTTTGGCTCTGTTGCCAGGTGCAAGTGCCCCGGGCCACTCCTGCTTCTGCAGATTTTTCCTATTTCAAATGAGGTTACATTGAAAAGTAAAACAATTGTATATCTCTTGAGCCACACTTTTAACAATCCAGGAGCCGCATGCGGCTTTTGAGCTGTGGTTTGTCCACCCCTGTACTGAAATAATATTAACGACGATTATTAAATTCTAACTCAGTGTCAGACTCATTTTCAGAAGGATCCTGCACGGGGTTGCTTGGTCAATGTCTTTTTAAGGACTCTTTTGCAATAAATGTAATGTTTTTCACTCACATTCTTACCACCAACTTATTCACCCACTTACTTACCACATTGTTACCCACCCACAATACCTACGCACCTACTCACTAATTCAGTCACTTACACAGTTACTTGCCAACACACTCGCTCACAATCGTACGCACAAAATTACTCGATTAGCACGGTTGGCTACATACGGTGCGAAAGAAGTTCAACATATGTACTCACCCACCCACTCTTTTACCAACTTACTCAACCACCAACATAATCGCTCACATTCTCAACCAATAACATATCCACATACTCGGTCACATACCCACTCACTCATTTGCTAAACTCACTCATCTACCCGAGAATATAACCAGCAGATTAGGTAAATAAACTCACATGGCCAGTGACACTAGAGCCCCCGATGTCCAGTCTCTGGGACGGGAAGATGTCGATTATTTCCTGGGAGATGCTCGTCTTCTCCACGGAACTTGGGTAGCTAGAGGGTGTTGGGGGAGTACAGAAAGACCCATGCGGCGTCATGATAAGCCCCCCCCCCCCCCAAAACCATGCCTCAATGCCTGATACATGCAGTGTAATACTTAATGTATTAAAATTGGATCTCCATTATGATTTTATTACAAAAAAGTATTTCTCCTACAGTAAAACCTTGGATTGCGAGCATAATTCGTTCCGGAAACGCGTTTGTAATCCAAAGCACTCGTATATCAAAGCACCCGTACATCAGTTGTGATCACATGACGCTCGGCAGACAAAGCGTATACACGTACTGCTCGTATTGCAAGACCTCGCTCGTTTATCAAATTAATATTTATTTTAAAAAATTGCTCGTCTTGCAAAACACTCGCAGACCAAGTTACTCGCAATCCCAAGGTTTTAACGTATTCCCACTTCTGCTCTATGCATCATGTCATGGAACTCTCGCCGAGCGGTGTATTGCGTCACTTTCCCACATTCCCTGTGAATGATAAATGTTGTTCGCATTACTTTCAAATCGATTTTTTTTTCAAATTATTATCAGACATAGCCAAAGTAGGTGAAAAAGCAAACAATTTGACAGTGACTGGACTAAGACCATCAATTCCCAACACTTGAGAATCCGGTTTGATCACGGGCGGCTGAAACTTGTATTCGAGCTCAGGTTTTCATAACACATGTATCAATTTGCACATGTTTGTAATGTACACCTAGACTAACTGAACCAAGGGGACACATAACTAGACGGAATAAACCATTCAAATGATGAAAAGTAGACCTTTAAATTAGATTAAAATGTGTCTATAAATGAGACTAAAATGTGTCAATAAATGACCATGCATTGAATTGAAATTGAATTGCAACAATCCTAGTAGCTAGTTATGCTTCAAACCATACAATAAACTAATGCGGTTTACTTCTAATAAATTAAACAAATACCGTATCCATCCTGTTCTTCCTGTAAAGTTATGCAGGCCGGACATCGACTCCAAAGACTTTAATCCCACAATTCCTTGCTTAAAACAATGCAATGTATTCTTCTTCTTCTTTCGTATGGCAGATGTAGATGCAGAGCAACATCTACAATTTTACATTCAGGTGGTTAAGCCAGATAATCAGGTCAGTAGTAGCGGAGTGGATCGCTGTGATGTCTCCTTCGTATTTGTGGACTGTGCATTGCGTTGTTATATGTTGTACGGTCTGTTCTGGATGACCACAGTCGCACGCTGGAGAGTTTTTAATTTATCTTACTAAGCATGGACTTAAGCCAATGTTGAGGGGAGTTTGACCTCATAGGTAATTTGCCCCTTATTGCTGATTATAGCATTTTAGAAGTATCGTAATAAAATTCCATATCTGTAATTTTAAAAGTAACATAACCTAATTACTTGACTATGTTTAAAATTACTTCATTTAAATCAGCCTAATCAACTCGGAACATGCCCGATCTTGACAGATCTAAGCAGGCTTGAGCCTGGATAGTGCTTGGGATGGTTCACCACTGTGCAAAGCAGGTGACTATAGGCTGTGGGACTATGTTATGAGAAGCACAGTGTGGGGGAGGCCCAAATCCTGCAGCATAATAACAAAGGGCTATCCACGCATCTTTAAATCAATGCATGCTAGGTTGATTTAAATTCATAAATGACAGCACTATGCTCAGTGTGTACAGAGACATACATTGTCTCTGTAGACACTTATATTAAAACTGGTTCAGAGTTTTGCTTGCAATGAATCAACACTGCTGAAAATCTTTCACTTCCAGAAGTCCGTGGGACCTATGGGTTGTGTAAACATTACTTTTATTTAAGTGGAGACAGCTTTATGAGACATATTGTCTACATATCTATATTTGGTAATAATATAGTACTGGTGCTGGTCTTTGGTAATCGGATTACACTAACCGGTTACCGCCCAGGACTACACATACACAATACGTGCAAAGATGCACACATACATCATGCTTTCGCACATATAACCGCACATATATACTGCATAAAGATCACTATATAGCCTTATTAGTTGAGTGGTTGAATGCCGTTAGTACCTATTAAGGTCATATCGCGTACGTGAAGGCGGTGACCAGTGCCATGCCTTGCTGTCTTTGTCTCTCGAGTGCTAAAGTTCACACACCGCACCAGCTACTTATTTAAAGCAAAGTCCACCTAGGGGAGGCCCAGAACAGGTTCAGAATCCACTTGCCACTGATGTCATCCATGGCTGGGCATCGAACGCCTGTCTACAGGTTTGCAGTGCTGTGCACGAACCACTACACCACCACTCCTCACAAACGCACACACACTAACTGCACATATGCCAAGACAAGGACTTCTTCAGCCTCACGAACCTCACTTTAAAATTGTGTTAGTGAGCAACTATTACGGTTACCACAGCACACGAGGGGACACACGCACATACGTGTAACAAACACAGAAACACAACAGATAGTTTATCCCGAACAATGAGTATATCTACGTAGCAACAACCTAGCGTATGTCCGTATGTCTAGCTATCTATCTGGCCATCTGCCTTTATGCCTGCCAATCAGTGTGCCTGTGACAGTCTACCTGTTCTTTCTATCTATGTGTCTGTGTGTGTGCCTTGTCTGTCTGCTAGACCATCTACCTGTTTATAGGTCTCTATATATATACGCCTGCATGCCAATCTACTTGTGTGCCTACCTTTCGTCAGCCTGTTTTTCTCTTCTGCCCGTCTGTCTCTCTGCTTGCCTTGCCTGCTGGTCTGCCTGTATGTCTGTCTTTCTGCCTGCGTGACTGGCTGCATAACTGCCTGCATGCCCGCATGTCTGCATACGTGTCTGGTCAATCCTGCCAGCGTTCTTGCCTTTCTCTAACTCTGCCTGCCTGTTTATCTGTCTGTATATCTGTATGTATATCTGTATGCATATCTGTCCGTCCGTCTGATTGGGAGACAACACCTCACCACACCGCGACACTGTCGAACTGCTCAGGAATACGTACAAGCCGTGCCGTTCGACCAGGTGGGAAACGGCCAATTTGACCAATTCCTTCCTCGAGGACTGCGATAACATGCCTGTGCTCTGGCACGCTTCAAAGAGGTGTGGCGCGCGCCTCTGCAGGAATGCGCGGAGGTTCAGGGGTGCCCGGGTCCCCGCAGCGCTCTGGCAGTTAGCGGCGACCGCCTGCGGAAATAACAGTGTCGCCGTTATCATCACGATCATCATCACTGTCGTTATCTTTATGATTGTCATCACCATCATCATCTTCACGATTGTCAATCATCGTCATAATCGTCATCATCTTTAGTGTGCTGTTGCAACGATTGTTGCGAAGTTGTCATCGCCACCACCATCCTCGCTACCAATTCCAACATGACCTTAGTCTTCATTTCAAATATGTAATATCAGCATTGTCTTCATCATTTGTCCTCTGGACCAAATATCCCTTTCTATAGGCCAATTCAATTTGCGAGAAACTATACCGTGTAAGGATGCATTGATTCATAAACTAAAATAGATTCTTACGATAACTTTGTATGTAACAAGTCGTGCGTGAAAGAATCAATTATTTTTTTACCATTTTTTAAAGAGAATTATATAATCTATTCGTACCATGATTCGTGACAATTCATCCAAACACTGGAGGGATTAATCGGTACATGACTAGGAGACATTCATTTTGTTAATTGTACTATTCAAATGTACACATGACTAGGAGACACTCATTGATAGTACTATTAAAATGTACACAAATGGACACATTTGAATGAGGTCAACTCATAATCCGCAGCTCACAAATTCAAATCCGGGGTGGCAACCACCTCAGCCCATCATCATCATCATCCTGCAAGGAGGTTACATTATTGCGATTTTGTGGGAAGTCAATGGTGAGTGTTCTATGTAGAGAAAAGCTACTGCCATGGGAATATAGAATTTCCACAATTAGCTTAGGGCTGTCAATAGAAAAAAGCAGTGCCTCCCACATAACTTATCCTAATAGGGGCAAATTTGATACAATATTCTTTGGCTTTATAGAGCGTCTAAATGCAACCCTATCTCAACATTCACATCTTGACAAAATAGCCAAAAACATTGCTTGGGTGATCTTTTCCCAACTGTATATAATTAATACATGTCCTGTCCTCGGAAAGTTAATTCAATTGTTTCTCATCGCATGATCTCATTCGATAAAAATGTTATACTTTTTCATGACAATGTTGTGTTTGTTAGTAGAGTACACCATGATGATATGTGCCCGTTACGATAATCGCTGTGGTATGTTCCGCATGCTTTCACATGCTGTGTTTCGTTCTCATGTGCAACCTGAATTCCTCTCGTCGGCCTCTTTAATGGTGTACGTTTTGGAAGTCTGAAATGCAATGCACCGTCATCAGTCCTTGATCCATGTCAGCCTTACAAAAAGACTTCCAATCTCAATTTGTTTTCACCTGGTGAAACGAAGACTTATTCTTGAGTAATATAATGATAAGAGACTGAGGGTGTAATAACCATATTGATACATTTCGATTTAAAGCTTTCGTGACTGCAGGGATTCATCTTCTTGGTTCTTTCGGTAAAGTCACGTAGAATGGAAATAATAAAATAATTAAAATAAAACATAATAAAATAATTCTCACGACTTTTCGGCCACAACGCAAGTAGCCATTCTACGTGACTTTACCGAAAGAACCAAGAATATTGATACATGCCGTCTGCATCACAGTGGACATTAAAGATCCCCTGACATCATTTGCAAGAGGAGGCTATTGCGTGCTGGCGTCAGCATTTTGCCAAATTCGAAAGTTCCACTGCAAACACCTTGAGACTAAACATAGAAATTGTCGCCCACTACTGGCTAATGCCCCAGGTCACTCTTGCAAATGAGACTCACCCTGGTCTCTCAGAGTTCTCACGTGGTTAAACAAAATAAACTTAGAACTTAAATTCATTATTGTCTCCTTCACTCGCTCAGGAGTCAAAACGTTATTGTGCACTTTAAATTTAAGATCGCTACACTCCAATGGTCTCCATTGATTGAGTTTATTGTTATTTATCACATGAAATATGTTACAGGTTCGTTTTGATGTTGCAACAATTACGGTCACACTTTTTTTATCTTCCAACTTGCGAAGCAAACAAGAAAACCAAACATGTCAAACTACACAATAAAAATTTGTGAAACGTAGGTTGTGTGTGTCGGTCATCTCAGTCAGTTAACCCATATTACCTGGGAATGTCCCATGAGCTCCTGCCAGTGAGCTTTCGACATGTTACATGGCATCACAGTCCACCTAGGCTGCCATAAGCGTACAAGTGACATCACCGTCACTTAGTGGCAGATGGTCGCTGTGGTTGTTATCGTGCGTCACTCTTAATTGCAATAGTTTGCACAAGGCACTGCGATTCCAACCTGGGTACGATTCCCAGCCACTGAAAACGTCAGTGACAACTGGAATCTCACCCTGGCCTTAGCCACTCCTAAGCTAAATGAGTATTAAATGGTTACCTGGTGGTGTTGTATATGTGAAGATCAGCATTGGGGAGACATAGGTGATTGGTGTAGTGGTGGCCACACCACTGCCATTTCCCTGTGTGCCATGCTGGCCTTAATAGGTGCTCCCGAGTGTAACACGTAGGCTTTCGTGATCAATATTATCCATAAGAGGTTTTTTGGGTTAGATCGTGTAAATAAAAATGTGTCGTTAAACCCACCACTATTACTCTATGAATAACCCAACCAATAATGGATATCCATTGTAATTTATATGCAAACAATGGGAAGGGTTTCAAGGTCAAATCCCACTTAACAGTCAGCTCAGCCCCCAGAGGGCACAATCTCCAGAACTACCAATCCTACTTGCATATACGCGTGTCCTCTGTTGTGACTGTAAAAATATGTTCAATAAAGTCAACTCAAACCATCATTATTTATCCTCGAATAAACATCACCATCATAATCGTCATTGGCACCATCACTACCACCGGCAGCTGGACGCATGATACATGAAATGGATCGTACATGCAAGAATCCATTTTTTTTATTCATACACCTTTGCACGTAATGGGTTCACGTTAGCTCTGCTGCCGCTAGTGGCCAATACATTTCACCGCAAAATAAAAAAAAATGAGGTGAATATTGGATAAATATGGCAAACCACGAATCACATAAAGGACTTAATTTCTGACCGAAAATGAAGTAGGTGGCACGTGACTAGCAATCACAGCTATTGCAAGAGGTATACTGGATGTGGTGTGCCGGGTATGCAAATATATTTCGGTTCACGGACCCGGACAGGCCCAACTGAAATTAAAGCCATGCGTATATCATGAAAGAAGTACAATGACACGCTGCTGTGGGTACAGGGTATTGGCATCACTGCAACTCAAACATACGAACCGCAGTCCCTGTCATACAAACCATAGAAATCAGTCCCAGGAGTTTTGTGACCGTACCCGATGGCATTCTGCCAAATGGACCATAGGAATGGTCGTGCAGAGATTCAAACTAATTAGATAACCAAGGAACAAGCCCACATGCGAGCCGACAAAAGGGGCCCCCCGGCAACCCTACCCCTCGGGCTTCTTGTCCCCGCACGAGTACCTGGGCAGCACAACCAAGTTCTGCCGCCCACGCACCTGGTAGCGGTGCGAGCCTTGCTCTGCGAGGGCTGGGCCAGCTGCGACGTTAGCGATGGTGGCGGCGGCAGCGGCGGCGGCAGCAGCAGCGTCAAATGGGCGCGAGCGTTCCCTCGACGGATCCATCGGCCTGGGCCTGATGGGCCTGTACTTGGGCACAGAGGCCACGGGCGTCCGGTAGTTTGTGGAAGCTGGCGCTGACGTTGATGCGTGCGTTGGCACGGGCGCGCAACGTTTGGCGATCGGACGCAGAGCGGTGTTGCTGCGAGGAGAGAAGGGTCCCGATGTCGTTGACGATGATGCTGGGGCCGAAGAGGTAAAGGAGGAGGAGGTGGTGGCGGATGAGGAGGCGATGGTGGTGGTTGTGGCGGTGGTGATGGTGGTTTTGGAGCGGCGTCGTGGTGGGGCTGATCGGCGGGCACGGGGATAGCGGCCCGAGAGGTTGGTGAGCGTCTGGCAGGCAGAGTCCTGCAGCGAGGTGACGTCCTTGATGATGAAGCCCGCAGAGGAGGAGCTTTGGCCTGGAGGTGGAGAAAGTGGAGATGACGACGGAGGTGACGGATGAGTTTAAGAAGGGAGAAGAGGAGATGATGGATGGAAGAAGTGGAGAATGAAGAGTTGATAGTGGAGGTGGAGGAGGACCAGGTGGTATCATTCAAGGTATTTTTTTATTGATATCAAATTAACTTAAATGCTCCATTTAAATACCTTGATTATTAAATTCAATACCATCCTGTCAGTTAGTCCATGCTTCGCTCTGGCACCGATTGTTTAGAGTAGGTGTAAAGGAGCCTTTTTGTGGGAAGTCAACAGTGGACGTCGCATGGAGCAATTGATGCCCAACATAGGAATGTGGAATTTTCACTGCTGGCACTAGACCACCAACCGAGATGAGCCCTGCCCATGGCTCGTTTGAGCAGGGAGACAGGTTTGACTATGACAACTATGCGAGCCATGCTTGCCGCACGAGATGCTGAACCTCAATGGACCCTCGGGAGGTTAACCGAGCCAGGTTCCAGGGCCATGCTGTGCCACCTCGGCACAGCTCCAGGAGGCCCCTGATTGATTTTCCACTGCAGAAGCCAGCCATGCCCCTGACTGATGTCACATAAACTTTGTACTGGTCGTTTTAGTTGTATTGTTTGTTGTAACTTTCTAACCAGCTCCTACCAGACATCTGTAAAAAAGAGCTTCATAGCTAATCGGATTTCTCCAGGATAAATAAAGATTCTGATTCATACGCACTGTTGCAGCTCAGATGTGCCAGTGGAAAAGAGGTGTTAAAGGACAATTGAACTGCACGAGTGCACAGCCGTCATACCATTAGATGGGTCCATTTGCAGCGTGCGCTCTCTGTAAATCAAGTCACCATCGTCCACAGCCTCTTCCACCTCGTCTGGAAATGCACACTCAAAGTCAGGACACCTGTGTTGACTTCCACAGTGCAATGGCTATAGGTCCACCCTTGCAATATACACGGTATCTGTGCAGGCACACGGAACACCTCACCGTGATCGCAAGTCTCCATTTTAATGATGTGTCCCGACCATTCCAAGCCGGTGAAGTCCACGTTCGGTATCAGATTCTCCCCCGTCTCATCTGCCGAAAGACACATTCAATTACAAGTTTTACAATATCTGTGCCTTTGGTAGGGGTCTCTTGATTTAAATAGGGGTCTCTCTCTCTCTCGGCAGTGTTTCTCAAGTTCAGTCCTTGCGACCCCGACTGGTACAAAGAACAAAAACTGAATACATTCGTCAATAACACTGTAGCCTTAAATGGAAACGTTTATAACAGGCGACGTTTTGGGAAATAGCCCTTCATAGCATGCCCTTGATTACCAACCATCAGGTACAATGCAGTGTGCAGTAGATCAATGTGCACAATAATATACATATGCGAGTTGGGCACATTCTATTATATGACAGCTTGGTGAAGAAAGGACTGCAAGGATGTAGGGGACAAAAAAGGCAGAAAAAAATGCTGATTTGACAACTGGAAAGGGTCTATAAAGTGAAATGAAGAACGCTCAAAGATAAAATGGGATTGAGGGAATTTCTGCAAAAGATATGCGATTTAGCAAAGGACTAAAGTGGGAGAGAACAGAAAGACTGGTAACCACAAAAAGGATGGATCACGAGAATTGAAGTTGAGAAACATCGCTCTAGGTTGAGTAGAGGGTCTATTCTCAGTTTCAGTCAGGATCTCTCCCGCTTACGTCACTCTTTTTGGTTTCAGTAAGAGTGTAATTTAAGTGGGGGTCTATCTCGTGGTTCAACAAGGATCTTCCTAGGTCCATTCTAGGGTCTTTCTTGGCACTACAGTGGCGAGATGTTAACTCCCTTGCCTGGGATGCAGGACGTCGTGCATTCGATCCCTGTGAGAAAAGTCACGTGTACGAGGGGGACGGAACCGATGGAGTCCATATTTTTGCTGTATGCCATCTCCTGGCGAGCCAGGATATGGCACCTCCACACCCCCACAGGAAGTGTCACAAGATTAGGTCGATCCACCAACCCTGTCTCCACTGTGCTGGATTACAGGAATGCATAGCCACCACCGTTTCAGTGTGTTCTGAAAACCTACACGTATATTACGATGGGTGAGGACTTCAATACATTGAATGAGAAAAGTACAAACTCACTGTAAGGTGGAGGTTCACACTCGCTCGCTTCCAGCAACTCCGTTGCCGCGCTGCATGCCGTCACGTCATCCTGGTGTTGAACTTCCTCCCCAGGTGGACTCGAGGGCTCAACATATGTACCGGCACCATCCATGGCCCCCAGCCTCTGCACGGACAACAACAGCTCCCGGCTCAAGCCGCTGAATAGTGCGAGCAGCACATCCACCAAGCCTCCCAGGGTCACGTCGCCAGGGGAGGATGCAGCGGCGGCGTCGTCCCAGCGCGGCGTCCCATCGTGGTGCTCGGCATCCTGCAGGGCCTTCACCACCTGCCGCAGCACGGCGTAGAAACCAAAGGGCAGGCGGTCGCGCGCTGTGGCCAGCAGCTCGGCCCGCACGAGGCCGTCCCCGACGCAGGCACGCAGGACCCCGTAGTCCCGGATGCCCAGCTCCGAGTCCATGGCCCTGGCCACCTCCGCGTTCACGCCCTGTGCCTCCAGCCATGCCGGGAAGTCCCCGCTTGGCTCCAGCACCGGGGTGGCCACTGCACACGCCATCCTGATGGGGTGTGGAGGAAAATCCAATAATAAAATATAGCCATCGATTTGAGTGTTATTGGATTTATTTTAAGTAACAAACCAGGTCAGCTTTCCAACATTGCTAAATCGCGTTTGCATGCTCTCCTTTCATACATGTGGTTTTCTCCACTCACTATAGTTTTCTACACACACCAAACAAAACTCCGATCATTCAAAATAGGTTCAGCAGTGGAGCAGTGGTTAGGCGATCTGCACTGTGAACCCAGCCACCCTAGTTGATACCCTGCCATGGCTAATATCAGTGGGGAGTGATATCCGAACCGGCTTTGCGGCCCCACCTTCGCCAAGCCACATTGATCAACATATGGTTGTATTCGGTTACGTTATTCTAAACAACAATTTTACTTGACCAGTGTAGACCGACAAACGCTGTGGTTTATCATTATAGTATTGCCGTTAAATTGTTATCACCCCACATCATACATGTATATGTATGTTCAACTTCTGTCGCACCGCACGTAGCCAGCTGCACTAATCGGAGGTTAAATCGGCACTCCTTTTGAATTGTACTCTGCTTCTCGTTTGCCAGTGAGAGTGAAACTGATCCTATCCGCCCTCCTACCAACTGCCCTTCAAATTATATGCACCCCTGACTCGATACGCATTTGCCTGTGGATATGAGGAAACAGGACAATCATTCGAATTGGGCTTATTACAGCCCAAATCAGACCGTATTGGTCACCCACTCACCCCATGCCCATATAAATCTCAACGTTCATCCTACAAAGTCCCATGCCAAAGGAGAAACACAAATATACAAACACGTTATTTTTTGCCCGTATTGAAACGGCCGTACGCCATATGGACCTGAAAACTCAATTTGCCTGTACAAGAATACGGGTAACCCATGAGTTGACATGTATGTAATGGATGAGAATAGGTTTTCCCCTTTTTTCTGTGTTAAGATGTTAAAACACCAAACTGAAACCTTTTACAAGGAATCATGTCTGCATTAGCCACAATACTTGTGGTCAGAATGCAAACAAAAAACATACTCTGATAATATATGCATTGTCTTTGAAACGGATTGGTCCACACCAGAGACAGCTTTCTTCGGAGCCTAGTCTCAAAAGGTGTTAGACCAGAGGACGCCAAAAGGCGTACAGCACAAAAACAATCACTATCAGAGTAATGAGAGCTCGCTCGGGGTGAGCAGGAGGTCCCATGATGTATGTAATCACCATCAGCAACGGAATTCTGACGGTGCCAAGCTGTTATCAGCACACTTTTAAAATACACCCCGCAAGTTATAATCAGTTGTGATGATAGACGGTGACGTCCGCAACAAGAGTGGTTCAATAGACAGCTAGACAGCCGGACAGACGAACACGGACTGACGAACAGACAGGGCAGACCGACTGACTGAATCAGAATCTTTATTTGTCCTGGGAGGCATCCGGATGAGCTATAAAGCTATTTTTTACAGACGTCTCGGTAGACGGACCTGACAAACAGACGAGCCCAGACGGACCTACATGACGATACGACAAACATGACGGCAAACAACGAACAGACGTATCATACAGACATGACACAAAAACATGCGAGAAACTTTGGAAGATTAACGACCGCAGTGGAGGCAGGGAGACAGCACGACTGACTTGACTTTGAAATGAGAGGCACACCAGCGGAGCTCGTCAATAAGCCGCAGAGCTGATTAGCAATGCTGCTGCCGTGTACATGTACGACCATCAGCACCAGCCATGATCAATCCACTGCTGCAGTACAGAAAGGGCCTCGTCCCTTCCCGAGCACGTCACCATTTGTATTGCCCAAGTCGCCTATAGGTTTAACGTCTTCGACCGAACGCAATTGGACACGGGCTGACCCACGGACGCAATCACGAAAGCGATATCCATCTCACAAGGCCCCCCACCCCAACCACCCACGGGGTTGATTTAAAACCCATTAATTCGTGGTTGTTTAAAAAAAAAATGTGTGTAAGGTGTCGTGGGGGTAAGGAGAAGGTCGGGGTGGAGGGGGTATTGTTAGTTACAACATCGCAGCATCGTAGAGATGTGGCCATCCGCTTCATCCAGCAGTGGATGGACCCATAGCGGACGATTATGATCATTGGGAGACTGCGCGAGAGGGTTGTTGTTGTTGTTGCTGCAATAACGCCGCGATTAAGACTTTTTTTACCCCCCAACATCGAGGCGGATCCCATTAACAATCTTACCTATGGGTAGGTGAAGGACCTTGGGGAGCCGATACAGCTGTGCCTGCCACGATAACTCTGGGATTGAAAAAAAACCCACAAATTAAATTGGTGAGTGGGTGGGTCGATGGGAGTGGAAACCACCAACCCGTCGCCTCGCCGCCACCACCACCACCGCCGCCACCACCGCCGCCACCACCAACAGCTGACGATTCTTCCCGAGAAAGGAAGAAACTCTCCACACCACCACCACCCCCCTCACCTCCACGGCGTCCTCCCTCACGGTGTCGCGTTTCGAGTCGCCCGGTGGCTGCAACAGAATGAGGCTCGGGTCGACCCCCCTTCCCTGGTCGGGTCAGGGGTCGCGGTGATGATGACACCCACAGTCTCTTCCTTCTCCCCCCTACCATTGAATTGGATACCAAGGGACCGTGGCAATTTACTTAAAAAAAAGAATATGAACCACGCCACCCACGCCACCGCAACAGTGTTTTACTGTAGGGGGCCGTCCATAAATGACGTCACGCGATTTTTGACGATTTTTGACCCCCCCCCCCCTTTCGTCACATGGCGTCACAAAAAGTCAGACCCCCCCCTCAAATATGACGTCACAAAGCTCTGCCCCCCCCCCCCAAAAAAAAACATGCTTCAAATCGTATTCTTGGTTCTTTCGGTAAAGTCACGTAGAAGGGAAATAAAATAATAATAAAAATACACATTTATTTTATTATTTCCCTTCAACGTGACTTTACTCGAAAGAACAAAGAATATGAATTCCTGCAGTCACGAAAGCTTTAAATCAAAATGCTTCAAATCGCTTTAAACTCTTGTTATTGTAGTGCGTATTTAATGTGGCGCTGCACTCTGATGTTGTACGAGAAAACATGTATTAAAAAGACTATTTAATTAAGTAGAACGCGTTGTTTATATTTATTTAAAGTGGCGCATTTTGATGTGACGTCACATTTCTCAACCCCCCCCCCCCTTCGTCACACATCGTCACAAATGTCTGACCCCCCCCCATCCCCCTAGGTGCGTGACGTCATTTATGGACGGCCCCTAGGGGGTGACCTTTGAATATCGCGGGTGCATCGTTCGCGATTTCGACCCATCGACTATCGCGACCAATCTGTCCATAGATCGTGACGATGATGATGATGACCTAAACCCACTAATTTAGATAAGACTTAAGCGGCACTTCCCATGAAAGTAACCCCGCGATATTCAAGGGCCTCTTGTAATTGTTTTTTATGCTGCAGCTATGGCAGTGTTGCGCTTTAAAAACGACCAACAAACAAGAAAAACAAGTAAACCCGTAAAAACAAAGTTTTTCACTATAAATCCTTTATATGCGTGGCGGCTAGAGTGTTCTCGTCCTCTGGCTTGAGATGGCTGCCACCTATGGGTCAGATGATTGTCTGCCACCATTAAGCAATTTGTAATTAAATATTTTAAAAAATTCCCTAAACAGTGTAAAATTTGCGAATTTTTTTTCACGAAAATTAATTGTCACGCACAACGAGTCTGTGTGGAAAATGTCAGCTCGATTGGATCACGGGAAGTGGGTTAAAAAACGACCGAAAGATTTGCACGGTCGTAAGCAAGCAAGCAAGCACGCAAGCAAGCGAACTTAATATAAAGGATTTAATGACCACATTCGTAAATAACACTGCCTTAATTCGAGACCCAAATAACCATCGCATAGCTCCTGGCTTTGACATTGCTCCTCGAAGATGCCCGTGGAACCATCAATCGCATCAGATCATCAGCAGGCAGATGCTCACATTCCAAAAGCTGTCAACCCATACGGTTTACCCGTATTCTTGTAACAGGTAAATTAAGTTTTCACGTCCATACAGCCGTTTCAATACGGGCAAAAAACACATTCCTGCGGAGGGAGCTGGTAGGTCAATGGCCAGGGTCAACGGCGGCGTGGTGTATTCCGCAAATATGCCCGACTTTGAGGGCGGGCACAAGCCGGCGTGAGTAGGTTAAACGTTGAGTTTTATAAGGGCACCACGGGGTGACCAGCCCCTCCCCACCCAGCCCCACCCCTCCCACCCCCACCTAGCCCCACCCTCCCCACCCACCCCCTCCCCACCCAGCCCCTCCCCACCCTCCCCTCCCCACCTAGCCCCACCCTCCCTCCCCACCCAGCCCCTCCCCACCCAGCCCCACCCCTCCCACCCCCACCTAGCCCCACCCTCCCCACCCTCCCCACCCAGCCCCTCCCCACCCTCCCTTCCCCACCTAGCCCCACCCTCCCTCCCCACCTAGCCCCTCCCCACCCTCCCCTCCCCACCTAGCCCCACCCTCCCCACCCAGCCCCACCCTCCCTCCCCACCTAGCCCCACCCTCCCTCCCCACCCAGCCCCTCCCCACCCAGCACCTCCCCACCCTCCCCTCCCCACCCAGCCCCTCCCTGCACGACGGACGGACACAATAATCCCCTGTGGGCTGATGTAACCAGGAGGTTCCTACCAGTAAAAGTATTGTCTATTTGTTTTTCTCCCTTGTGATGGGACATGACTGCCTCATAAGAGCTACCTAACATTGGAGAGCAGTGGGTTTTTTTTTTATTGGCATGACCTAAATAATCTTTATTTTAAACTACGAAACTGTTTTTATTTTACCGGGTAAGACCCACTGAGCCATAAAGCACTTTTTCAGAAACGATCTGGCCACAAACGATAGCAAAACGAAGTGGCTTATCACGTGGAAATGTATTGCAGTAGCCAAATACTGTACTCTAAACGCGTGATGTTGATTCTAAATGTGGAGAGGAAACCCGGAGGACCCGGAGAAAAATCCATGCGATCACAGGGAGAGAGAGATGCAAACTCCAAATCTACAGCAGGTGTGAGGGTTGGGATCGAACCCACACGCACAATTAACACATTGGTAAATAATACTGTGGAAAAATATATAATAGGTGACGTTTCGGACAATGGCCCTTTTTAATGGCACATAAATTCAACTGTTCATCTTGCCCCCCCCTCGCCTCCATCCCCCCCCGCCTCCATCCCTCCCGCCTCCATCCCCCTCCGCCTCCATCACCCCCCGCCTCCATCCCCCACCACCCCCCACCCCCTCCGCCCCCATCCCCCACCCCTTCCGCCTCCAGCCCCCCCCGCCTCCATCTCCCCCGCCTCCATCCCCCTCTCCGCCTCAGTCCCCCCTCTCCGCCTCAGTCCCCCCCTCCGCCTCCATACCCCCTCCCTCCGCCCCCCCTCCGCCCCTCCGCCTCCATCCTCTCCCGCCTTCAATCCCCCTCCACCCCCTACCCCCTCCGCCTCCATCCCCCCCTCCCGCCTTCAACCAACCCCCTCCGCCCCCATCCCCCACCCCCCACCCCTGCCGCCTCCAGCCCCCCCGCCTCCGCCCCCCCCACCGCCTCCACTCCCCCTCCCTCCGCCCCCCCTCCGCCCCTCCGCCTCCCCCCCCCTGCCTCCATCCCCCCTCCCTCCGCCCCCCCCACCGCCTCCACTCCCCCTCCCTCCGCCCCCCCTCCGCCTCCCCCCCTGCCTCCATCCCCCCTCCCTCCGCCCCCCCCACCGCCTCCACTCCCCCTCCCTCCGCCCCCCCTCCGCCCCTCCGCCTCCCCCCCCTGCCTCCATCCCCCCTCCCTCCGCCCCCCCCACCGCCTCCACTCCCCCTCCCTCCGCCCCCCCTCCGCCCCCCCTCCGCCTCCCCCCCCCCTGCCTCCATCCCCCATCCGCCTCCACCCCCCCTCCCCCTCCCCCCCCGCCTTAACCCCCCAATACCCTCCAACCCCTCCCCCCACCAACCTCCAACCAACCCCCAGGCAAGGTGGCGCCGCTCTTCGCACGCGTCACGATGACGTCACGCCCCCAGTCCACCAATTGCAGTCCGAGCCGTCGTCTCTGTTCACGAGACGAGGAGGCCGAGGAGTCTCCGCAGAGCCCGAAAGGCTTTGGGGGGGGGGGAGGTCCTTTTAGGGATTTATTCTTTTGCGTTGGAAGCTACCGCATGCAGCAACAACAACAACAACAAATATTTACACCATTTTTTTTTTAACCCCAAAAAAGTCATTCCACGAGGTAAGCGATTTTTTTCACTTGCATCTGATTTTATATTATTTTAAAACCCCCGTTAACATATGTACTCTGCTTAATTCATTTTGACCGCGTGCCGTTGACAAATCTCACGTGGAATGATGGCACCTGAAGCCAGACAGGTTAGTTGCGCTTTGGTGACGTCTGGGCGAGGTGGTGGGCGGCAGAGGGGACGGTGCGATAAAAAAAAACCCATTGTCTTACACTTTACTGGACTTCATTGACAATATAATCGTAAAGTGATCGCTGGTCGACGGTGTAATTTGACGTCGTGTGATGCTGAATTCATCCTTATAGGTTAAAGGTCACCGAACTTGCCAATCAAGGTTCGAACACCCAGGCTTGCGGCTATTGGAATAAGAGGTTTACCTTTCTGAACCACGTTCATCCCCATCCCCCACACCGCCTCTGGCCACCCAGCATTGCAGTATGAATGGGGACCCACGCCGCAAGCTACGGTTCATTGGGACAGGTCGTGTGTGGTGGGGTCAAGTGTGGGTACGACCACCTGACTGGACATCTCTGAAAAAATATCTCTGTAAGCTTATCGGATTCCGACGATTTGAATAAATAATTCAGATTCTGACCTCTTCTGAAATCGTCTGCGCCAGCGTAGAATTAAAGCCCTTCTGCCAGCAGCGGTGTTAGCAAGGGCAATTGCAGGGCTTGCAACTCTACCTAATTTATACCAGACGAGGGGGTGGGGTGACAATGGTTTCACATGTGCGGCCACCCTCACACTGATGTCTTATAGGCGAAAGTGCCCTCCCCACCACCTCTGAATATTCGTGAAGAACACTGGTAAAGACAAAGAGTCCAGCGACCAAGGCCAGATACTGTTAGGGCAGATGTTTTTTTATGTTGCTTATCTACTGTGAAGCAGCAGCGTGATCAGGCAGAAGATAGAAAGCCAGATTAAGATAGGATCTCAACTCGTTCACTTCCCTTAAATAGTGTAATCTAGCAACCACATCCCAATCACTTTATTGCCTCGCCTCCCCCTAATTGGTTCCCCATCACACATTCGTGACTCACAAAGATTGAGTCGATTCTAACCATCCAAAAATCATTGTAACCCAGACAATCGTATCCACAGCTCAGGCCAATTCAGTCTATAGCTGAGTATCGGCTGGCTTATTTTGGAGGATTCATTACTGATTTAGGTTTGATCATCCGAATAATCACATAGCAATTGGGGTAAAAATCTCCCCCTCTGTTCCCACGTGTGTTGGCTTGGCATAACGAGCCGTGCAACACTGGATTTGGCTTGTAGGGGTATTCTGCCTTCGGAAGGCAGAATGTGCGGGCAGCTGCCATTGTTAAACGTGCCTGAGTAATTGACTACAAAAACGTAGTAGATGAAAATATAGTCAAGTAGTCGGTCGATAGTCCCAACTCTAATTCGCTCAATTACAGCACAGACTGGCCCAAAACCAGAGTCAGTTGGTCACTTAAACAAAATCTGGAATCTCATGGCATTTCCCAAACGGGATGCTTAAAATAAATAATTACCCGAGACATTACATGTATTTTCTTGTTGGAATTGCCCACTACATCCCATCAGAATGGCGTACACAGTGACCACCGCGGTGCTGGAGCCGAGCAGTGACTTCCCGGCATGGCTGGAGGCGCAGGGCGTAAATGAGGAGGTGGCCCAGGCCATGAACTCGGAGCTGGGCATCCGGGACTATGGGGTCCTGCGCGCCTGCATCAGGGACGGCCTCGTGCGGGCCGAGCTGTTGGCCACGGCACGCGACCGCCTGCCCTTCGGCTTCTATGCCGTGCTACGGCAGGTGGTGAAGGCCCTGCAGGGCGCCGAGCCCCACGACTCCGCTTCCTCTCCTGGTGACGTGACGCTGGAAGGCCTAGTGGACGTGCTACACGCGCTGTTCAGCGGCTTGAGCCGAGAGCTGCTGCTATCTGTGCAGAGGCTGGGAGCCATGGAGAACCCTAAAATTTGCGTTGCTGACTGCACTCCACCTACAGCGGATGTTGAATACAAGGACCTGGCAGTCAATAAAGAGCTGCCCTCAGAGGAGAGGAATGAATTATCTATACACACTGAGCACCTGCTGAAAGAAGGTAATGCCCTAAAATCCTCAAGGGATTATATGTGTGATGACTGTTAGACAAAGATGAGACCACTTGGTAATCTTTTGCAGAGGTCACGTAGAGACTAATTTTGTCCGAGTAGATACTTTTTACACTATGGCAGGGACCAATCTACCTTTAATACTAATTTAATGTACATGGGAAAGCCTGAGTCCTTCTTGTTCACGTTTGGCCAGTTCTTTCGTAAAGTGGAAAGAAATTGGAGTGCCCAAAAAAAAACCCATGAGTACAAGCGAATGATCTTCAACATTTTACAGATATGAGTCCAGAGTCCACTTGCTGTCCCGACAGATCTCACCAGCTGAGTAAGTTGCAGGTCTTGTAGCACATGATTTACAGCCCTATATTTTATATAATAGGGCATAGTGCCATGCAAATAGCAAATCAAATGCATTGTGCACAGTTATTCCATAAGGCATTTGGAACCCAAGACAATGGAGCGGTCAGATGAGTTTACAGTCCAGATCCCAGATGTAGATTCCAGCCCCAGCTTCACCCTTTGCCAGGTTAAAGGACAACTCCATGATGGGATGGCAATACTCGCAAATTAAAGTACACATACACCAATATGTAAATGTTCTTTATTTATATATATATATATAACAAAATGAGAGCCCATTGAGACTAAAACTCTTGTTTTTAATATGGAGACATGGGTTTATATGAGAGCTAACAACCTGTCATTTCATAACCTATGATCCCCACGTGGCTAGTTTGACAGTCTCGGCCCATTTTCTGAATCAGTCACTGCACTTTGCAACACACCTTCAACACGATTAAATAATTATATCGTCACAATACACTATATACACACATGGTATATTACACACATGGTATATTACACACATGCTATCGTCATGGTGTCATCTTGCCATCAGATATGACAGTGCATGACAGCAGGTCGCAACACTCCAAGCGACAACTTAGCCAATACAAATAGTTAAACACTCGTGGGAAACTATGTATTTGCATCTACCACTCACAATGGCAGCTGCCATTCACCACTAAGTGGTGGTAACGTCACCACGGCACTTGTGGCGAGTCGAGGTGCATCTACGACAACTCTCTCTCAAAACACATGTAGTTCAGGAGCCCAGCCAAGCAACCGAAGTTGTTTTTACCTGAAGATGCCTCATCTCTGCTTTTGAATTTGTCTGTCTTCTGGTCCAAGCAAGCTTTGCATCATGGCCATATCCTGTGGTTTCAAGTCTTGCTGATTACCACAATGTAGGAGCATCTCTGGTGGTCACGGTTCACAGCCACGTCTGCTGCTGTGCTGTACATGTGAAAAAAGAGCTGCATAGCTCATCAGATTCCTCCAGTCTAAATATTCTGATTCAGATGTCAATCTTGCAAATGACTCTCCTGGTCTTTTGAGTTCTTAGTTAAAAAAATGTATAAACTCCAGTAACATATATCCACCTCCAGTCAATGCAGTTGATCATGACTTGAATGGGGTGCACCATAGACAATGCCTATAGCAAGAGGGATGCGGGAGTGGAGGGGGGGGGGGGAATAATCTACCATAATCATAACTACTCGGCTATCAATCCAGCTCTTGTCCCAAGAACCTCCTGGATGACCTTATTGACCTTGTTTTAGAACAATAATAATGCAATTTATAATGCTCCCAATATTTCTTGGACATAATTGTCTACAGCTCGAGACACGCGGAGCCTTCTCTACAAAAAAGCCACAACACTACACGTATGCTACACTATGTACATGCATAACACAATTCACATATGTATACACACTATAACTGTCTCAGTGCTTAAAAGTATTTTGTCACGTTTCCCTTATAAAATAATAATTGCAGTCTTCGTGGGTTCTCACTTGGTAAAATAAATGTAACCGACAGTTGCACAAGATCTGTATTCAATAATTCGGTCATCATACACATCTCCAAGTGGACAAAATGCTTTTAATGTGCAATGTATCTCAGTCGACATTGAGGAGAGAATGCCAAATTATTGTGTATTTCGTCAAATAACCATTTATGAACACGTGGCTCTGTGCAGAATACACGGGAGAAGTTGCAACTTTGGTTTCCGAAGACTCCAGTCCAAACAAGCCGTTGCACAAAATAAAATTGGAAGACCAAGATGGTAAGAAACAATCCATTTGAATATAGATTTTTATAAAAAGTAAAAAAAATAATTCTTCACTTTTATCCCAGGTTATACTCCAATTATTCTCACTGGCAACATTCGATAATTTTTTTTTATATTTGGAACACAGGCAGTGTGAGCAGTACATTGCTATGTGGAAGATGTCGCATAAACATTTCTGATATCTGATAATTGTTTTTTTACCCTTTTATTTGGCAACAAAACTGACACCTTTTTTACAAGGAGTCATGGCCTGAGGCTACTTGGAATGACGCGCTTTTAATGCAGCTCGTAACACCATCGGAGACACATCGGCACATGCTTATCATCTGCTGCCTTAAATTTCATAAAGTAAAAAAAAATAACTTTGTTCAATGTGTATCTCCCTCATGATAAACGCAGACATGTACATAAATGGACGACCTTCAGATCTTGGCTTCCAGTCCATGAACACGACCATGGGCTGCATCTCTCACACATCGCTGCAGATGACGGAGACTGGTGAGGAGACATGGGCGGGCATAGGCCGGCAAACCGTGGGGCCTCCAATGATGCCAATCCCCCAGTACCACCCTCTTGATGGTGGCGGTGGTGGTGGTGGTGGTCAGGGGGTCATTCAGTGGGGTGAGGAGAGGCCCTACTCTTGCAAGATGTGCGTACAAACCTTCACATCGGAAGCCCACCTCAACGTGCACCTGCGCACACACATGGCCACGAGGCCATTCCGCTGCATCACATGCGGCAGGTGCTTCTCAAACAGTAGCAGCCTGAATGTCCACGAGCGGACACACATGGTTGAGAAGCCGTATTGCTGCAGCGTATGCGCGCAGACCTTCTCACATCTCAGCAGCCTCAAGCGGCACCAGCGCACGCACACGGGTGAGAAGCCCTATCACTGTGATGTGTGTGGACAGGCTTTCACGAACAAGCGCAACATGAAGTACCATCGAAGCAAGCACGAGGGAATGGCGCTGCCACAGTGATTCCACCTCTTGGCACAATGGTCTGGTGGACAGGTGTGCATGTAGTGGGTTCGTGCGCAGCGTCCCGTGAAATGCACGGAGAAAGATTGACAGAGACACGGGCCTCCCTGCTGTGCAGATGTAATTTTCTTATTGATAACCCTGCGTTGTACTACAGCCACACTCATTGATACCAGTAAAAGGGAGTACAATCATGTGATGCATGTCCGCAGGGGGGGGCATGTTTATCTGGTGGACTAGTATTCTGCTTTGACACAACTAAACCACAGCCAGGCATAAAAATGTGAATCAGGGCTTTTTTCTGGCTGTCAGACTTTATTTCTGCTGGCAAGGCCCACTGAGCAAAGCAGCTCTGTTAAAAGGATAACCAGCCCAAGACTATCAGTAACAGGGTCAGTTAACAGGACAATGCCAGTTGAAATGAAAGCAATTCACTTGGCAGTCGAGGCAAATTTGTACAAAATCTGTAAATGGTGCTCATGCTCCCAGCATGAAGTTGCCTTGATGAAGATTTGTTAAATGGTACAGCAGTGACACATTAGTGTCTAATAAAGCTCAGTTCCAAACAAAGCCTTGTAATGCCTCAAAATTAACTTTTGGTTGCATTTTATTTTAATCCAATGTGGATTTTTTTAAAGTCTAGAATCTGGTTGACGAGTTTTATTTTTTTCTAACTTATGACAATCGTAAAATATTTGCTGTTGAGATCAGAATAATGGTAATGTAATGTAAAGTGCAACAGAATCATGGCAAATCGTTGTAATCATTAAAATTGTTGCTATTGGAATTGAAATAAATGTATAAATAACCCAATTTGTACTGCGCAAAATATTTTACAGACATGAGTGACTGAGGCGCGGAGCCAAGCTACATGTGACTAAAGCCAGGCAATAGACGTGGGACCTTTAAGCATTTCTAACCAGTATATGTGCTGCGAATGTGTAGCGGAGATGGCATTTCAGACGGCGGGGGCTGCCACGGAGAAACGATGCCTGGCAGCGACGGCCCTCGTCCTTGGTATAGAGAGGAGGTTTTGAGTGGCACTGTGGGGAGTTCTACTGTGGAGCTGTAGTGTAGGGTGACTGGAGTGAAGATATGGTGGACAACCAAAAGTAGAAGTGTGGTGGCAAAGGCAGGTTATCTTGTATTTGGCCCTGCTGGTTGGAGGAATAGATGATGCAGTGTTTGGCACCATGTGTTTTAAACTTGGCGACCCGAATTCCGATCCTCGGCCGTGGCCAGCATTAGTGGCGTGTGATAACTGAAGCAGTCCTGGGACCTTCACCTCCTATGCTAACCTAACCTGCCTGATACAGTGTGGGGAAGCCTTAATTCAGCAATTGATTTACAAAGGGTTGCAAACTACGTAAATTACTGTAGTTCAGGATAACAGCAACCATTAATGATTTTTTTATGAAGGGATTTTTTTCCAAACCATTGGCCAAAGAAAGTGGGTTGAAAGATAATCTAGGGAGAAGCAATGTGTGACTTTCCTTGTGAACGTTTGTAACAACGATTTATAATTTGACAAAACCAGTCGCACATAACTCATGCTATAAAATTGTCCAATAAATAACTTAATCGATTAGAAAACTTGTCCCTGACATTTACTCCTATACCCTAAATCCTAGGAAACATGGTATGTAGAAAAATAGCTTTTTTCAACTTTCTGAAAAAAAATCCAGTTTTTGCAATGTCCAAGCATGATTTCATTAATATATTTGTCTATATGCACGCCACCACAGCCATTTCCAAAAAGGCAATGCAAATGACAATTCCAATTTACATAGTATCTAAATGCAATCACATCTTGATGCATTTACCAACAGCAGATTAAATTGGAAAATAGAACAGGGAGGTAGAGGTGATAACCAAGGAAAGTTTGCATAGGGCAGCACCCCTGGTAGTGATGGAAATCCCTGTCTCAGTATTAATACCGTAGGTCACACACAACCCATTTCGTGTTTGAAGGTATGCATCAGCACATTGCACAACCATTCATCACTGCGGTGGCAGAGGTTGTGGCGGTGTCTGGCTCAGGTGCTTGCCTTGATGGTATATCATGTTGGGCTTGCTCGTGAATGCCTGGCCGCACACTCCGCAGCGGTATGGCTTCTCGCCGGTATGCATGCGCTGATGTCGTTTGAGGCTGTTGGGCTGCGTGAACGCCTGTCCACACACACCGCAGCGGTATGGTTTCTCGCCTGTGTGGGTCCGCTCGTGGATGTTCAGGTTGGTGCTGCTGGAAAAACCTCGGCCGCACATGGCGCATATGTAGAGCTTTTCGCACGTGTGCTTGCGCAGGTGGATATTGAGCATGGCGTTCTGTGTGAAACCCTGGCCGCACAGGTTGCAGAAGTACAGCTTGTTGCCTCTGGTGGACGCGGCTGGCTGTTGTGCGATGATCGAAGCTCTGGGCTGAGCGAACTGCTCTTGCATGTCTGGTTTCATTTCCGCGAAGCAGCGGTCAATTTGAGTGCCGTTGTCGGTCATTGTGGTTACCGTCGTTATTACCGGTGGCAGCGGCGGTGTTATCGTTGCTGTCGTTGACGGAACTGTCCTGGAAACGTGGCTACCAGCAGACAGACCTTGTGTGGTTCCGTCGTGTGGGGATGATGAGGTTACGACTTGACTGTCGACTTGCATCGGCATCACGAGACGGATGATGAAACCCGAAGAGGGTTCAACAGTCTCCTCGTCTGAGAAGAAGAAGATTGTGTTTGTACATCAGAAAAATCCAAATTATTGTAAAGTGGCAGATAAACAAAGGATCGCCACTTGCTGTGTAACTATGAAATGCAACTATTCAACACATCGATAATGATGCGGTTCCTCGTACAATTATCATTCTTGGATCATACTCTATTTTATCTTCCTGTCTGACATGAGTCGACTGGCAAAAAGGAATACAAGGGAGATATAAAAAAGCAAAAAATAAATGAATGCATCATAAGCTTCCACAAGTCTCACTTCAGAGTACAAAAACTTGGTTTGTAAAGCATCTCAATATGATCGGATCTCAAGACACTATAAGGATGAGGCACCAATGCACTTTCAAGCACAAATCCTGATCCACGCCTTTCTCCACATCATCGTCCACCCTCGTTCTGCCCGATGCATGTCAGAATGCATCAATTCATTGATTAAAAATAGATTTTTGCACTCACGAAACCCATTTAAAATCATGTGTCAAAGAAACTATGCTTTTTGATCTAATGGAGATTTACAATTGAGACCGTAAAAACAATACGAAAATAATCGATTATTGAATTGTGTCCCCGAATATGACAATTAATGGATACATTTATTTAGATTGATCTTGAAACTTACGAAACATGTGTCAAATAACGTGTGCAAGCAATAATTTTTGATTTATGCAAATAATATATAATTATAAAACGTTAACTCAATGTCTTTGGAAACAGCTACATTTGCAGACTATAAACTGCCACTTCTGACTTACAAAATCAGCTCATCCAGAAATCCATCATACCTCAGTTGATTGGCTAAAGGTTTGTATTCCTTGTGTGCTGTATTAATCTGCCACGCCATCAATGGAAGTGATGAAAACTAATGCCTTCACAGCTGAGTGGAGTTTCATATATGCCCCATCTGGAACTCAAATTAGGCTTGGGGTTACCGCTTTTGAGTGGACAGTCCATCACGACTCTTGATTAATCTCAAGAGTTCAAACGAATTAATCTGCATGCACCATTAAAATCTTACAAATTTTGGCGCTATATAAATTAAATTATTATTCAATTTGACTTCCTCTCACTTTCCCCTCTCGCCCCCATCTTCCCTCCCCATCGCTCTTCACCTAGCTGCTCTAGGGCAGGAATGGCCACAGAGTCCCTGGGCCCCCGCACTTGGCACGGTCGCTCCAATGTACGTCTCAGTGCGTTGATACCAATGCCTCTTCTGCTTGAAAGGAACGGTGGCCATGGCAATCGTAAAACCGCAACCACCGTGCGATCAATCTGATCATCAGTGTGAATTTAGGTGAACATAAGTCAGATTAGGTACACGTGGATTACAACCCTTTGTCGATCCACTGCCTTGGTCAGTGCCTACCCATACCGTGCGAGACGTGGGAGCTATTTGGCCGTACTTTGCCACGCTGGTAAGTGCAAGTTGAAGGTAGTGAGCACAGACGTTGGAGCACTGTACAGGACCATACAATAGATGTTTCTGCACTGCCCTCTGCTGATAATGAGTCACTTGAACAGATACCTCAATGGTACCCAGCTAAGTCACCAAATTGTTCACAGACCCTCCTACTGAGAACATGTGCAGAACTATATTTGGTGTAATGTTTTTATTGAGTGTGCAATCATCGGTGACCAAGCTGAGCCTTTCAATTCACTACACTTAAGAAACCGGTTTAATTACAGGCAACTGCCTGTATTTAAACTCAGGTTCCCAACTGTGCCAGGTTAGTACTAACCTTTAAAGGCCACTTGGCCACCTCTTTATTTGCCAACTTTTTAATAATGTTCCAGTTTTGCTATGGTCCCAGAAGCTACGTGCCTAGGATTGACTATGGTCCAAGTTTAAAGCTTCATTAAAGAGGCAAAAAAAAGGCTTAACCATCATAGCGTTCTAGCAACACATTACACAGTGATGTCACTGGAGTATCATAATAACGTGCTTGATCTGCTACTTCCAAGTCTACTGTTAATGTGTGAATGCCCATTTGTGATGAATGTATGTGGACACTTTACCTTCTGGGACCTCCGTTTTTATCTGCAACATCGAGTCGTCTGCGACTGAAGCCGAGGTTACTTCCATTTTGTCTGAAATAATATGAAAAACACAGCTGTCATCAATGCTGATATCGTCATCATAAGCCATGATCTATCTGCTGCTGGATGAAGGCCATCCTTACTAGTCCCACAATGCAGCAGTCCATCTAGTACCTGTAACCAGTGGTGAAGATTCTGACTGCTGTCCTAGTCAGCCACCTCAATAGGGTGGCTACCTTTTCTACAGACCAATCCCAGATGCATTCCTCAGTCAACATAGATCTATCAAAACCGTGCAGTATACGCGATGAAGTTCAGCAATATACCTGATCTCGCTACAAATTAATTCCTCCCACTCAAACACAGATGCCGATTTCCAGACCGTCTGAGTCAAGCCTGGAAAGGTCGCAACCCTACGGGCACCTTGAATACGATGACACATTCATTATCCATGTTTGATAGACTTGTGTCCAAGAGTAAGTTACCATTTCAACAAGTAAACTTATATCAGATTTCATTCCATCACGATCCCAATCAGCTTCACATGTGAAGCCCTCAGTGCACACCCCTTGGCCGTCCCCAAGTCCCAGCCTCTGTGTAGTGGGTTCACAAGTGACAGAGACGGTGTAGTCGAGGCACACTATTTATTATAACTTTACACTCGGCACAGGGCAACGTATACAACACTTGAAGGGGTAACGGCCCCTTCACCCGTACTGGACTGGGACACACCCTTAGGCTATCTGCCTAACTGGTCAGCTCCCAGGTCCTCCGCTAAGGGTGCTAAGGGAGGCTATCTGACCCGGCCCTGATCAAGGCACAGGTCACGACACCCAGCCAGACAGACTCGGCTCTTAGAAGAGCATCGGCTTTGAGGCTCTGGGGCCCTGGCTTGCGCTGCTCGGTCCTGAGAAGGATGGCGAGTCAGAGGATTTCCAGGGCCTATCTGCAGGTCTTCTGTCTTCACTGGTTCTTCACTCGTTAGCTCCCCAACACTGGACCACGAGCCCTCTCGCTCCCCGCCTTTAATACCAATTTGCCACCGAGGGGTGGGGCTGTGTGGGATCCGAGCATCCCCCCACAGCCCCCCAGGGTGGTAACCGTTTGCGGACGTGGATGTGGGCACCCCTGTGTGCTTGTCCGTTTCCCTCCCGTAACACCCCTACATCTGCATGGACTGCAGCAGCTCCCAGCTCAGCAATCAGCACTTACCATGAAGCTCGTTTAAAGTCAACTCTTCTGATCCTTGTTCCAGTGCTTCAGGAAACAGCAAAGGGGTTACAGAATTTGAAATCATACCTGAAAAAAACAATGGGCCTAAATAATATCCAGACACAAACGATACAATAATTTTGGCACAGAATGTAGCTAAGAAATTCCGGCTACAATTGTTAAAACAACAAATGTCACTGGAGTACCATAATAACATGCTTGATTGGCTACTTCCAAGTCTACTGTTAATGTGTGAATGCCCATTTGTGATGAATGTATGTGGACATTTACCTTCTGGGGCCTCCGTTTTTATCTGCACCATCGAGTCGTCTGCGACTGAAGCCGAGGTCACTCCCATTTTGTCTGAAATGAAAAACACAGCTGTCATCAATGCTGATATCGTCATCATAAGCCATGATCTGTCTGCTGCTGAATGAAAGCCATCCTTATTAGTCCCACAATGCAACAGTCCATCTAGTACCTGTAACCAGTGGTGAAGATTCTGACTGCTGACCTAGTCAGCCACCTAGGTAGGGTGGCTACCTTTTCCACAACAATCCCAGATGCATTTCTCAGTCAACCTAGATCTACCATAACCGTGCAGTATACGCGATGAAGTTCAGCAATATACCTGATCTCGCTACAAATTAATTCCTCCCACCCAAACACAGATGCCGATTTCCAGACCGTCTGGGTCAAGGCTGGAAAGGTAGCAACTCTACGGCCACCTTAAATACGATGACACATTCATTATCCATGTTTGATGGACTTGTGTCCAAGAGTAAGTTACCGTTTTCAACACGTAAACTTATATCAGATTTCATTCCATCACAATCCTGATCAGCTTCAGGTGTGAAGCCCTCAGTGTAGACCCCTTGGCCGTCCCCAAGTCCCAGCCTCTGCATGGACAGTAGCAGCTCCCAGCTCAGCAATCAGCACTTACCATGAATCTCGTTTAAAGTCATCTCTCCAGATCCTTGCTCCAGTGCTTGAGGAAACAGCAAAGGGGTTACAGAATTGGAAATCATACCTTAAAAAAACAATAGGCCTAAATAACATCCAGACACAAACGATACAATAATTTTGCCACAAAATGTAGCTAAGAAATGCTGGATACAATCGTTAAAACAAGTAAAAACTGTACCTTGAAAGGGTTCCATTTTAATTTGGTCCGCAATGATAGTGGAGTTGTTGTCATTCGAGGCTGGAATTAAGGTTTCTTCCGACTCCCCTGCATTCCAAAACCACATCGGAAACATATAAATAATATTTTACATATATAAATCCCCTCCATTTTTCCCTAAAATGTATAATAAATTACAGCTGTATCATTGTCTGATTATCAAGGGGCACGACATAGTATTATCAATTACATTTACAGTTTGTAAAGTAACATTACATAATCAAAAGCACTGTACGATGCAAAACAAATCTGAAAAGGGGGTACAATTTAGCATTACCATTTTGTTCAAATTGATCCATTTCTGCTGGCTCATCTTCAGAAGCAACACGAGCTGCTGATAAGGAAGAAGCCACTTGGCGTTTTCGATAGTCCCCGTTATCCAACCTCTGCATGGACAACAGCAGTTCCCGGCTCAAGCCGCTCAACAGCGCGAGCAGCACCTCCACCAGGCCTCCCAGCGTCACGTCGCCGGGAGAGGAGGCAGCGGCGTCGTCCCAGCGCGGCGTCCCAGCGCCATCGTGGGGCTCGGCACCCCGCAGGGCTTTCACCACCTGCCGCAGCACAGCGTAGAAGCCGAAGGGCAGGCGGTCGCGTGCCGTGGCCAGCAGCTCGGCCCGCACGAGGCCGTCCCCGACGCAGGCGCGCAGGACCCCGTAGTCTCGGATGCCCAGCTCTGAGTCCATGGCCCTGGCCACCTCCGTGTTCACGCCCTGTGCCTCCAGCCATGCCGGGAAGTCCCCGTTCGGCTCCAGCACCGGGGTGGCCACCGCGCACGCCATATCCTGGTGGGATCCAAAGAGAGACTGTGTCCAAGTCAATTGTTTATACTTTATGGTAAACTAAATGGGGTGGTTGCATGGATGCATTAAGGCACTGCTGTATAAGTTTGGTTCACCAAAGGATAAATGTCTCGCTACTCAAGTGAACATAGGGGTGGGTTGCTCATCTCTAATGGTGGGCCAAAGCCAACGATGGTAATTCCACGTTCCAGTGGCAGAGCCAGGCTTTACGAGGAACTCCTGCTTTGGTTTACCGTAATCAATACATTGCGTCATACAATTCACTCAAATGCCGTGCTCCACGACTTTATATCAACGTACTGTATTCAACTTTTTAACAATGGTAATTCATTCACACGCGAGACGGTTAACCCTTTCTGGCAATAAAACAGGTGTTAAGAAGATGTTCAAACACCAAACATAAAACTTTCGCATGGAACCGTGTCTGCATTAACCGCACACCAGTACCTGTGGTGAACGTGCAAACAAAAACATAAACCAGAGAATGTCTTTACCACAAGGACTACGTGTCACCACTGTACAGTGGTACCTCGGTATACGTCGTTAATTCGTTCCAGAAGGTAGAACATACCGAAAATGACGTATACCAAACGAATTTTTCCCATAAGAAATAAAGGGAAAGGAAAGAATCCGTTCCAGAGAATAAAAAATTTGATTTTATACGGCATATTATACATTAACGGGGTTGTATAAAATCATTTAGACACTGCTTATTACTAAAATGCATACATAAATTAAAATAAATGCATAAATAAATAAAACTAAATAAAAATACAATTTAACATCACTTTACCTTGCAGAGAGGAGTTGATGGCCGACGAGGATGGTGGTGAGGAAGGGGAGGAGATGTTATTTTTGGGAAGGAGAGTCCTCTTCCATTAAAACCCTCAGCCTCTACAAACTCCCCAAACTCGGTATCAAATTCCTTTGAGTCGTCTTTGTTGACACTGGCCGCCTCCCCATGCCTCATGACACAATGTATGCCAGTCCTCTTCTTAAAATTATCAAACCAGCCATGGCTGGCTTTAAACACTTCACTAACATCTTCACTCGTTCCTGGCATGTCTTTTAAAAGATCTGCATGCAACATCTTAGCCTTCTCGCAAATTATAGCCTCTGAAACACTATTGCCGGCCAACTGTTTTTCGTTTATCCATATTAATAACAATTTTTCTACTTTCTCTAATGTCTGTGATCTTTGTTTTGATATAAATTTCACCCCCTTTGCAACGTTCGCTGATTTGATGGCTTCTTTTTTTTTCACAATCGTCGAAATTGTCGTTCTCGGCATACGGTATGCCACCGCGAGATCTGTGACGCGCATGCCCCTTTCATACTTTTCTATTATCTCTTTTTTCACGTCAATAGTGATCCTAACCATTTTCTTTGTAGCTTGGCTTTTCTCACGAACCTTTTTAGGGCCCATCTTGAATGAATTGGCAAAAGAAAATTCACGTTAAAATGACACAAAAAACACGTGACAATTCACGGGAGAGTTCTAGAAAGGGTTGTGCACTGAACGAGATCTACACAGGCAGACTGAGGAGCTTTGTTTCAGTCGTATCCAGTACGCGGTGACTCATCCCGACCCATACAAGCTCTAGCAAGCGCGTCGTATCCCAAGCAAGACGTCGTATCCCGAGCGAGACGTCGTATCCCAAGCAAGACATCGTATCCCAAGCGAGACGTCGTATCCCAAGCGAGACGTCGTATCCCAAGCGAGACGTCGTATCCCAAGCGAGACGTCGTATCTCAAGCAAGACGTCGTATCCCAAGAAATGTTTTTCTCGTCAAAACACGACTTATACCAAATTCGATGTATTCCAAAGCGGTTGTATACCGAGGTATGACTGTACTTTGAAGGCGTTCAACGCAAGTACGCACTACAGTGATCCCTCGTTTATCGTGGTTAATGGGGACCGGAACCCCTTGCGATAGGTGAAAATCCGCGAAGTAGGATTGGCCCCCTAGGAATTTCCGTATATGTGTGTGTGGGTACCAGAATGTTTAAAATATGTATATTTACACTTTATATATATTTTACTTAAATCTATTTAATTATAAAACCTTAATATTATACATTCACTCTCTCTCTCTCTCATTCACTGGGGTTTTATTCACTGGGGTTTTTACCTTGGAGAAGAACATGGTGATGGGTAGTTGCTGTCGTTGTTTTTTCTTTTGCTGCAAAATGCCCTTGTACAAGGACATAACCCCGTCAACACGGTTGCTAAACTCGACAGCTCGAACCATATTATCGTCGATGTCTTGTGCAAATCGTTGCATTGCCCTTGCCATGTTGCACAATTGTTGCAGGTTCTCCAGGGTAAGGCCACGCTCTTCAATTTCTTCGTCTTGCTCTTCTTCGCTTTCTTCTTCACTTGCAGACTTCATCATCTCAAGGAGGTCTTCATCTGTCAGTGGGTCCGAGTGGGCATCGATAAGGCCGTTGACGTCTTCTTCCGTCATGTCGACGAATCCTTCATCCCTGATGATGCGAGCCAGCCTCACCGCCTTCTCCACCGCCGAGTGATGAACTTCGTCAGGAGTGAAGCCTGCATAGTCATGCACCACGTTAGGCCATAATTTCTTCCAGCAAGAATTTATGGTCTCAGTTTTCATGTCCTTCAATGCTTGCTGGATATTAGTCAAGCACGACGCAATGTTGTAGTTACGCCAGTACTTTTTCAAGGTGAAGCCTTCCTCGTCGTCAACTGCCGCAATGAGGCCCTCCATCGTGGAACGAGTGTAGAGTGCCTTAAAGGCACGAATGACACCTTGATCCATCGGCTGAATTAGAGATGTGGTGTTAGGGGGCAGAAACTCGATCTGAACCCCATCATATTGCAGGGCTGTTGCATGGCCTCCTGCACAGTCCATCAAGAGAAGGACCTTAAAAGGGAGGCCCTTCTGAGCCAGATACAGCTTCACCTGGGGAATGAAGCAATGGAGGAACCATTCGAGAGTCAGGGCTTTCGTTATCCAGGCCTTAGAGTTATGCATCCAATACACGGGGAGCAGAGCCTTATTTTTGTTTTTTAAGGCCCGTGGATTTTTGGCCTTATAAATAAGGCCTGGCTTAAGCATAAAGCCTGCAGCATTGCCACACATGATGAGAGTGACACGGTCCTTGTGGGCCTTGAAGCCTGGCCTCTTCACTTCATCCTTGAAGAGGAATGTACGAGAAGGCATCCTCTTCCAAAAGAGGCCTGTCTCATCCATGTTAAAAACTTGCTCAGGGAGGTAGCCGTCATCACTGATGAGCTTAGGAAACTCATCCTCCACGTAACGACGAGCAGCATCGGTCTCGGCAGAGGCAGCCTCACCATACAAAGGCACGCTTTTGAGGCCGTATCTCTTTTGAAATTTATCGAACCAGCCTTTGCTGGCTGTAAAGCCTCGTCCTCGAGGAGGCGAATCACTCGTGGCAGAGCTAGTACTGGCTTGAAGTTCGTCAGGATCATCTTCAGCGGCTTCTTCAGCATCTCCTTTGTCGTCGTCATCGGGCAAGGTTTGATCATAGAGAGATTTGGCCTTTGTCCTGATCATATTAGTGTCCAAACTCACGTTTTTTTTCCTGTAATCAGCAACCCACAAGGCTAATGCAGCTTCCATTTTCACAATTCTCTTATTACGCGGAGTTACCACACGTTTCGCTTCTTTATTGAAGCTTATTGCAGCAGTTTTGCGGATGTCAGCTTCGTCTTTTTTGATGTAGCGCACTGTCGATTCATTCACTCCATAATGGCGTGCCACCACGGCATAACTTCTGCCCTGTTTTAACATATCTAAAAGTTTGACCTTTTCACTGATGGTCATCATCTTCCTCTTCCTCTTGGGCTCACTAGAGGAATCTTTCGCAGGGGCACGGCGCTTAGGAGGCATTGTAAGGGCTTAACGAAAAGTTAATTTCGAACACAACACTAAGATACGCGAGACACAGTTGACAGCGTGAACGAGTGGTGAGATACAGTGATCCCTTGTTTATCGCGGTTAATGGGGACCGGAACCCCTCGCGATAGGTGAAAATCCGCGAAGTAGGATTTCCGTATATGTGTGTGGGTACCAGAATGTTTAAAATATGTATATTTATACTTTATATATATATTTTACTTAAATCTATTTAATTATAAAACCTTAATATTATACATTCACTTTCTCTCTCTCATACGATACGTATTATGGTGTTCTACACTCACCAATGACAGTAATATCTTGAGTAATGACGACGACGATGACAATGACGATGACAATGACGACGATGACAGACCTGTGCAGTTCGATGAATGTGATGATGAATGATGATGATGATGGTGTTACTGCACAGGTATAATGAGGCCTTTAAATCAGTTCGAAAAATCCGCGATGCACTGAGGCCGCGAAACTTGAACCGCGAAGTGGCGAGGGATCACTGTACAACAAGGGAAGAAGCTGGGAGAGAATGCAATGATGAGCAGCCAATCAGCTCACGGGATACATCCACTCGTGCTCTCATTAGTCAATCTCGCGCCGGGAACCAATCACGTGCCTTGTCTGAGTGCCCGTGGATATGTACAAAGCCTCTGAGAGAGTTTCTCTCTTTGTCTGGCATCCTGGGAAACCGTTTCTCTCGCGCATCACGATGAAACAACGCTGCTTTCCGCAATACGGCTGCCGATATGGCGGTATTTTTGAATTTTTATTTTTCGATGAATATTTTTGAAAAATCCGCGATGCACTGAGGCCGCGAAACTTGAACAGCGAAGTGGCGAGGGATCACTGTACCCCTAAAAACTCGCCTTTGAGAATAACTTTTCTTTTAGAAAACTTCGTTTCACTCACCCTCGAGAAGTACGTCAATGATGCGACGCCTGCTGCCACGTCAACGCTTACTTTAATTGATTTACTTTATAAATGAATCTTCAACTTTTGTGTGCGTGGTACGAAGGATGTCCGTAACTCGTTCGCACGGAGCAGGCGCGCCTGAGACACGTGGCGCCTGCTTCTGGGGCGAGCCGATTCGAGAGTTTAGGGACCGCGGCGTTTTGACCTACACACAAATAAATATATTTTTTTACAAAAAAAAATCGCCATTCATTTCTATGGAGCATATATATTTTTTTTGTCACTGGGTTGCAAGTTGTCAACAATAGCCTCATCAGACATTAAATATATCTACCTAATAGGCGTAATCATTGGTTCACTGCAGCTCAAAGACTCTACAAAAGCGTGTGCTGGAGTTATCCCGTGTGTGCCCGTCATTTGAAAGCCTGACACATTTTTGTAGTGAGTGCAATTGTGAACAATAGTCCATATCAGACATTAAATACATCTAAATCGGCATAATCATTAGTTCGACTGCAGCTCAAAGACTGTCCCTACAAAGGTGTGTAAAGTTAAGAGATATCTCAGGCCTTGAAGACTAGAATCGGTGATTTCACCTGATGTGTTCAGAAAGGCAGTTCCATATCCGGACAGCAGGGTGAAGAAGGACGCTTCTGTCCAGGGAGAATGTTTCTGGCTTGGCAGGGTTGTGCACTAATTGGGTGGCATGGCATCTTTCATGGCATTCGTTTCTCCGTCACTCGTTTAGTTTGTCCCCGTGAAAATGTAAGGGTGACAGATCTGGGCTGTAAGGTGGATGGGAGGGGGGTTAATTAAATGACAATATTAAAACGATAAACAATTTTGTATTTAACCAGGTAAGGCCCTCTTAGCTACACAGCTCTTTTTTCAGAAGCGACCTGCCACAAATGATAGCTCAACGAAGTGGCATAGAATGTGTAAGTGTCTAGCAGACAAATACTCCAAATGCGTGGTGTTGATTCTATGTAGGGAAAAAAACCGGACCCGGATACAAAATTGACGCGACCATGGGGAGAGACACCGCAAACTCCAAATATACAACAGGCACTAGGGTCGGGATCGAACCCACAACCTATTGCGTACCATGCGAGGTAGTTAACATCTCGCCACCGTGGCTCCACGCCCTGCTCATCACTGACACTTCGGCATCTGGGAGCAAAGCACCGGCATTCCCACTTCGTGGTTGAACCCAGAGCCTGAATGTAAGAGGCTCATTGCTCTGACATGCCGAGTGGTTGTGGCGATGCGTGCCCGTAACCTCGTTACTGTGGAGGCGAGGGTTGGTGGGTCGCACAAATGTTCACGTGGGCGTCGAGGTGCCATACCGTAGTGGCTTGCCAGGAGAAGGCGGTACAGCAAGTGTACCGATCACCATGTTTTTCGTCTGTACAGGGATAGTGTTACCCTCTCCAACACGTGGGTTTTCTCCAGGTGCTCCAATTTCTTCCCACATGAAAACACTCATTAATTGGCAAAAAAAACATCCCAATTGCAGGACCCTCCTGAAAACAAAAAATAATTTGACTCAGTATGGCAGTGATGTCATAATAGACAATATTTTTACACACACCCACCGCTCCGCTCCCCTAATCTTCCGACCCCAGCAGAACCAAGGCATGTATCACATCTCAGCAGGTGTCACAAGCCTGTTGGATCATTCCGTGACTTCAGCTCATCGAGCCCATGCTTGCAGTTGAGCTGCAGCTCCTCAAAAGGTCGACTGTCCACGTTTCAGTGTTTTCGCACGTGTTAAGAGAAATATTCAACCTTGCCAGGTAAACTATCGAACAAAGACGGTCACTGTAACGCGTGCTTTCAGATGCGCTTCTGCAGCAGTCTGGAACGTTCTTCCTTCCAATATAAGGAAGCCACTGGAGCTATGCACTTTTAAATAATATAGATTGAAAACTAATTTCTTTAGAACTGTTTTTTTATGTTTAGTTTGTCCTTCCCTGCACCTCCAATTAGCACAGTTGGCTACGTACGGTGCAAACGACGTTCAACATAAATCCGAATTTTGGTGATGGAAGTGTGTACTGCAATGGTGGTGACTATAATCGTCGTAATGGTGCTTTAGTGTAAGTGGGAATACTTTTTCCTAGTGGCAAGTGTTGAAGGTGGTATTGGTGGTAAATTATGGTAATTTTCACAACCGAATTTAGCAATAAAAAGGATGTTTCATTTGGAAATATGCCAAACATTAGGGGAAAACTTCCAGCATTCAAGACACATTTGAGTTATGGAATTTTACTTGATGATTGGCATGTTTACAAATGAGGCATCATGCCTATTGTCACATTGTCGTGAATATTTCCTGTCATCTTGCTGGTGACCAAAAACGATAACTGATGTGACAAAGACGCATACATGTGAAAATTTTTATTGTTTGGTTGGTGAAGGGTTTCACAACACAACACATATTTGGAGATCATAACATGGTCAAACCCACATGTCAAATGTGAATCGTGATACTGCCGACAAAAATCTGTGTTAAGTGAAAAAAGTTTTGATATAGCAGGTAATGCTCGTGATCGTGATAATAATGGTGGTGGATTTCATAGCGATAGTGGTGACAGTGGACATAGTGATGGTGAATATAGTAATGGTGATGTTAGTGAACTTGATGATGGGAATGATAGTTATAGTAGTAATGATGAGAGTGATGGTGATAATAACATAGGTAGTGAAGATTAAAGAACAATGTAGATAGTATTGTGAGAAGTTTACTGAACGTGATTTTCTGGCTGAAATTAAGCTATAACTGCTGTTTGATGAATCTTTGGAGTGTTGTGTGACATGATGTCCGACGTTGCGCTCCACATTTTGGGAGCTTCTGCAGGATCGAAACGCAGGGCGCCATGCTGAAAAACACGTGCTACACCCTGAAAACATCAGAGAGTTCTGCAGAAAAAACAATAAATCCAAGGTGGTAGTATAGTCTTTGACGATAATCATCAGCAGGACGTGGCTTCATAACAAGACGTCACCCCGCCCACACGACAACCGCCACGGTGCCACCACCACGGCTGCTGCTGCTTTTTCCACTGCGGTCGTCACGAATCGAGTGCAGGCGACAGGGTGAGTCCTCGCTCGTGAAGTTTGTAACGGTAGCGGCTCCTAGTAGAGGCGCGGGGCAGGGCCTGGTCCGGAAAGCGTGTCCACACTGTCAGCTGGAAAGAGACCAAGCGGGAATTGCAAATGTTGTGGGTTTACTCTTCAACACACCGACGAATTGGCATGTTTTGTTTACATGACAAACTAATTGGCTGTGTCGGGTGGTGGTGGGTTTAACCACACATTTATATTTACCCGATTTAATCCAAAAAGAGCCTCTATTAAAGAACCGCAATCCTACGGCTTATGTAGTTTGATCGCCACGTGCAAAAATATCGTCCTACAATTTTCATATCAGGGCTCTACGACCCATTCGGTCAATATTGAGTCGTGACATAGCCAACATGGTGGCGCATAGCATAGAATCGACAAGGATCGATTATCGCAACTCACTACTCGAGAGGTCGTCTGGCAGAAACATTGAGCTGCAGCATGTACAATATTATTTGGCACGTGTCGTGATGGGTACTGCAAGATCCGACCATGTCCATCTGGTGTTCGCTGAGCTGCATTGGCTTCCCGTTGCTGAACGCATATATTATAAGGTCGCACTCATTACACACATAGTGCTTGCCAGAAATTAACCACAACATCTTGCTATTCTCGTAAAGGAGCATAAACCATCACGTAAACTCTGGTAATCCTTTCAGTGGCTTTTGGCTAACTATTGAACACTGCATCGCATGCTTTCCGATGTGCTTTTGCGGTCATCTGGGATGCTCTTCCTTCCGATTGAGGAAATCACTGGAGCTATGAACTTTTCAATCTAAATTGAAAACTCATTTCTTCATAACTGCTTTTTGTGTTTTGTGTGTTGTCCTTCCCCCGCACCTTCGATTAGCATGGTTGACTACGTACGGTGTGGAACAAGTTAAACATACATACAAACAGTGCGACCGTCCCACAGCAAAGAAAGGGTGTTTGTATATCTTTGCTGGTCCACCACCACCACCAGCACCAGCTATATAAGCACAACAAACTCCAAATATACAGCAGGCGTCAGGGTTGGCATCGAACCTACGCCCTCCTGTATACCAGGCGAGGTAGTTCAAATCTCGCCACCGTAGTTTGTGTCGTAGAAGAGTAAGAGCTGCACCAGACCTCAACCACATTCCACAATCACCTGCACAATCACTACCACCACCACCTCCAAAACCATCCCCCTACCACACCGTCACCGTCACGCGTGCGTTGTACGGGAGCGAGAAACCGCACCAGGCCATCGACGTCGCGCGCGGCTCCGCTGGGCAGGGCCTGGGCGCACAGCTCCGTGTGGGCTTGGTGCGCGACGGAGCGGTGCAGCGTGACTCCATCGGCGTCGTCCACGTCCGAGTCCGCCGAGAGAAGCACCACCACATCGCCCTGTCACAGCCAAACGCGCAGAATTACTTCGACCACACAGCAGCCACCCTGACGACAATTGCCCCAACCGAAACCGTATAACCGCGCGCAATCGCTGGGCGACTCCATCGACGTCAGCCAACGCCTATATCCGGCGCCGTATTATCCTGACGGCCGTGGCCACAACAACCATGAAACCACAACAACCATACAACAATCATAATCCATCCGAATATGTATTCATATTGGAGAAATCCGATGAGCTATAAAGCTCTTTTCACACAAGTCCAGTCGGGGCAGGCCAGAACGTTACAACAACAAACAGTACAAAATAAACGATAGGAGTGCAAAGTATAGGAGAGGTAAACAAATCACTTTAAAATATACATAAAAATAAAACTATTTTCATCTTACGAGGTAAAGCCCACTGAGGTATTAGCTTCTTTTTTATAAGTGACCCGGCCACAAATGATAGCTCAACGAAGCGGCTCATCATGTGGACATTTATAGCAGCAAAATAAACAACACAGCAACCACAAATAAAAGAAACACCACCACCTCACTCACTGCCTTCTGCGAGTTGCAACCAATAGATAGTGCGCGAATAGAAGAGAATGCACAACACTGTATTGTTGAGCCAAGTGAAACGAGAAGGAGTGGAGGAGATTACACACCGTTCACCATTCATACATAGCGGCGATGCTGAAGTAGTAAACTAAAGAGGCGCGCTCACGTGCAGTGTGTGGTTGAGCAGCACGCGGCAGTAGTGGAGGAATGCGAGCGTGGCCGGCACGGAGAAGCCCAGGGCGGAGAGCGAGTTCACGCTGTCCACAATGAGGACCGGACGTTGAACCGGGGACCCGGGCTCCGAAGACGACAGGCAGTGCTTAACGGAGGTGTAGAGATCCCGCAGGCTTTCAGAATCTGGGCTGAACACGTACACACACATATAACACATACAACAGCTTTATTCACCGCAAAGTGGCCGTGATGTCACCATAGTGCTTGAGTCAAGCTACGTGAAGCTTTGAAAGCTCATTGGCAAGTCACGGGACAGACCCAGCCAGACAGATGCAACACCTGTGCTCCCCACTATGCCACCTCTCAGCATTTTTGCCACCTGGCACTGCGATCCTTGTCATGAGCAGCACTCCCCCGCACTCCATTATTGTTGGAGCGTAACTACCTCCAAACTCCCCACTAGCATCCTCCACAAGCCTGCACCCATTTAAAGAGAAGCTGCTTGGGCATACGGTTGCTGGGCTACATGATCCAGACAACACAGCCCAGAGGAGCTCACTCATGAGGCTGTGTTCAGACCTTTCAAAGAACTGAGCTCCTCACACAATTCAGCTTGGTTAAACCCAGGATGGTACATAGGCAGGCCAGCCTGAAGGTTTCAACCAGTGCAGACGTTGCTTTAAAAGGGTCCACGTTCTGCAAGCGTAGAGAACAGAGGGCATAACTAAGGACGACAAGATCCGAAGCACCATACGGAACAATCGGCCAAGTAGCTTCCATTACAACTTCACGCAGCCAATGAAAAGATAATGCTGTCCGACCGATTCAATTATTATCTTATAGTTTTAGGCTGGCTGCAGTGTGTCGCGGGGACTCGAGTTTAAGAAGCAAAGCCCGAGGGAGAGGCGGGATATCTGAACGCCGAGTAACAAGGTGCGGTTATATCGGGCTCACCGCAGGACACTGCAGGGGAAAGCCGGCTCGGCACGCTCCCCTGCTCGGTCGAGGGTGAGGTCCCGTAGCGCGGTGAGCCCCTCCAGCACCACGAGCTGCCCGTCGCGCCGCGCCAAGCCCAAGTTCACACCCTGCTCGCAACACACAGCCCCAAGGTCAGGGGTCACATCAAAGGGGGGCAACAATTTCTCAATGTTTGCGTTGAAACGAAGCGTCGAGGTGCCACGACGCATCGATTGCTACTGCTACGTTGGTTTTCGTGGTTGTGCTTTATAGCTTTCTGATGTTTTTCAACGGTTTTACTTAACTTGTAATCAAAATTTAGTCTACTTCCTGTTGTCCAATGAATTCCAAATTGTGCACACGTACTCAGATCCGGTGACAATGCATGCTTGTATCAAAATCGGCATTAATTAATCAATTAATTGGCTCTTTTAAAGCAATTAACATTTTGTATGGACGTCTTATTAATTAAAAATGTATTTGGGTAGGTCAAAAACGCCGCGGTCCCTAAACTCTGGAATCGCCTCGCCCAAGAAGCAGGCGCCACGTGTTTCAGGCGAGCCTGCTCCGTGTCAACGAGTTACGCAAGTAATCAATTAATTCAAGTAATTGTTGATGTGGGAGCAGGCACCGCATCATTGACGTACTTCTCGGCCGTGAGTTAAACGAAGTTGTGAATAAAACCGTTGTTTAAAAAAAAACTTTTTTTACGGAGTTTATTTACGGTTTAACTGCGTGTTGTTCGGCATGATGTCTGATGTTTATCTAAAGTCTGGGAGGTTCTTTGAAAAATGTGTTTAAAAGCATACTGAACAATAATTCATAGAAATGTTTTTATATTTTAAAAACATGTTCACCCAATCGTGCTATCAGTGTCACTTCATGAGAGCAAGTATCTATTCAGATATCTTGGCAGAGCATTGAAATTCTTCATGTTCCAGTCAAAATGTGACTGAATCGTGATAATTCACTAAATTGCAAAGGAGGTGAATTATCACATGCCTCATAACACGGAATTCAAGGACTCGTTGTTAAAAACATATTCTGAAACAAACTATAAATATATCAAATGGTGTGTGTGAGAATCAAGTATTACGGATCCACATGCTGTATATATTTAATGGGGGCAGAGCAGTGGCACAGTGGTTAGTGCACTGCACTATGAACCTGGCGACATAAGTTTGATTCCTGGCCATGGCTAATATCAGTGGCGAGTGCTATCTGAACCGGTCTTTTGACCTCACCTTCGTGACCCCACACCGATCAATGTGTGGTTGTATTAGGTTATACTATTCTAAACAATAATAATTAACTTTACAAAAAATATAATTTAACATGTTTTAATATAACTGCTGAGAGAAATCGCTAACCATTCTCATTTTCTTCCACTGACTCCAGGGACTGGAACTGCATATTCCCTGCCAATCGTGTTCAAGCCCGGGCCCAACATCTTTTTTACCTCAGCCTATGCCCACTCTCTCCAGCCAGCAGTTGCAATTTGGACACTATATCAATCCACATTGCATTGTATTGTTTGAGGGCGGCTCGGGTGAGCGAGTGCAACTTGCTTATGAAAGGTAGCCAAGTGGCCCGAAAAAAACACCTCTCTCGTTCTGAGTCAGCTCACTAAGGCTCCCAATGATAATGGACTCATGTAGAGCATCGACCACACGATGCTGAGAACCTGTGTTTGAAGAGGCAGAGGGTATCAGCCACCCATGATTAAAAGTTTTTCGAGTGCGGTGAATGTGGGGCCTTGAGTTGTGGTTAACAAGTGGACTCACCAGTTTTTGCGCGACTGTCGCGTAGTGGTGGAAAGATTGAGCCATCGCAATGAAACACACTTTCCAGCCATCTGTGAGGAGAGGACACGGAAGCAATTAAGCTGCATGGCTCATAGATCTGAGCGCTGGGATTCGAAGCCTGGGTTCGAATCCAGGCTGCTGTGCCTATGGTTAAACTGGGTTCTCAAATGTTGCGAGTTGATGGCTCTCAGCCTGATAAAAAATTATTGCACAAAAAAACCCATCACGTTAAATTTGGTTCTGGCCGTTACATGGCCTAGCGGTAGCACGTTCGCTGCTTGCTTCAGAGGTTTGCGATTTGAATCCAGGAGGATGCCCTGGTTATTAATTCGGGTGTTATAACCGTAAAAAAACACACTGTCTGCTTCACAGTGGACGTCAAAAATCCCATGACGCCATTCGAATTGAATCGGCCATTTGCCAACATCACGGTCCAAATTCGAAACATTCCATCAAGATGACTCAATTGGGATTACACGCAGGATAGTTGGCTCCTACTGTGAAACTACTGCAGACTATGTCTGTGAAACATAGTACCATCCTTCATGATAGTTTATCGCTATGTAATTATATGAACACTAAATGTACAAAATAATTATTGGTTGATCCTGCCCACCAGGTTCTCTGTTCGATAGACCCTCATGGGTCGAGGAGGCTAAGGGGTCGGCCATAGGCCTTGTGGCTGCACCAGATCGACGGTTACTGTCGAGGCTTGATAGCAAGGAGCTCGCAATGGGGGCTTTGTCAGGAGGGGCCCTAGGGATTGGGGCTGGAGGATGGATACTGCTACACCCTGCCTCGGCGTATTCTCCCATGAGAGTCAATCATATTTTAGAAGATGAGTACTGCTGACCTCCCACAATGTGGTACTCATTTTATTAATCCCAGACAGATGATGATAAGTTTCTGTTACATAGTGCTCTTCAAGCTAAGCAACCCAGGGTGCTTTACAAAAATAATAAATAACTCAAAAATCCATTTAACATTCACTGTGGTTCTAAAATGAACTATATAAGAAGCAATTATTCACGACCATTCATATGAAGAGCATATTGGATCGGTTTATGTTAAGTGAAGCAACACTTCTATCGGCCACCTTTTATGTAGGAGGAAAGGAAGTGATGGATGAGAAATCCTCCGTCTGTCTGGTCTTCTGTGAGCAGCACAAATGACCCCTCCTGCAATCGATGATCGTGATCAGCTTACAATAATCTTTCGGGATCTTGAAACTCATCAGTGAAATTCCAAGCATGCATCTCCCCCAGGCGTCTTTACATGCAGTTTTCAAGGTCAGGCTTTCAATTCGATTTTGGGATCAGCGTTTACACTTGCCTATGATCCATGACATTAAATGGAACTGAACTCGACAGATCTTGGAAGATAAGCAGAGTTAAGCCTGCCTTGTGCTTTAATTGGCGACCACCATGCCTAAACAGGTTGTCATAGGGCTGTGGGGTTATGTGGTGGCCATCAAAGGATAGTGGAGCAAAATCCATTGCTGTACCTGATGCAGGCAGTGATAAGAAGGCAACTGGCACTATTTGGAAACATATGTAGGATGAAGAAAAACAGGAATATTAAAAGTGTGTTGTTCGGGAAAAATGGAAGGAACCGGAAAGAGAGGAAGATCTGACAAAGAATGGCTTAACGACGACGACAGAGATTGGTGCCAGAAAGATGTGGTCACTACTTGATGTATATTGGCACGAGACAGAGGAAAGTGGAAACAAATGACGAAATGTGCAGTGGACACCTGTGGACTATCCGCCAATGGATCGTGATGATGACTCTACCTTTTTGCAGCCAAATCGATTATCCCCCCCACCTCCTTCACCAACCAAAACTGACCAGCATAGTGAAGTATAGTCAAATAACCAGCACTAGCTGAATGGCATGTGAAGACCCCTCATCCAAAATTGTATTGACAAGAAGGGCTGTACACGTATTAAAAATAATCCCCAAGCGAGCCGGTTTTAGAATCAGTTGTTTTTATTCTGTGCACCAGAAGTGGGACATCCAGCCTGCGGCTGGGCTTGAACCCAGATTCTCAAGAGGTGTCGTGAGCTTGGGCTGTACTGCTGCCCTGCCGTGTCTGACCTGTGGCTGAGGCGAGGAGGCGTCGAGGTGACCGTCACGGGAAGAGTTGCGTTTAAGTACATCATCGATATCCTTGAACCCGGTCATCGTGAGCGACCCCCGCCTACACCACAACAAAAGAGCCGCAATACCGTTCACTGTCAGCACGTGCTGATTGTGAGCACCAGTGGCTTTTCATTGGAAGGCCCGCGGGCCGCTGGCGACCCCTGGTGGCCTTTACTGTGGCCACCTGACAATACACAAATGAGAAAACACCCCATTATGCTGTCAAATCCCAAATCCCAAATGGTTTAAAATGTGGCGGCCCCTACACAGACTTCTTATCGGCAAAAATGGGCCCCCCTCTGAAAATCAGTGAAGAACACCGGCGAACACCACCAACATCTTTATATTCTTGGTTCTTTCGGTGACTTTACCGAAAGAACCAAGAATATGAATCCCTGCAGTTACAAAAGCTTTAAATCAAAACCACAAACATCGTCGGCACTTAGTAATGCTGCAGGCACTTGTGAAAGGAAAGTCAAAACTGGTGTTTTCAAACGAGTGAACTTGTCTCTGCCATAGAAATGTAGATATTTCTGACCCATATTCAATGATGGGAATTACACATTCATATCTGCCAGTCAATCGACGCGACATTATATATCACCCAATATAATAACCCTTATACTACATTGCCTTACAATGTAAAATACAAGCATTATTTAAAAACTAGCTCATCAGCTGCGAGTGTTGGCTTTAGCGTCACACGCGAAAGGAAACCGAAGTACGCCCCGTTCGATTGACAGGTTCCACTCCTTTTGCTCGTTTGGCCTGAGGTTTTTACATTTTAAATGACCGTCACCAGTGCACCAAATAATTCGCCTGGAATAAAAACACAGCAAATAGGTTACTATAAAATACAGTTCTTCGTCAATCCATGGCTAGATGTGTCGTGTGGGCATTGGGAGTTATTTAACCGTGCTTGCAAACCACTCCGGTTAGGGGCCGTCCATAAATGACGTCACGCGATTTTGGACGATTTTTGACCCCCCCCCCTTCGTCACACGGCGTCACAAAAAGTCAGACCCCCCCCCTCAAATATGACGTCACAAAGCTCTGCTTCCCCCCCTCCCCCTAAAAAATATTAAACATGCTTCAAATCGCTTTAAAACTATTGTCATTGTAGTGCGTATTTAATGTGGCGCTGCACTCTGATGTTGTAGGACAAAACATTTATTAAAAAGTCTATTTAATTAAGTAGAACATGTCTATATTTATTTAAAGTTGCGCATTTTTACGTGACGTCACATTTATCCCCCCCCCCCCCCATCATCACACATGTCTGACCCCCCTAGGTGCGTGACCTCATTTATGGACGGCCCCTTAGGCTTAACCCAACTTCGCTTCGGTGCCCAGATTTAGATGCATTTCGGCACGACGTGGTGCACGCTTGTTTTACCCATGAGTGTTTCGCAGGGCATCGTGACTAATTTTTTTTATATTATTTTGCCAAGTTTTCACAGCAGGTGGCGATGATTGCCTGTGATGGCAAACCACAAGACGATTATTTGCGAGTACGGCACTCTCCTCTCTACATGTTTTTAGCTTGCCAATGTTGTTTCTCTTGCCAATGGCGTCACGGGATCTTCAACCCCCTCCCCCCCTACTCGGTATGACATAGATAATGCTAGGGCAGTAATAACCCGGGCGGGCTGCTGAATTCGAACCGCGAGGCTCTGCAACGAGCGGCGAACGCTACAACTAAAGAATTATATTCTTGGTTCTTTCGGTAGAGTCACGTAGAAGGGAAATAATAAAATAATAAAAATAAACCAATTAAATTATCACGTTTCGATTGCAACACAAGCAATCGTCATCAGGTGTGAAAACCACAGCAAGAATGTTTTTTTAAATTTTGTTTTTTTAATTTTCTTGCTGTGGTTTTCACACCTGATGATGATTGTTTGTGTTGCAATCGAAACGTCGTGAGAATTTAATTGTTTTATTTTTATTATTTTATCATTTCCCTTCTACGTGACTTTACCGAAAGAACCAATAACATGAATCCCTGCAGTCACGAAAGCTTTCAATCGAAACCAAACAATAGTTTTTTTGTTTCGCTACGTAAGACCCCACTGAGCTAGAAAGCAGCTCTTTTTGTTCAGAAGCGACCTGGCTTTAACAAATTACGATCTCAACGCAGTGGAAATGTGTAGCGGCCAAACATTCCTCAAACGCACGCCGATTCTAAATGTGCAGGGGGACAAACCGGAGGGACCCGGGGGGGTGTGGGAGGGTAGGAATTAAATCCACGGGACCGGGTTCGTGTTTTCGGGATCGAACCGAACCCACGACCTCCTCCTTGTACACCAGGAGAGGTCAACATCTCGCCCACGTGTTGCTTGCCCCCCCCTCTCTCACCGCCTGTTAAGGTCACAGCGCCCCGCTTCGGAACGTTGTTGTCATTACCGACGAGAACCAGATGCGTTAAGCAACAACAATGGCGTGGACATTAACGACGAACCGCGTGTCCGACGTTTCACCACCACCCTCCTCCTCCATGCCCCCCCCGAAGACGTGACAAGCAATAAGTATAACCCGTAAAAACAAAGTTTTTCACTCTAAATCCTTTATACTCGTGGCTTGAGATGGCTGCCACCTATGGGTCAGATGATTGTCTGCAGTATTAAACAATTGGTAATTAAATATTTAATTTGTTTTCCCTAAACAGTGTAAAATTTTGGAATTTTTTTTTTCACGAACATTAATTGTCTCGCACAACGAGTCTGTGTGCAAAATGTCAGCTCGATTGGATCACGGGAAGTGGGTTAAAAAACGACCGAAAGATTTGCACGGTCGTAAGCAAGCAAGCAATCACGCAAGCAAGCAAGCAAGCGAACTTAATATAAAGGATTTAAAAACACCGTGAGCATGGCCCTGCACGGAGGCCAAACCGCTGGACGGAAATCCACCAGAGTGGAATCCGACGAAGGGAAGCGTCGTCTGTGCGAGAGGAGGAAAACGCACCCGTGAGATGTTTAAAAGGGCGACGCTCTTGCAACGAAGACGTCAACAAGGCGGACGACGATTTTTTTTTTTCACCGCGCTACAAATCATCAACCGCGCCGCCAAGTCTGCCCACTTGCCGCCGCCGCCTTGAGACGTGCGTCGCGACCGCTTTAATCGAGGCACGGGTCGGGGTGTTGTTGTTATTGTTGTCGTTGTTTAAATTAACAGCGAAAACGGAGCCGAGAAGTAAATTTGGAGAGAGCCGCTCGCTCCTGTTTGGGCCCTCGCGAATCAAGACAGCGGCCGAATGGAGGCATTTCCCGGGCACCGCGGCGAATTGACCGCGACGATTCAAGGGAGCGCGGTGAAAAGCCTTGTGGTGAGCATGGAATGGGTCAACAAGGGGCCGTCCATAAATGACGTCACGCAATTAGGGGTGGGGGGGGTCAGACATTTGTGACGATGTGTGACGAGGGGGGGGGGGTTGAGAAATGTGACGTCACATCAAAATGCGCAATTTTAAATAAATATAGGCAACACGTTCTACTTAATTAAATAGACTTTTTAATAAATGTTTTCTCCTACAACATCAGAGTGCAGCGCCACATTAAATACGCACTACAATGACAATAGTTTACAGCATGTTTTATTTGGGGGGGGGGGGCAGAGCTTTGTGACGTCATATTTTATGGGGGGGGGGTCTGACTTTTTGTGACGCCGTATGACGCCGGGGGGGGGGGGGGGTTAAAAAATCGTCCAAAATCGAGTGGCGTCATTTATGGACGGCCCCATAAAGTTTGTATGTGCGGCCCCATAAAGTTTGTATGTGCAAGCACCACGCAGAAACAAATACAACAGAGATAAATGACAGTACGCAATAGTATTCAACTTACATTTATATTGAATCGGCAGGTTGTCTACAAATTTACAGCGTGCAGTCAATTACAACGCTTCATCTGCAGTCGTCCCCGTACTCTTCGGATTTAGAAAAAAGGTGGAAAGTATGTGCTTCCCAAACGTGTGCGCAGTGTCAATAAAGTCACACAAATGTTGACCCAAACGAACTTCAATCGGAGGAAAAGACGCACCCCCCCAAATGTTGCCCTTAAATACGGGGGGGGGGGGGGAAGAGAACCTCTTTGAATCCGTAGCATACGGTACACGTACTCGTTACAGAACATGCAACAATAAGACATAAGGCGTATGCTTATTAAGTGATTTAAACTGATGTTCCAACCTAGCTGCAATTGGTTAACAGGTTGGAATGATGAGACAGTAGATTGAAACTGGGCTGAGATTTGTCTGCTTCGACGTATGCCCGCTGGAAGGGATTGGTAAATAAGATCCTAATGAAACAAAATGGAACTCTATTTTTGCAAGTTAAGACTTTTTTTTATACATATGGACAAGAGAAAACATGCATTTGCGTGGGTTGTGCAACGCTTTGCGTTTGTCCTCTTAAAAGTATTTATTTCACAAAAAGTTTTGGTCAAATCTGTATGACATAACCTCATACAACGCGTCAAGTTTCGTGCGATCATGTCACGCGAAATTAAGTAATATTTTTGGTCAAAAATAATGATTCGAGTGCTTTTCGATTTAAAGCTTTCGTGACTGCAGGGATTCATCTTCTTGGTTCTTTCGGTAAAGTCACGTAGAAGGGAAATAATAAAAATAAACATAATAAAATACAATTCTCACGACGTTTCGGCCACAACGCAAGCAGCCGTCCTCAGGTGAAGAACAGGGCAGTCGGAAAGACAGCGTCTATTCTTCACCTGAGGACGGCTGCTACCCCCCCCCCCCCCCAGCCACGATCCCCCCACCCACTGCAGTAATATCTACGGCCTATAGTGGTAGCATCTAATGACTGTATTGTTGTAACTGCACGCATCGGGGGGGAGAGAAGAGGACATCACAGTGAGGAATTTACCTCAGCGTTGTGTATTTTTATTGCATTTTTAACACAAAAGAAAATGTCCCCCTCACCCCCACCAAACGCCTGACTTGGTAGGGGCCGTCCCCCCCACCGAAGGTGTGCGAGTTGGTATGGTCGAGCGCGCTCTGTGTAATAAATAATTAAACGAAAACAGCACTAAATCACTAATTAAACTACTTTAAAGTTGACGGATGGGAAAACGGAATAGCGCTTGCTTACCAGGGGGGGGGGGCTTATGGCGTGGTACCTGGCTATTTTTTTTTTAACCTAAACCCCACGGTTTGCAAGCCTAATCCTTCGCAAGTTTCAGCCGCACAGACAGACACACAGACAAACAATGACATTTATAGGTTAGATGGTTTAATAGTTCTCTAATTGTTACGTTTCTAGAGACCTTGGGCTCCCTCAGCACTCATTCACGCATCTTCAAGTGTGAGTCTTCCCAACACAGCCCATGCTGTTCACGCTGAAGCGCTGCAAGGTGCCCTGGCCTCACAAGTCTCAGCACCCACTCCACTCTCTGACCCCGATCCCGACCCCGACGACCCCACCGTGCCGTGTGTCAGCATGTGCGCCTTCAGCTTGGAGCCCTGCGAGAAGCCCTCCCCGCACGTCATGCAGCGGTACGGCCTCTCGCCCGTGTGCACGCGCCGATGCACGTTGAGATTGGAGACGCGCGTGAAGCGCTTGTCGCACACGTCGCAGCGGTGTGGCTTCTCGCCCATGTGCGTGTTCATGTGGTTCTTCAGCGTGCCGCTCTGCGAGAACGACTTGTCGCACACCGGGCAGCGGTACGGCTTCTCGCCTGTGTGCACGCGCCTGTGGCTGCACAAGTTCGAGTTGCTCGAGAAGCGCTTGCCGCACGCGTCGCACGAGAACGGCTTGTCTTTGGCGTGCCCGCGCAGGTCTGTCTGCGTCTGCGGTGGTAGCACCGCGGCAGGTCGCTCCAGCCGCGCGTCACCAAGTCGATGCCGCCAGCGTGGGCAGCGGTGGTGGCGGAGGATGCTGGCACGCGCGTAGTTGCGGCCGCACAGCCTGCAGATGAATGGCATCCGTCCAGGGGCAGGTGGCCCTGCAGCGGATGGCCCGTGCCCGGCGTTCGATGGGACATCTGGCACCGAGTTATGGATGCCAGCGACCTCGGCGAGAGGATGGTGTGTGTGATTGATGCCCGGCGATATGGCAGAAACGTCAGCATCACCCTGCACAGAGGCCAAATGCTGGACGGAAATCCCCGCGTGGGCTCCGAGGAAGGGTTCATCTGTGGGAGGATAACGTACATTTGAGATGTTAAAGGCGGATGCTCTTCAACGGAAATGTTAAAAGCAGTGGTTCCTGCACTACTAACTATTGCTACGCTTGTGCGTGACCGGCAAAGGGTCGTAGTGCCCTCCACCATGGCTTTGTCACTTGCACCAGCTGTCTACGCTTTTGCAGCAGACAGCCCCGGGTCCATCCAGATATGGCACAGCCAGGTGTGATGAGGCCAGCCTGCTGGATGCTTCCAATCGTCGCTTGATCTCACTCATGCCTCAACTTTATACAGCGCACTTCACCAGCATTTGAGTCTCTAATAGTAACACGTTGTTTTAACCACTGCAGGAAAACCATGCCGAGTCTCATACATACATTTTCTTAGGATGATCTTATTAGTATAGATTTAAAATTAGTAATCTGCAGTGTCTGTAGAAAACCCTCTCTGCACAAATTTGTCAGATGCCTACTTGCTCTACTGCTTCCTACAACAAGCACCTCACTGTAATGTAGTTCAGTGTCTCAGAGGTTCTATATTTCCTGTGATCCACAAACTGCACATACAAGTCACGAAGCTACAGATGAGCACTGCCACTATACAAATCATCTGTGTTGTCCTGCTCTGCAAAACCTACCTCCGATCTTTTCTCTCTTTAAGTCGGACACCAAGTGACTGTGAATAAAGTCGCCCGCTTCTGGATATTGAGTCTCCGTCTCATTGTCTGGGGAGATAAATACAACTGCTGGTTATGAAATGTTCTACATTCAAATAAAAATAACAGCACAATATTTATGAGAATTATTACTTTCCTACTTCTTAATGGAAAGCCAGGAAATAGTACTTTAAAGTATCACATTGAGCGTTGGAGTGTATTAGTCCAGAAATATGGCACTTGACCCACAATCAACAGGCTGACTCCAACCATACTATCCCTCCAGGGTCACCAACATGAGTACTGTTTTGTGGAAAATTAAGTGTGGTTGTCCTTTAAAAAGATTGGCCTCATCATGAGTATGTGGAATGTTCAAGGTTGGTTCAGGACTGCCAACACAGATGAGTGCCACTCCAGTGAATGTTTTAGCAGAGACACGCCTGTGTGTTTGAACCTTGAAACACAAGAGCTCACCTCCATAAGGTTCATTTTTTACTTCCTTCATTGTTAAGTTGAGACTGGAATCCTCCACATCTTGGATGTTGGTCTCCTCCGCCTCTTCTGTTCAAAAACAAAAAAACACATCAATACCTTCTAGATTTGAAGCTTTCGTGACTGCAAGGATTCATATTCTTAGGTTATTTTCGGTAAAGTCACGTAGGTAAAAAACATTATAAAATAAAATGAAATAAAAATCACGACGTTTCGGAGGCAACACAAGCTTCCGTCTTCAGTTGGTACCGTCACAGCCACGAAAGCTGTATCAAGTAAATGAGAGATTGCAGGAGCTACCACTCCGTTTATATAATGGTTGGAGAAGGTGGTGGGGGCAAGGGCCCCACCGCATTAATAAAAAGTATGCGGCCCTTGCCCCACCACCTTCTCCAACCATTATATAAACGGAGTGGTAGCTCCTGCAATCTCTCATTTACGTGATACAGCTTTCGTGGCTGTGACGGTACCACCTGAAGACGGAAGCTTGTGTTGCCTCCGAAACGTCGTGATTTTTATTTCATTTTATTTTACTTTTTAATGTTTTTTACCTACGTGACTTTACCGAAAATAACCTAAGAATACATCAATACCTTGTTTCAATACAGGATTTTCAAATCAGAATACTTAATGCACCGAATAACCTTACCATATTCCACGTGGTGATCCACGTCATCCATCATGTTGTTAGGGCTAGTATCATCTGTGGCTGAATGGGAAGTCACTGTAATATTCCCACTGTCCACAGCACCCAGTTTCTTCACACAAACCAACAACTCCCGGCTCAACCCGCTGAACAACGCGAGCAGCACATCCACCAGGCCTCCCAGCGTCACGTCGCCGGCAGAGGAGGTAGCAATGGTGGCGGTAGCAGCAGCACAAGCGTCCCAATGTGGCGTCACAGCTTCGTGGGGCTCAGCGCCCTGCACGGCCTTCACCACCTGCCGCAGCACGGCGTAGAAGCCAAAGGGCAGACGGTCGCGCGCCGTGGCCAACAGCTCGGCCCGCACGAGGCCGTCCCCGACGCAGGCGCGCAGGACCCCGTAGTCCCGGATGCCCAGCTCCGAGTCCATGGCCTGGGCCATCTCCTCGTTCACGCCTTGCGCCTCCAGCCAAGCTGGGAAGTCCCTGATCGATTCCAGCACCGGGGCAGCCACCACGCACGCCATCCTGATGGGGATGTGCAGTAGGTGGTTCCTTTTGTCCCTGTGAATCACACTTAAGTTTGACATGCTTCTGCTTCTGTTGCCTTGAAATCACGTTTCTACAAAAAGAAACTCATGCTTACTACACACAATATATTGGGCCAGTGTTGGAAATGTTACATTCAGTATCCATTTGTTCACCCCTGTCTGGCCATGATCCGAAATGTATCTCCAAAAAACAGTTAAGGCGTTTTAATGTTCGTTTCGAAATTATATTCCATGTGCTAATAGTATCATGTTACAAGATTACATTTCAAAATGGAAAGGCCCCAGAAAATTACACAATTCAGGCGGTACTTTCTGTAGGTACCTCTAACAACACTAATGGTGTCCCCTTTTAAATGCCCTGCAAAGAGTGTTCATGGCATGTCAAACGAAAATGTTTAATTCTCAGAGATGGAATAAGCCACATTTTATAAAACAGCAAACTCGAGTATCATGAGTTTTTTAAAGGGGTAATTCAGTGGTTCTTAACCTGGGGTGCACGCACACCCTGGGGGTGCAAGATTCCCTTTTTGTGGGTGCGAGACATGGCCAGATGTTTTAGAAGGTATATAATCGAAAACACTAATTAAGCACAGGCACGCAAGTACAACTACTTTGTTTAATCGACCGATGTATTTATTAACATTATATATTTTTAACGATTGAGAACCAAAGGGGTGGAGGCTGCTGTAAAGGTTAAGGACCACTTAAGGGCAATTGGTGAATGGGCTGAGGCCAACTTGCTACATTTAAGAACATGGTTTAATCGGAATAAAATCCAGAATCTCAGCAGTGCCAAGACAATGTCTCTGACCCATGAGCCACCCAGCCATCTCTAATTGAGTGATCGCATAGCTTAGACAATATAATGGTGTCTTGTAAAAAAAACTACTTGATAACCAAGAAAAGCTCAGTCAACAATGGTGAGTTTTGTGGAAAGTAGATGGATCAAGTGGATTAAACTATTTAAGGTTCATTGTGCGGTAATCTGTGGAAAATTATCAACATTGGATTGTCAAGTGTAGGTATCCTGGGTTGTCCAGTTCGAGTGACCATTGCCCCTGCATACATATATCCAATCACAGGCCAGATTTTCCTCTAACCACAGATCTTTATTGCTCTGTGCCTACCCTTTAAGAGGTGCTTTTCAATTCCGCTTACTTTATTTGTTGACAAAATATTAATGGAAGACGCTTTTTCAGGGTTTGTGTAGGATTATGGATTATGCGTTCGGGCTTTAGAATTAGGTGTTAAGGTTTACCGATAAAAAGTTTAGGCATATGGGGTTTATGATTCAGGTTTAGAGTTAGGTGATATGGATTATGGTGTATAGGTTAGTGGCTATGGGGTTATGGTTTATAGGTTAGGGTGGCAAGATGTTAACTACCTCGCCTGGTATACAGGATGGTCGTGGGTTCGATCCCAACCCTGACGCCTGATGTATATTTGGAGTTTGCGGTATCTTTCTCCCCATGGTCGCGTGGATTTTTCTCTGGGCCCTCCAATTTTCTCCCTCCACATTTATAATCAACATCACGCATTGCAGAGTATTTGGCTGCTATAAATTTCCACATGCTTAGGGCACTTCGTTGAGCTATCATTTGTTGCCAGATCCCTTGTGAAAAAAAGTTATATAGCTCAGTGGGCCTTACCTGGTAAAATAGTTTAGTAGTTTAGGGGTAGGGAACAGCAGCATCTAAGACCAATGGTTTTATGGTTCAGGTGCTAAAAAAAATGTCAACGTCGCGGTCTGCTTGACGCGACGGGAGGGCTTCAGGAGAAACAACATTCGTGGCGTTTTGCTGTTCCTCTTCCTCCGGTGAAGGTCCGCAAACTACTGTGGTTTTACTATCCATAGTTTGGGATACATGTCCACAAACACGCTACCACCGTGGCTTGTGTTTAATGTATTTCTATGTATCTCCGCATTCATGTAGGCATCTCTACGTATCCACGTGTAGCTCCGTATCTCTACAAGACTCAACATATCTCTGTGGGTTTCACTATGCGGTCCACATAATGAGTTGCACGGTCAATCAACCTGTTTCGCGTTGTCGTGTCGCCTTGAACACAACACAAATATCTTCTTGGTTCTTTTGGTAAAGTCACGTAGAAGGGAAGTAATAAAATAATAAAAATAAAACATAATAAAACAATTCTCACGACGTTTCGGCCACAACGCAAGCAGCCGTCCTCAGGTGAAAACCAGGTCTGTCGATGCGTTGTGGCCGAAACGTCGTGAGAATTGTTTTATTTTTATTATTGTATTACTTCCCTTCTACGTGACTTTACCAAAAGAACCAAGAAGATGAATCCCTGCAGTCACGAAAGCTTTAAATCGAAATACAACACAAATAGACAAAGATCCCACAAACAGCCTTAGCAGACTGTAGGGGCAAGTGCAGTTAGCGAGCACCTATGAAGGCCGCAACGGTACACGAGGGGGTGGGTGGCCAGCACCACTCCCGACCGCCTTTGTCTCCCCAGTGGCGATGTTTACACGCCGCACCAGGTACTAATTTGAGGCTGAGTCGACCTAGGGGAGGCCCAGGGACCGGTTCAGATAATCGTCACCGATGTTGGCCGTGTCGCCGGGTTCGTAGTGCCGCTCCCCACTAAACAACACGACAACAACAACAACCACCGCCATTCGCCACTAAGTGGCGGTGACGTCACCACGACGCTTGTGCCAGGCTACGTGCACCTTGAGGCCACGTCAAGTGTCGAACGCCCGCTGGCAGGTCATGGGGCAGTACCCAGGTGCAACACACACACACAAAGACACACAAATAGACAGATACGACAACGACAACAACAACCGCCATTCGCCACTAAGTGGCGGTGACGTCACCACGACGCTTGTGCCAGGCTACGTGCACCTTGAGGCCACGCGAAGTGTCGAACGCCCGCTGACAGGAAGTCACGGGGCAGTACCCAGGTGCAACACACACACACATAAAGACAACAACAACATCCCGGCCATCGGAGCGAGAATTTAGAATCGGCGACGATGAACGCGGCCCGCCCGCCCGGGCATCCCCGTCGCTTCGCCCAACACGGCCGCCCACCGCGCCTCTTACCGCCGTAGTCGTCGTCGTTCGCCTTCGCTTGGAGCTTTCGTAAAGTATGAGGAGAGAGGGGGGGGGGGGAGGCGATTCAATTGCGAAGCGAGTAAAGAAAGACGAAGACGAAGGATCGCGCGAGCCGCATCGACAAACTCCGGCTCCGCGTTCCCCGCAAGGGGCACCGGCAAAAATGTTTTTTTTCTTTATTAAAATCTGCGAGTTTAGGGGCCGCGGCGATTTGAACACAATCCGCGATATATCGTGGCCGTCGCACGATATAGAGTGCGTCCACGATAATCGTATCGTGCGTTGTGTAAAATATCGGTGCAGTCGCCCAATTGTATTTCTAATGAATTTATCGTATTTCCCGACGAGAACTGTTTGTGCTATTGTAGCAACGAACGCGCGAAATTAAAAGTTGTCAATACTGTAAAATAGAGAGATACGTGTTGTTATTATCCCATAAAAAGTGCTGGTTTGGCTGCATCACAAAGCTTAAGTTTACACCAAACCGCTTTGGCCGGCGTTAAGTTTTCACGTTTTAATTTATTTGGTATAGCGCTGCGAGTCGTGCGGCGTCGTGAGGTTATGGTCAAGTAACACGGAAAGAGAATCAGAATATGTATTTAGACTGGAGGAATCCGATGAGCTGTAAAGCTCTTTTTTTACACGCTTTTATTTAACTCACTTCATCTGTTGTATCCTCAAAAAAGAAATCTTGTAACAAAATTTTTACACACTTCCCAATGTGCTATCAACTGCAAACTTGGTATAGGTATGTCATACTGATGACAACACGATATTTTCTCATTAAAAAATCCAAAACATCTATTTTTAAAACTTTTTACACGCTTTTATTTAACTTACCCTGTGTGTTGTATCCACAAATATTGTAACTCAATTTCAACCGTATTCCCAATGTCGTATCAACTGCAAACTTGGTATAGGTGTGGCATATACTGATAACAATACTATATTCTATCATTAAAACATTTTTACAAATATTTTAAAACTATTTTGTACGGCTCTAATTGTCGACGCTCAACTCACGTTGGCTGTAAATCACCATAACTTAAGTATGTTTTATTACACACAAAAACACATACCTCCATATAGCCTTTGGTGGTACATGTTGTTGTCGTTTATTGTGAAATTTCAGTCACAGTTCCTATGATCAGTGTTACATTGCTTTTATGGCTTTATTTTGATGATTTCGAAAACGTTTTTTGGTTTGGCCATGTTTGTTTGTTGTAGTACAGGGTTAGACTGATGGCTTTAATCTAAGTTGTCTTGTGGTTGTTGTTGTTTTACTTACATCCCACTGGGATTTTTGCACACAGCGTTGGTGTACGGTGCTTTTTCTGGAAGACTTTGCAGTTTTTTCCTGGATTTTTCTGTTTGCGCATAGTCACATAGTCACTTTATGATGTTTTCTTGTTCATGTTTTTGTTTTTTGTCTGTTGCGGTTGCACCCGATTCAAAGCCGAATGGCTCACAGGACTATACCACATAAATGAAACTGAAAAACAGACTGTTGGGCAAGTGCTGGTTAGAGAGCACGCCTATGAAGGCTGGCACCGCCCAAGAGGTGTTGGTGTATGGCACGAACCACGCCCGGCCGCCTTTGTCTCCCCAGTGCTGATGTTTACACACTGCGCCAGGGATCCAATTAGGGCCGAGTCGACCTAGGAGAGGCACACAACTGGTCATTGTTATTGGTGAGCCTGAATCGAATACGACCAATAATAATGGCAAATAGCTATATTTACACACACACACACGCACACTTTGGGAACAAAGATGAATCAATCCATGCATCTGTTTACGAAATTTAAGTGGCCATGGACATTGCTAGAGGGGGTTGATGACCGATGGACGAGAATGGTGACGGAATGACAGCCAAAGGAGAGAACACAGTTGGGGAGAACGTCCAGTGCGGAGATGGAGCGATGCCATCAGCTTCGTGTCCAGGTTGTTATTTTGTTCTCATTTTAGATGGATTGTTGCATCACAAAATCGTGAGATATGGCAACAGCGTACGTGGGGAGGCCTCCATCCAGCAGTGGATAGACCAAAGGCTGAAGATTAAGTTGACCGCTTACAATCATCTTGCTGGAGTTGAGACGTCTCGTTCGTTAAACCAAATGTCCCAATGGGTTTCCGAAATTCCCCAGCTGCCCTGCGTGTTTGAATGTGAAAATGTCTTCCACCAAAATTATAATTGCATCCAAGACTCATTCATTGCTTTCCCATGTCACGACAATTCCAGTGCATATGAGGCAGGGGCGTGCGGTGATACCACGTGTGCCTTTACAGAATGGTCCTGGCTTCGATTTCCGACTCTGGTTGCTGTGTAGAGTTTGTATGTTATCCCCTCTCTTCTCCGTGGGTTACCTCCGCGTTTTCCGGTTTCCTCCCATAGCTTATAACAATATATACCATTTAACTGGAATTGGCCAAACATACCAATGCTGATAAAATACCAGGAAATTACTCAAAACTAAACTTTTTGCTGGTTCCAGGTCAGGCCCACTGAGCTACATAGCTCTTTTGCAGAAGCGACCTGGCCACAAATGATAGCTCAACGAAGTGGCTTATCATTTGGAAATGTATAGCAGCCAAATACCATCTGGCTTCAGGTCTTGCACTCAATAAGATAGTGCACACCAATGTAAGTCTACAGTTAGCTTTAATGGCATGCACTTTTTGTTGTTACATTGTATACAACACAAGTAGACAAGTATTACATTAACAGGTACAACAAGAACACACAGCACCGTGCTGTGCAAACTATTGGAGAACTTCTTCTTGGTTCTTTCGGTAAAGTCACGTAGAATGGAAATAATAAAATAATAATAATAAAACATCATAAAATAATTCTCACGACGTTTCGGCCACAACGCAAGCAGCCGTCCTCAGGTGAAGACCAGGTCTGTCGGGGAGACGGCGAGAACTTGCGGGTCAAGTGCAGAATAAGCATCTATGTGAACCTGATGGGATACAAGAGATGATTATACAAATGTGTGGGATGTGTGCAGGTGGCGATAGAGTGAGAAATTGAGATCATGTTTGTTGTCACAGCCACATCTAAGATATTTTCTTGCTATCCATTTTGCAGATGTTACACCAACAATGCAGCAAAATCTTCATTTCCACTGTCATGTAACTCAGGCCCCACATATAAAGTGCACCACATAATGAAAAAAAATCAAAGGCAAGGTTGCAAGTTTAATTCGAGGTCAGGCCCTGCAAATAACAATCAGGCATGTAGTGTTGCAAGCTTGTGGTCCATTGCGGTAGAGGCAAAGCGTGTTCCAGGCTTAGCTCTGCTTAGGTTCCAATATCTAACAAGATCGGGCACATTCCGAGTGATTTGGTCAGAGGCAGCACTTCATTAAAGGTAATCCACAATCCCTAAAGCGCTAAGTGTGCAGCAGACTGGAAAACACGAACATTATGACAAAGTAAAAAACTAAAATTTACCAAGCATGCCCGGATTTAATACATTGTAAAACTAATTCTGTATTTGTAAGTTAAATATTCCACATTTACCGAGCCGGGAAGTGCTGTGGTTAATGCGCATGATTTGCAATCGGAATCACAATTTGAATCGGCTCAAACCACCATCCCCCGAAGAGTCGAAGGTTAATAAAATAAGCACCAATTTGTGATCCCAGATTGTCCCATGGACAGATTGTCCCCGTTACCTATCCAGCCCTTTTGTCAATATCCTGCTGGATGAGGGTCATTCCGTGCCGTGTGGGCTGTTGGGGTTTTTCGACCATACTTGACCATACTGGTCAATTTGCTTTTGGTGAAGGCGAGACGCATACAGTGTAGGCGGGAGCAGAGTGCATTTTTATTATTACACGCTTTTATTTAACTCACTCTGTCTGTTGTTGTTGTATCCTCAAATCTTGTAACTCAATTTTATCCCACTTCCCAATGTGGTATCGACTGCAAACTTGGTATACTTATGTCATACTGATGACAATACTATATTCTATCATAAACACAATTAAAATATATTTTTGTAAACATTATTTTTTATATGTTATGTTTCGGCTTGGGTCCAATTGTCCACGGTAAACTGACGTTGGCTGTAAATTACCACGGTCCCTTACGGTATGGCAAGCTTCGGGGCCACTTCCTAGAGTCGTGGAGTTCTTCCATTACTAGTACATTTAATTAAAGCGTGTTTAAAAAAAAGTTTTTTTTAAATACTACAGGACTTATTCTGTATCGCCCTCTGCTGAAGACAATGTGATATTGCAATTTTGCATGGTGAACAACCCTCGAAGTACTATCCCACTCTTATATAAATACACTTTTATTCTAGCACTGGCTCAGTGTTGCCAATAACGGGAGATGAGCGCTGCTCGATGGAGACGATTTGAATTGAGATGCACACGTGTATTAGGTAATACGAGGGTAGGCATTAACTGAGTAGTGCCCAGAGACACTGAACAGTAGCGACTTTACCTATTGTCCAGGTGTAGGATGCACTTGAGTGTTTTAAACTTGAATGCAGCTGCAGGGCGTACCACTCGGTAGGTACAGATAGGCTCACTCTTATTAACAAGTGACCATGCATTTCATAGCATATTAACAAAATATGGTCTAAATCTGCTATAAGCCCGTAGTGAGATGGTTAGTAGTGCTTACAAGTTCATGTCCAGAGCACCAGTAAACAGCGCCCATCCCAATCGAACATCAAGTTTGAAAAGTCTGGTGAGCTTCACCACAGTGGGATCGGGTCATTTGGCCTTAAAGTTTAACTTTATTTTCTTTGAAGGTGTCTATGGTACCGTAATCCATGGTCACATGGGCCGCCACATGTTGATAAGACCTCGGCAATCACAAGTGACAGCTGAAATGTGCCAAAATGTATAACGCACTGTAACGATTGATAGATATATGTTAACCCACACAGTATATCACATCATATAGCATTGGCCCTGTGGTGTCAGTGGACAGCTCTCTCCTACAACATCATGCAAGCCAGCAGCAATTGTTCCTCACACTGCTGAGGAGCTCAGAGAAGTTAAAACCAGTCGAGTAATTTTCCCGCTTAGCCTTTGCATGATTAGCAACTACTGGAAAACGTTGGTCCAGAAGGCTCACAGACCAAATGACTTCAATGTGATGAAAAAAAAATTGACAGAGCAAAAGAGACACTTTACAAAAGTTTTGTGGTTGTGTTATATAACTCTATGGTGTCTTTTCAGGTTGTATCGCGTCTTGTTCGATGCGATGTTCGACTTTTCGCTACACGCGCCGGGAAATTTCTCAGGAACTGACCTGAAGAGTTCCTGTCGATACAATCCGAATACACATCGCTCGAGCTAAACTCTTGATTCTCGTTTGACCAGTGGCGTAGCTAGGATATTTTGCGCCAGGGGACGAACTAAAAAATTGGTGCCCCCCCCGTTTAATCACATACCAACATGTAGGCTGTGTGTGGCGGGATATGACATGTAGGCTGTGTGTGGCGGGATATATAAACTTTTAGGTTGAGGTGTAGATTTGTGCAGTAGTTTCAGGCTGCCGCGCCCGCCGAAATAAGTTATAATGTAACGTTGTAAGCCTCATTTTGGCGCCCCTTTACCTTGGCGCCCGGGGACACATGTACCCTCCTGCCCCCCCCTAGCTACGCCTCTGGGTTTGACTAACGATGCCCGTCAAGGCGAGATCTGTTCAGGGTCCAGTCAATATTCTGGCGCAGGAGACGACGGCCAAGGCAAGCTGGTGGGAGCACAACACGAAGATCCCCCTTCTACCAGCAGCCACAAACGGCATGCCCGTCCGTCACTGGTTGCCGTCACATCGGCTGCACCGTCAGGACTTCCCCCTCGCGTGCATGCACACTCTGCTGGTGGGCACTCAGGTGAGTCTTGAGCAAGAACTCCCGGTCGCACACGCCGCACTGGTAGGGGCTCTTTCCCGCATGCCGGCGCAGGTGAGTCTTCAGCGTAGAGCTCTGCGAGAAAGCTTTGTCGCACACGCTGCAGCGATATGGCTTCTCTCCCGTGTGCGTGTGCAGGTGGACCTTCAGGTTGAAGCTCTGCGTGAAGGCCTGGTTGCAGATCTTGCATCGGTAGGGCTTCTCGCCCGTGTGCAGGCGCAGGTGAATCTTCAGCTTGGAGCTTTGCGTGAAACCCTGGTTGCAGATCTTGCACCGGAACGGCTTCTCGCCCGTGTGCACGTGTAGGTGCGTCTTGAGTGTGGAATTCTGCGTGAAGCCCTGGTTGCAGATCTCGCAGCGGAACGGTTTCTCGCCCGTGTGCGTGTGCATGTGCGTCTTGAGCGTGGCCCTCTGCGAGAACGCCTTTTTGCACACGGCGCAGGCATAGGGCTTCTCGCCCGTGTGCGTCCTCTTGTGATTCTTCAGATTGGTGCTGTGCGAGAAACGTTTGCTGCAGGCGTCGCAGCCAAATGGCTTCTCGCCCGTGTGCGTGCGCCTGTGGCTCTCGAGGTGGGTGTGCTGCGAGAAGCGCAGCTCGCAAACGTCACAGCGGTGCGGCCTCTCATGGGGGCACTGGTGCCGTGTGAGGCCACACGGCCGTGCGAAGGTGCGCCCGCACAGCTTGCAGCAGCTCGCCTCCCCATCGCCAGGCCTGATCGCCGATGGCTGCTGGGCGTGCAATGGCACTACTGCTGCCGGCCCTGGAGAGTGGCTTCTGGCGACGGCGCCCACAGATGTCGTCGCGACATCGGTGGTGTCATCGCGCACAGAGTTCACGCCTTCGGCGAAGTTGCCCGGACGTGCTTCGACGGGACGTTCATCTGCCAGGCACAATAATTGTTTCGGATGTGAAAGATCCTTGCGCTAATCAACGCGGGAATTTAAATTGGCACTCACTCAACAGTATTTGATTGTACGTTTAAAAGAGCTGAGAGGTTTTGCAGGTGCTCCGGGTTTCTCCTCATATGAAGCCAAACACTTATTTGTGGAACTGGCCAACTATCCAAACGTAGCAAGACACCCCCTGTAAAAACAGTCTTGAGACTCGGTAAAGCTTTCCTGGGTAAACGCATGGCATTATAGTTGTTCATAAAGCAGACCTTTAATTGTAATATTCTCTGCCTTGCTACAATTTAATGCTCAAATGAACATTGAGAAGCACTCGTTTTTTTGGAGCCCGCAACCACTATCACGGGTGGGAGGGTGGGGGCCACAACAGTCGAACAATTTTTACATTAACAGGTAAGGCCCAATGAGCTATATATCGTTTTTGCAGAAGCGACCTGGCCACAAATGAAAGCTCAACGAAGTGGCTTATCACGTGGATATTTATAGCAGCTAAATTCTCGAAACGCATGTTTCTAAATGTGGAGGGAAAAACGGAGGACCCGGAGAAAAATCCACGCGACCACAGGGAGAACGTGAAAACTCCAAATATACAGGCGTCAGGTTTGGGATCGAACCTACGACCTCCTGTATACCAAGCGAGGTAGTTAACATCTCGCCACCGTGGCACCTTCCCACAAAGTGATACTCACTTTAACGACTGCGGACTGTGAGCTTTACCATCAGACCTGCCCAGCCAGATAAATTATTTGCTATCCCATTAACATCAGTACAATTACAATTTTATAGCCTATGGCCAAATCACCCAGATCTCATCAGATCTCAGAAGCCAAACAGGGTTGAGATCATGGGTCGTGCATGTATGGGCAAACACCATGCACAGCAAATTGATATAAGCTGCTGTAGGGCTACGTGATGGTCAGCAGAGGGCAGTGCAACAAAGTAAAATGTCGGACTGTATTTATATGCCTTCACATCTGTGCACCATTCCATCACCACTCCACACTAACCAGCGTGCCGTATGATCAAATATCCCTCACAAAACCACGTAGCACGGAGAAGCTCCCATCCAGCAGTGGATTGACAACAGGCTTTACATTTTCAAGTGTAATTTCGTACGGACAACTTTTGACACCGATATCGCTCTCCGAGCGTGCACCGGCGTTTGTGGTGCTGTGTTCTGTTGCAGGCATGCGGTACGACACACCAATACGAGTGGCTCTCTAATACCTTTACGTGTTTCTGTCTTTATTCTGTCAATGGTCTGATCGGGACTTGAGTTGTCCAGCGTGTGGGCTGGGGTCTGTTCCGCCTTGTCTGAGAAAAGACAACACTTGTCATCAATGCTGCTTTACAACGTATTTCGTAAAATATAGGTACAGTATGTCGCATATTGGTTTTCTGTATATGTTCACAATCTGACTTTTCGCACATTCGTAATGTCGCATACATTCAATTGCACATATTAAAAAGCAGAGTAAATAGTTTCCCCGTATTTAAAGCAGTTTGTGGTTATTTTTAACCCAGTAATGCATTTGCTCCTTGTGCAACTGTCATTTTCTATAGATAATCACGTATCCGAGGTTTCACATATCCATCTGTACCTAAGTCCATAGCTAGTCTAATACGCAATGTTGTGCTGTAAAATTTATATTACCACTTGAACATGCGGCCGTGAACATCTCCGTTACGGCCCTAATCCAGTGGTGAAAATGCCACAACCCTATTGCAGAGACAGCCACTGTTGTCAACTCCAGACTATGTGGTTCAAAATTGTATCAACCACAACAGGACGATGGACTGAGTACAATCCTGGTAAAATGTGTATTTTGCGACCTTCTGATTGTGAGGTGAGTGCGCCGTGATGGCACAGAACCAAGGTGCTTTTCAGCAGAGGACATTGTAATTGTTATAACTCTCAGAGCAGATGGAATTAAGATTAGACATTTAGACGAAAAGTTAACAGACTGCATTTGGAGCGGTACTCTAGCACAAACACAGAAAGCTCTCGCCAACATTCGTCAACACCTCAGCCTTAAAATGGAAAAATACACTGTAAGGTATTATAGGCTCAGTGGTATAGCTATCGTTCAGCGTGCAGGCTATGTGCACCAAGATCCAAAGACCGTAGGCGGGCCCAGGTTCTGGATTAATAAGCGGGGGAGAAATTTGATGGGGGGGGTGGGGAGGAACCCATTGAATCTCTTGTGGCCGTCTGCAACGGTCTTCCTTCTGATATTAGGAAGCCACTGGAGCTATGCACTTTTAAATAATCTAGATTGAAAGCTAATTTCTTTAGAACTGCCTTTTGTGTTTAGTTTGTTGTCCTTCCCCGCACCTCTCATTAGCACGGTTGGTTACGTACGGTGCGAAAGAAGTTCACATATATACATACACACGTATGTCCACTGCGCTACACCACTAAAGTGTTGGGCAATGAACGTTCATCGAAAAGAGAAGAGTGCGGAAATGGGCTTATTTGTAATTACAAATCACACTTTACATTCACGATGGGGCCATAAGAAAACTCACTTTAACTTGGTTAGGACTTATTTTGTATGCGGCTGATTGCGCATCATTGCAACATTAGCTTGTGGTGTTTAAACCATGATTTTAAACTCAAGCCTCACCTTCAAAGGGCTCTGTTTTTATCTGCTGCATTGTTAGGTTCGTGCTGGAATCCTCCACAACACGAGTTGAGGTCTCCTCCGCCTCTTCTGTTCGAAACAAAAACACCGCATCAATAACTTCTGAATGTCTTCTCGGTTGTTGCACATAGGTCTCCGATGCGTTTTTGGGCTGTACCACACAATGTTTGGCATCATGTCCGACATTTTTCTCCAGTGCCGGAAGCTTCCTCTGGAAATGAATTAATTTCTTGAATAAGCTCCCATCATGTGAAACGGAATGTAAAACACGTAGGCTTTCCCGACCAATATCATCCATAAGAGGTTTTTTGGGTTAGATCGCGTAAATATATAAATGTATCGTTAACCATATAAATATATAAATGTGCCGTTAACAACACGGTGCGAAAGAAGTTCACATATATACATACACACGTATGTCCACTGCGCTACACCACTAAAGTGTTGGGCAATGAACGTTCATCGAAAAGAGAAGAGTGCGGAAATGGGCTTATTTGTAATTACAAATCACACTTTACATTCACGATGGGGCCATAAGAAAACTCACTTTAACTTGGTTAGGACTTATTTTGTATGCGGCTGATTGCGCATCATTGCAACATTAGCTTGTGGTGTTTAAACCATGATTTTAAACTCAAGCCTCACCTTCAAAGGGCTCTGTTTTTATCTGCTGCATTGTTAGGTTCGTGCTGGAATCCTCCACAACACGAGTTGAGGTCTCCTCCGCCTCTTCTGTTCGAAACAAAAACACCGCATCAATAACTTCTGAATGTCTTCTCGGTTGTTGCACATAGGTCTCCGATGCGTTTTTGGGCTGTACCACACAATGTTTGGCATCATGTCCGACATTTTTCTCCAGTGCCGGAAGCTTCCTCTGGAAATGAATTAATTTCTTGAATAAGCTCCCATCATGTGAAACGGAATGTAAAACACGTAGGCTTTCCCGACCAATATCATCCATAAGAGGTTTTTTGGGTTAGATCGCGTAAATATATAAATGTATCGTTAACCATATAAATATATAAATGTGCCGTTAACAACACATTTAGATATTTATGCGATCTCACCGAAAAAACCTCTATTATGGAATGTCAAACATCATGCCAAACAACATGTGGTATAACATGAAAAAAACTTCGAGTATAAATACCTTGTTTACATACTGTACAGGCATTTTGAAATCAGAAAACTTAATGGCCCCATCATCTTACCATGTTCCACGTGGTGATTCATGTCATCCATCAGGTCATCGGGACTGGCATGATCCGTAGCCGAATGGGAGGTCGCCGTAATATTCCCACCATCCACAGCACCCAGCCTCTGCGCACAAACCAACAACTCCCGGCCCAAACCATTGAACAGTGCGAGCAGCACGTCCACCAGGCCTCTCAGCGTCACATCACCAGAAGAGATGGCAGTGGTGGCAGCATCCCAGCGCGGAGTCTTGTCATGGGGCTCGGCGCCCTGCAGGGCCTTCACCACCTGCCGCAGCGTGGCATAGAAGCCGAAGGGCAGGCGGTCGCGCGCTGTGGCCAACAGCTCGGCCCGCACGAGGCCGTCCCCGACGCAGGCACGCAGGACCCCGTAGTCCCGAATGCCCAGCTCCGAATCCATGGCCCGGGCCACATCCGCGTTCACGCCCTGCGCCTCCAACCACGCTGGGAAGTCCCCGCTTGATTCCAGCACTGGGGCGGCCACTACGCACGCCATCCTGATGAAAATTGCAGAGAAATAACTGAATATAGGAGACTGTGATATCATGAAATTAAAGTGTAAAATATAACAGCTTCACCAAAGTCAAGTCAGAGTCAAAATGTCTCCCTCACGAAGATAACTGTAGGGGCGCTGCACTTCACCGTTTGCAATCCTGAGATACTGGTGAAAATTACACGTTTCCATGGCGAGGGCCAGTTTCTCTCACAGGCTGCCCACTGTTGATATCTCCCAATGTGGTACCCATTTAATCGGACCCAGATGATGGACTAAATCGACCAATGACAGGATGCGAACTTGGGTACCTACGGTGCGAAAAAAGTTCAACATACATTTGAAGAATACTGATGTTTGCTGGTACAGTAAAACCTTGGATTGCGAGCATAATTCGTTCCGGAAACGTGTTTGTAATCCAAAGCACTCGTATATCAGTTGTGATCACGTGACGCTCGGCAGACAAAGCGTATACACGTACTACTCGTATTGCAAGACCTCGCTCGTTTATCAAATTAATATTTATTTCAAAAATGTGCTCTTCTTGCAAAGCACTCGCAGACCAAGTTACTCGCAATCCAAGGTTTTACTGTACAATATTAATAACGATTTAGAATCCTTAATGATTGATACTGATGATGAGTTATGATTTCTGATTACTTATGTTGAGTTTAGCTTACCTTGTTTTTTTTTGTTTACCCATGAAAGCCTCAAGACTTTTTCAGGAGGATCCTGCCCAAGTTTTGTATGTATGAATGTTGAACTTCTTTCGCACCGTACGTAGCCAACCGTGCTAATCGGTGGTGATGTTGATATGTGTACATTTTAAATGAGTAATTTGCAGGTTATTTTTCAGCATTTGGACGTTTGACCAATTCCAGTTACATCCCACCCCCCCCCCCCCCCCGAGAACCTGGAGGTAACCCACACAGAACAAACTCCACGCAGAAAGGCGCCCCAGTCAGAAATCAAATCCAGGTCCTGCATGTGACACCGTGACATCTCATCGCCACCCCGATTACTAATGATGAGTTAAAATTATGAGAGTTAAAATTATGAGGGATGATGAGTTATGGCGATTACTGATTACGAATTAGTTATAATGCTGATGACTTCTGATGAGCTCCAATTACTGACGCTGAGCTATGATGATGATGACATCGCTGTCAACCCATACGGTTTACTCATATTCTTGCACAGGGAAATCGAGTTTTCAATTCCATAGGGGCCGTCCATAAATTACGTCACGCACCTGGGTGGGGGGGGGGTGAGACATTTGTGACGATGTGTGACGAGGGGAGGGGGGTGAGAGATGTGACGTCACATCAAAATGCGCAACTTTAAATAAATATAGACAACACGTTCTACTTAATTAAATAGACTTTTTAATAAATGTTTTCTCCTACAACATCAGAGTGCAGCGCCACATTAAATACGCACTACAATGACAATAGTTTAAAGCTATTTGAAGCATGTTTTATTTTTTGGAGAGGGGGGGGCAGAGCTTTGTGACGTCATATTTGAGGGGGGGTCTGACTTTTTGTGACGCTGTGTGACGAAGGGGGGGGGGGTCAAAAATCGTCCAAAATCGCGTGACGTCATTTATGGACGGCCCCATACGGCGTACAGCCGTTTCAATACGGGAAAAAAATGTGTCTACATTTGAATTTCTCCCTTGCGATGGGACGTTGTAGGATGAACATTGAGATTTATAAAGGGCACGGGGTGACCAATAAGGTCTGAATTGGTCTGTTATAATGTAGGGCACTGATAAGAGGTTGACAGGTATGTTATACACTACACTATATACTACACTATACACTACATTACTATACACTACACTTAATACACTATACACTGTCAACCCATACGGTTTACCCCGTATTCTTGCACAGGGAAATTGAGTTTTCAGGTCCATACGGCGTACAACCGTTTCAATAAAACAATTTATTTAATTGGTTTGTCTATTTCTTTGTGTTTCTCTCCATGTGATGGGACTTTGCAGGATGCACGTTGAGATTTATAAGAGGCAACAACGAGGATGCGATCAGCAAGATCTGAATCGCGGTCCGTAATAAGGTCGGCAGCACTGATAATGGGTCTGACGGATTACTGACGCCGAGTTATGATGATGATGATGACGATGATAAGTTGACGACCTTACAAACCTTGTGTGTTTATAGGCGCACTGTTAGTTAGTTGCACGAATTCGACTCAAATCGCAAATCCCCCCCCCCCTCTCTCTCACCTCGTTCGCTCGTCGTTAGCGCCGATGAATGGTGCTGGTGCTGTTGTTGTTGTTTAAGCGCGTGAATGTCGTCGTCGTCGTTGTTGTTTTAAAAACGACACAATTTTTAATTCGCTTAACTGAATGCCGCCTTCTGGCAGGAGGCCCTCGTTGAGGGCCGTGAATTAGGGGTCCGCGGCGATTTGACCGCTGCGATGTTTAGGGGGCCGTTCATAAATGACGTCACGCGATTTTGGACGATTTTTGACCCCCCCCCCCCCCTTCGTCACACGGCGTCACAAAAAGTCAGACCCCCCCCCCTTTTAAATATGACGTCACAAAGCTCTGCCCCCCCCCCAAAAAAAATGCGTCAAATCGCTTTAAACTATTGTCATTGTAGTGCGTGTTTAATGTGGCGCTGCACTCTAATGTTGTAGGAGGAAACATTTATTACAAAGTCTATTTAATTAAGTAGAACGTGTTGTCTATATTTATTTAAAGTTGCGCATTTTGATGTGACGTCACATTTCTCATCCCCCCCCCCCCTCGTCACGCATCGTCACAAATGTCTGACCCCCCCCCCCTCTAGGTGCGTGACGTCATTTATGGACGACCCCTTACAGTATAAGCCCAGTTGACCTGAGATATTGGAGGTGTATAAAAACACGAGATCTTTTTTTAAGTATCTCATTTGCATAATTTCAAGATTATTTTAACTGTAGGAGCGGTGGTGCAGTGATTGGCGCACTGCAATATGAACTCGGAAAGTTCGATACTTCAGTAGTAATAGGTTTTTACCCTTTTTACCTGGCAACAAAACTGACACGTTTATACAAGGGATCATGTTTGCATTAACCACAACACTTGCGGTCAAAATGCAAACAAAAAGACAACTCTGATAATGTATGAACTGTCCTTGAAATTGATTGGTCCACACCCGAGACTGCTTTTCTTAGAGCCAAGTCTCACATGTTGTTGGACCAGATGACGCTAAAAGGTGTACTATATCTTGCTACTGGCAAAGGAGGTCTCATAATTCAATACTTCAATGGCCTGGGCTAACGTTCGTGCCGAGAGGTAGATCAAGCGTCAACTGGGTCCTTCCCCCGCACCTCCGATTAGCACACCATACCTTCACCTATCGAGTGACAAGCCTGGGGAAGTATGGTTAAACAACCCGCATGACTGGCACGGCATAGGGAGGGCTTCGTCTAGCAGCGGACTCACAAAACGCTGTAAGTTATTATTTTATTATCTGAACAAGATTGTCATAAAAAATATTTTGACAGGTATTCATAACATTCAACTTTATTGATTAATAAGCACACATTTAAAAAATACGATAGATGCCGGTGCTGTAACATGGCAAGCCACACATTTGCCGAAATGATATAGATGAATAACAAACACACACCCCTTGGGAGAAAGTGAAGCTGTTTTTAAATCCAAAGCATGCTTGGCTGAAGATTTCCCTTGCCATTCCTCCAGCAGCTTAATGTAAAAACATGTTTTTAAAAAAATAATATTAGAAAGCCACTGTAGCTATGTGTACTTTCAAATGATCTCGATTGAAAACGCATTTGTTTAGAACTGATTTTTGTGTTTCGTTTGTTGTCCTTCCACGCACCTCAAGATCAGCACGGTTGGCTACGTACGGTGTGAAAGAAGTTCAACATACATGTGTGCTTTTGAGACAACAGACCAATCAGTTTGAATGGCAATGCATGTATTATCAAAGCGATATTTTGTTTGCGTTTTTCAGCACAATTGTGTGTCTGCGCAACCATGACGTACTTGATGCCTGCCTAGTGTTTGATCATCTTTATAACTTTTACTTATGCCAAATAAAAAGGGTGAAGCGATGTTGATTATCATTTGTGGCCAGGTCGCTTCTGAAAAAGAAGTTAATAACCTCAGTGGGCTTTGTCTGGTAGGATGGAGATGGCTTAGTTGCATTTGTATGTATTTAGGTGATTTTTTTTACCTTTCTTGTACTTTGCACTACTATGTATTTGTAGTGTTTGTTGCTATAACATTCTTACCCACCAATACTGAACATCTGTGAAAATATCTTTATAGCTCATCGGATCCCTCCAATACCTATTCTTCTTCTGCCTTTAAAAGCCATTGCACACTTGCTTGAAGCGGTGGTTTTTCAGAGAGCTGTTCTTCGAGAAGCGCTTTCCGCACACCGCGCAGCCGTACGGCTTCTCGCCCGTGTGCGTGCGCAGGTGGCTCTTCATGGCGCTGCCCTTGGCGAAGCCCTTCCCACACACCCTGCAGCTGTATGGCTTTTCACCCGTGTGCGTGCGAAAGTGGATCACCAGCGAGTCTTGGCGCTTGAAGGCGTAGCCGCACACCGTGCAACAGTACGGTTTCACGTCCGTGTGCGTTCGCTGGTGCGTCGTCATCCGGCAATTTGAGGTGAAGCACTTCCCACAAAAGTCGCAGCTGTAGGGCTTCTCGCCCATGTGACTGCGCACGTGGATCTTCAGGCTGCTCAACTTCAGAAAGGTGCGCCTGCAAACCTCGCAGCGATGCAACTTCTCGCCCGTGTGAATTCGCAGGTGCTGCTTCAAGCCGTAGGGTTTTGAGTAGTTCTTCCCGCACAGCTCACACCAGTGTGCCTTATTTCCGACGCATTTTGGCCAAGGCAACACTACGGGATTGGGTTTATTAATTTCAAGCTTGTTGGACTCTTCCTCGTCGGCAGAGAGCATCTGACTGTAGATTGCCGACATCCTCCTCCTGGTCGTGTCTCTCTGCGCAAGTGATCGAGACGTTTCCTCGTCAACAGAAGCGGCGGCAGCAGCAAATTCTTCACTGTGTGTTTCAGCTGCTGTCTGCTGCGGCGCATAGGGTCCATCATTTGCCGCGCACGTGAGGTTTCTTCCTAAATTGGAGATTGAGGTCACGTTCTGGATGACGAGTTGAGGGAGACCGACGCAGAGATGTTGTTCACCTTCAGAAGCAAACAAGCCAGTTTGATGAATGTTAAGTATACGGAATTAGATTTTCACATTTACTTTCACTGTTTACACGTACGCACAATGTGGTTCCTGCGATTGTGGAAAAAAATGTAACTTGCACTTGAAAATTAATACGAATATCTAGGTTTTTGCAGTTGTGCAGTATAGTTCTGATGTGTTTTTGGGTTGTACCGTGTGGTGTTTGACATGATGTCCAACATTTCGCGACATATTGGAAGCTTCTGCAGGAATGGACAGCAATGATTAAAATTAAGAATCGATGGGTCCTGTTTACAGTGTGGGGAGCCCTTCATCCATTGGTAGTTTGACAAACACCTGTGAATTATTATATTTTACAGTTAATAACACCAGTCATGTGCCTAATGTTGAATCGAGTACAAACTTTACCTTCGGAGGGTTCCATTTTAATTTGGTCTTCTGTGAGGCTGTTTGCGTTGTCATCCATGCTGTGAGTTGAGATGTCTTTTGATGTTACTGCACATATCCGAGGTCAAAACAAGATATATAAATTTTACTGCCCGCACGAAACATGTATGCTGTAGGTCTACCAAGGACATTATGAAACCTGATAGATTTTTGCAAAATAAATTCGCCAATAATTTTTTTAATAAAGAATTCAATAGTAAAGTCGGAGACAATCGACAATTTTGCAATGAGCCCTTTTTTACCATATTCCACATGATCCATTTTTCCTTCCACATCTTCGGATGTGACAGCAGCTGTCGATAAAGGAGCTGCGACAGACTGCCAATTATTAACGTCGCCCAGCCTCTGTAAAGATAGCAGCAGCTCCCGACTCAAGCCGTTGAACAGCGCGAGCAGCACGTCCACCAGGCCTCCCAGAGTCACGTCGCTGGGAGAGGAGGCAGCGGCGTCGTCCCTGCACGGCGTCCCAGCGTCATCGTGGGGCTCGGCATCCTGCAGGTCCTTCACCACCTGCCGCAGCACGGCGTAGAAGCCGAAGGGCAGGCGATCGCGTGCCGTGGCCAGCAGCTCGGCCCGCACGAGGCCGTCCCTGACGCAGGCGCGCAGGACCCCGTAGTCCCGGATGCCCAGCTCCGAGTTCATGGCCCTGGCCACCTTCGCGTTCACGCCCTGCGCCTTCAGCCATGCCGGGAAGTTCCCACTCGGCTCAAGCAGTGGGGAAGCCACTGTGCACGCCATTCTGATTGGGACGTGCAGAGAAATTGTGGAAACTGGAGAATATAATAATTAGGCATACGTAACAATTCACCTAACAGACAATTCAATGGTCACGATTCAACATTTGAATCTTTCGATTTAAAGCTTTCGTGACTGCAGCGATTCATCTTCTTGTTCTTCACCTGAGGAGGGCTGCTTGCGTTGTGGCCGAAACGTCGTGAGAATTGTATTTAATGTTTTATTTTTATTATTTTATTATTTCCCTTCTACGTGACTTTACCGAAAGAACCAAGAAGATTTGAATATTTGTCTGCTAAACTTTTCAAATTTTTTTTTACTCAGTAAGACCCACTGAGCTATAGAGCTAATTTTTAGAAGCGGACCTGGTCACAAATGATAGCTCAACTAAGTGGCTAATCACGTGGAAATGTATAGCAGCCAAAATACTCTCGAAACGCGTGTTTTTTTTAAATATGGAGGGGAAAACCGGAAGATTATGAGACATCCATACGACCACGACCTCCAGTGTACCAGGCGAGGTAGTTAACATATCATATCCACCGTGATGATGAGAGAGAGAGACACGCAAACTCCAAATATACAACAGGCGTCAGGGTCAGGATCGAACCCACGACCTCCTGTATACCAGGCGAGGTAGTTAACATCTCCTAGCCACCGTGATGATGATGATGAGACACGCAAAATCCAAACATACAGCAGGCGTCAGGATCGAACCCACGACCTCCTGTATACCAGGCGAGGTAGTTAACATATCATAGCTACCGTGATGATGATGAGACACGCAAACTCCAAATCTACAACAGGCGTCAGGGTCAGGATCGAACCCACGACCTCCTGTATACCAGGCGAGGTAGTTAATATCTCCTAGCCACCGTGATGATGATGAGACACGCAAACTCCAAACATACAGCAGGCGTCAGGATCGAACCCACGAGCTCCTGTATACCAGGCGAGAGAATTAACATCTCGTCATCACGGCGCCCAAACAGCCTGGAAACTGGCTAAACAGGATCATCCGTGGATCAAATCACACTGGACATCTGTGAAGAAGAGCTTTACAGATCATCGGATTCGTCCAACCTAAATAAAGATTCCGAAACAATATTGGCGGTACAGCTGCCATCCACACAGCGTCTGCCGCTGCCTACTGACACTCGGGATTGGTTGAGAAAAATACTTGCCATTCAACTCCTGTTTATAACACGTTTAAATAACAAAGGTTGCTTTTCCCTCCAGCCATACGAAGGAAGACCGTCGTCACGACAGGCTTTTCTTACCTGGTGTGATTATGGCTGTTGACTCAGCGCGTTAATCTTGTGAAATGAACTATTGTTGTTGTTGTTGGCTTCTGCTGTTAATGTTGTTACTGTTGTTTATGTTGCTTTTCTTAACGTTGTTACTGTTAATGTCCCTTTAAACTGAAGCCGATAGCAGAAGCCGGAGTAGGGCCTGTGGCGATTTGACCGCGGCGATCCGAGTAGAGTTCAGTTGACTAAAGTACCAAAGTAAAGTAATACACTATTTTTTTCCAGTATTAACTTTTTTTTATTTGACCAGGTAAAGCCCGCTGAGTTACAGCGCTTTTTTTTTCAGAAGCGACCTGGCTCACAAACGATAGCGCCAACGAAGTGGCTTTTCACGTGGAAATATATCAGCAGTCGTGAAATACTCTCTAAAACGCGTGATGTTGATTCTAAACGTGGAGGGGAAAACCGGAGGACCCGAGAAAAATCCACGCGACCACGTGGAGAGAGAGAACACGCAAGCTCCAAATATACAGCAGGCGTCAGGGTTGGGATCGAAGCCACGACCTCCTGTATACCAGGCAAGGGATTTAACGTCGCAAACCGCGGCTATTACTCGAATGGTCCAGTTTATCCAGTTTTCCGGATACTTTACAAGGGAGATCCGTGGTGCTTGTTGGGTACAGTAGCAATAAAAAAAAGACGTCCGAAAACACGTTCCTTCGGAGTGGGCAGGTAGGAACTTGGTTGGACAGCGCATTCGTGCACGACAGACAGGCAAATAATCCCTGGTGGGCAGTATTGAAGCTGTTGTTCCTACCTGTATAAGTGTAGTGTATCATGTCGTGTGTAGGTTAAACGTTGAGTTTTATAAAGGCACTACGGGGTGACCAACCCCACCCAGCCCCACCCCTCAACCAGCCCCACCCTCTCCACCCAGCCCCTCCCCATCCAGCCCCATCCCTCCCACCCCCAACTGAATCACCTTAAGGCTGGGAATGTTGAAACACGAGGCAAAATGATCCGCTTTTTTCTTTTCAAGGCTTCCATTTTATGAACGGAGCCACCCTCCTTCAGTTCCATTTTGTGAATGAAACATCGCCCGTCTCCTCATTGGCCCGAGTCGCGGCGGTGCCCCCCCCCAAAACAACTCCCCCCAACCCACCGCTCCCATTGGTTGACGCCCCAGAGCCAATGGGAGGGCTCTGGTGGAGCAGGGCCATGCACGACAAATAATCCCTGGTGGGCCTGTTGTTCTTACCTGTATAAATGTGCATTACCTCCCAGTGCTCGACTACAGTGAATGCCCATCGAACATTGTGATGATTAAGAAATACCAGGCTACTGTTTTTCATAAAAGCGAGTATCCCGTCAGAGCCCAGTCCTGGAAAAAGTTCACGCGGCTTGGTAATGAAAGGGGATCCAGCTGACAAGTTGTAAGAGCTTGTCTGCACATATCTTGCCTGTAATATCGGCCGTTCACCAGCATTGGCCTAAGCAAGCCTGGCTCTGCCCATCAGACGCAATATCGAAACCAGTCCAGGGTTTTACTTGTTTTGAAACGATGCTGCTGAAATGATGTACCCCAATAAAGATGCGCAGCCGATGGGTTAAAAGGGGATATTTATTGCTTTAGTCTGTGCTCGAGGTCATCTTGGAGAAGGCATTTAAATGTATGTCAATTATAGTATGGAACATAGTTTTCATCATTAATAAAATACATACCAAGGTGATATTCCAGACACCGAATACTGCACGATTAGTGGAATGTCTGTTGTGTTAATTTTGGTGGCTTCATTTACAAACAATAACGGGATGGAAATCATCACAACACCTCGACATCAAAATAGCATTACATGATAGTAAAAACGTCAGTTTATTTGCAATGTGTTCAGGCTCGTAGTTTTACGAGTCTTTCAAACGGTAAAACAATGTTTTATTTACAGTGTCTTAAATAAAAAAATAGCGTTTCCCTTCCAGTCATGCAAAAAATATACACGTTAATATTACTTTACTGAAATATTTTAGATGTTTTCAAACTCGATTTAACAGAAATGGCTCTGTTGTAAACCAATAAAGTACCCTGCAGGAATATTGACAAAACTCATCAGTGGTTTTATTCAAAATACAAAAGTATATTTTTCCCACCAATACTTTACCAATGTGCTGTTTTAAAGTGAGAGCTCAAACACGAGTTCACATGCAATGCTACTACATAAATAATCCAACACCACTTAATCCACTGTGGTGCAACAATCTGTCTTGCTCCAACAAATCAGCTTATTTCATCACTTCCTCTCTCCACGATAGTCATTCTCTCAGGCATGTTCACCACTCGTTTGCATGGGTCCCTTCACAGAACGGAATCGCGTTTTCTTCGTCCAACGGTGCTATTATTGCTACATTCACTCTTGCACCGGTGTTTTTTTAGGCTGATCTTGTTCAAGAAGCGCCCCCCGCACACCGTGCAGCAGTGCGTGTTCTCGCTCGTGTGCATTCGTTGGTGGCATATCATCTGGCCACTTGCGGTAAAGCGCTTCCCGCACACGTCACAGCTGTAAGGCCGTTTGCCCGTATGCGTACGCATGTGGATTTTCACATCGTCGTTTTTGGAGAATTTCATGCTGCACACCTTGCAGCTGTACGTCTGCTTGCCCACGTTCACGGAGGGATTCTGGCTTTCTGAGACCCCCGTCCCGGTCGTGTCTCTCCGCAAAATCGAGCGACGCTGCATTGTTGATGGAAACGGTTTCTCATCAACAGAATCAGCAGCGTCCGTTTCTTCACCGTGTATTCAGCTGCTGTCTGCTGTGAATAGGATCCATTATTTGCTGGGGACGTAAGGTTTTCTCTTGCATGGCAGAGTGAGGTCACGTTCTCGATTTCAAGTTCAGGGAGGTCGTCCAAGAGATGCACACCTTCATTAGAAAACAAACCAGTTTAATACATTGTACATATACATTTAAACACTTCCACTATTTACACTAATGTACAGTGTTATTACTGATTGTGGAAAGTAACACAACTTAAATGTGTGGGTTAAAGGCAAACAGTTAAAGCGAGAGCCCACATTTAAACTATACACATTTATTGTACAGGTTGATTCAATTTTTTAACACTTATATGGGACTGTCGTTTTAATGGAAAAAGAACGGATAATACACTGTAACATGATAACAAATGTATGTTAATAGCTTCAAAAAGTCAAAGAGTCTCCATTTGTTCGCCATCATTGTCAACACATGCCTGGAATCTTCTCCAGGTGGTCTCCAGAATCCCGGAGGCACATTTCTTGTGGTATTGTTAAAAATGATCAGAAGTGTAAAACATTTTCTGAAGCACCCTGTATTATACCAAGTAATCTTTAAATAAATCAAGGTTAGCTTAAAATGCCTACTAGCTTTTTAAATGTAATATAAAAAATTAAGACCATTATTGTGAATAATCCTTTTGAGGATAAAAACTATTTCAAAGTGTATCCTGCATTTCTTACATAAGTAAAATTCGCTTTGTGAAGTCATTTATTGGAATCACTCGGGCGTTGATTCAGGGTGACATTTCAGCATTCCTAATTGTAATTTTGGAATGTGTAAAAGAAGTTTAATGAGTTTTTTCTTTTTCTTTACGTGGACATCGCATTCAGCAGGCCGAGCAGTTGGCCAATTACGACCGATTTAATTAGTCATAATGAACAGGAGGGCTAATGTGAACAAACCTTTTAATAACAAAAGTCCTGTAATGAAATATATCTTGCAT